GGCTGAGCTTTACCGCACAATTTTCTCATTGTTCTTACAGTAGTCACAAACTTCAAAAATCTCTCAAACCAGCTGCGTATCATCCTTTGAAACTCATGCTACTCCTTCCCAAGAGACAGACCAAAGCAAAGTTATTCTGTTCTTGTGGCTGAGGGCTTTTTCATTGGACAAACTGCCTACCTGCCAAGCTAATATCTATTATAATTACACTGAATTAAAAGAGAAAAAAGGCACATTTATTCCAGGGGTGAAATGCTCCCGGTTTGGACCGGATCACGCGATCCGGTAGCAATGGGGGCAGGTGGTTCGGAGAACCAGTAGCGAAAATCCCTGCCCCCCCCATTGCCCAGCTGAGCCGCGTAATCATCAGAGGCTTTTTTTTAATTTTTAAAAGCATTTTTTCTACAACCTCTTTGGCAAAAAAAAATGCTTTTAAAAGTAAAAAAAAAAAGCCTCTGATGATCGCACGGCTCAGCTGCGATCATCAGAGGCTTTTAAAAGCATTTTTTCTACAACCTCTTCGGCCGAAGAGGTTATAGAAAAAATGTTTTTAAAAAGAAAAAAAGCCTCTGCCAATCAGGCAAGTCAGCTGGGATCGTCAGAGGCTTAAAAAAAAAAAAGAAAGCCTCTGCCGATCAGGCAACTCAGCTGGGATCCTCAGAGGCTTTTAAAAGCATTTTTTTACAACCTCTTCAGCCGAAGAGGTTGTAGAAAAAATGCTTTTAAAAGTTTTTTAAAAACATTTTTTTACAACCTCTTCAGCCGAAGAGGTTGTAGAAAAAATGCTTTTAAAAGTTTTTTTTAAAAAAGTTGGCCACGCCCATTCAGTCATATTACCCCCCCACCACCAAGCCATGCCCACAGAACCGTTAGTAACACATTTTACATTTCACCACTGATTTATTCCCTTGAAATGTTTGTTGGGCTAATACGTTTTAAAATCTTCCTGAAATGAAAGTGGTGGGTGGTCTTTGTTTTTTTGTCTTTTGCTTTTTTGCTTTGCTGCTTCTGTCTTTGTGACGGACAAGGAGAGGGTCAATTGTTGTTCAAAGAGCACTAGAGTGTGATTGTAGGAGGGTGTGAACTTAGCAACTAGCAGCACTGATTGAATAGCTGCATAAGAACAAGCTCAGTAATCAGAGATAGTCATTGGATATGACAAAACAAAAGTTAAGCTAGTGGCCAAGTTCAAGGGCACATAAAAATGGATGGTGTTTGTTTGCATTGTTGAGGGCACTATCTTGAGTTTTTTTACCATACTTCGGAAACATTCCTCTTAGTTGGAGAAAGGATGTACTGAAGATACTCTCTAGAACACGGGTGTCAAACTCACCGCATCACGTTGCCATCATGTGACATTTGTGACTTTTTCCCCATTCACGGAGCTGGGGGCGGGCGTGGCCTGCATGTGATGCATCCTGCTCTAGAAGTTTAACTCTAGGCTCTAATCTAGGATCTCCAAATGGTGAGAACAAGGTGGGGAAAATTTCTGTTGGTTTTAAAGGTAGTTTGAGATTTGCAAATAGATTACATAGATTACAGATTATATGAGCCAAACCTTTTGAAGAAAGATAACCACATATGTTATGAACCTTGCAGTTTAAAACTATGCATAAAAATAAAAACTTGATTTAATCTTGTTGCTTGCTAAATAATTTACAGATGTAGCCCTAAGTTCAATCAGACTCTCCAACATATTAGACATATGAGTTACATTTTTTATTTTTAGCATTCTCATGTTTCTTTTTTGTTCTTTACTTCCCCGTAAATATATAGAATTATTATTAGCCCAAGAAGTTTTAAATAGATTTAAAATTTCAAATCCATTAATGACGTTAGGAAACAGTAAATGGATACCCACTGTGTATCACCCTGAGTTGCTATTCAGTTTTTGCCCAAATGGTGTATGGTGTTTGATTCACTTGCTGGTATTGCCTGAATCCTTCCTTCCTTCCTTCCTTCCTTCCTTCCTTCCTTCCTTCCTTCCTTCCTTCCTTCCTTCCTTCCTTCCTTCCTTCCTTCCTTCCTTCCTTCCTTCCTTCTTCCTTCCTTCCTTCCTTCCTTCCTTCCTTCCTTCCTTCTTTTTTTCTCTTTGAATAGGCACCTCTGAATCAGTGGTGGGATTCAGTCAGTTCGCACCACTTCGGGAGAACCGGTTGTTAACTTTCTGAGCAGTTTGGCAAACTGGTTGTTGGAAGAAATAATTAGGACAGAGAACCAGTTGTTAAATTACTTGAATCCCATCACTGCTCTTAATGGTCTGGGAATGACTCCCCATTTCTGGAAGCGAAATCTTCTGGAATGGGAAGTGATCCGCAGCACTCTAGATGTAGTCTAGCTAATTGAAAGGCTGTTGGAGCTGCTGAAAAACAGCAGCTCACAATAGGAAGTTGAATATGACAGTCCAGAGTGGGAAAGAATTAACTAATGTTAGTCATGATAGAACACAGGAATCAGTCATGAATCCGTCTTACTTTACTGATTTTTGTCAGGTTGCATGTCAAACCATGATTTATAGAGATGTTTCATAGCACACTAAAACAAATCCAAAGTAACCACAGTATCTTGTAATACAGTTTGTGAATCATTATGTCCAAGATGGGAGGAAACAGTGAAAAGGATTTGAATGGGGAAGAGGGAGTGGTTGGGTCGCATATCGAGGAAAACTATAATTTATTTTAAATGGGCTCAGGGCTCAGACATAACACTCAGCAAGCAATGCCACTGTGAGAGGTGCAGTATGAATAGACTGGAAAATTAGGGATCTCTTGCTAATTGTGCTTTAGGCAAGACTAGGAAAAAAACAGGGAGAAAATATGCAGTACAGGTCGTTTTCGACTTACAACATTTTTTTAATGACTGCTCGATGTTACAGTGGCACTGAAAAAAGTGACTTATGACCATTTTTCACATTTACAACCCACAGTCACATAATAAAAATTCTGATGCTTGGCAACTGGCATGTATTTATGACGGTTGCAGTGTCCCAGGGTCTTGTCATCCCCTTTTGTGACCTTCTGACAAGCAAATTCAATGGGGAAACCAGATTCACTTAACAACCGTGTTAACTAATTTAACAACTGCAGTGATTCACGTAACAAATGTGTTAAGAAAAGTTGTAAAATGGGGCAAAACTCAACAAATTTCTCACTTAACAATGTAAATTTGGGGCTCAGTTGTTGTCGTAAATTGAGGATTACCTGTTCTTATCTCAAAGAGGCCTTTGTCCCAGAATGCACTGTTACTAAGATCAAATGAAAATAGTTAGACATGTACACATAAACACAGACATATATAGACAACACACACAGAGTCACACAGAGACCTCCCCCCCTCTCTCCCTCACACACATGCACGCACACACATACACACACACTTTAACCAAACAAGCAGAGCCATATTGGTGTTAGAATAACTTCTGAGTGATTAAAAACATTGTGTAATTCAGTTAAATACTGGTACTTTGGTCCAGAAAAGCAAAATTTCCCAAGGATTTTGCAAACTGTGATGCTGCTAAGAAATTTTTGGTAAGGGAATCCTTTCTGAGTAATGCATACTGTAGTATCTACAGTACTTAATTCCTACAATGCAGCTCCTACCAGCGAATCCTATCATGTCTGCATTGCCTTTGCCTTTGCCTTCACTAGCTAAGTTTCAGCAGGAAATTTCAGCATGATTAATTAGACAGTGAGCTAATAAGAGGTATTGACTCAGCTCATAATTAGTCTGGACATTTCTAACTGCAGATTATGCTGCTAACTATTCAGCTGCTTTCCTTTGCATCATTTGTCATCACATATTTATTGTGATCCCCAGAGTGTATCGTATATTACTCTCATGCCATATCACCAGATGTTTTTTACACAGGCTGAATAGGCAGAGTTTAATAAGCTGCCTCTTTGGAGTCTGCAAGATATGTCTGTGTGCCTCCCTTTTAAGTAGCTAGATCAAGCCCTAAGCCTTTCTTTTGAATTCTGCTTGTATTTTCTGTCCTGCTCTCAAATCCTGTATTGGTAATGACACAGTGGATCGTCCTCCTGCCAAAGGCAGGACAGGTTGCAGTTTGGGAATTAAAAGAAGAGACTACTGAATTCTGACAAAGGAAACTGGTGGCTATCATTCTGAAATTTATTTTATTCCAAAGAACTTGCTCCGGATTGCTCCAAACTTTAAAAGCAAGATATCAGTTATTCATGGAAAATATTGCAACCTTCTCAAGATCATTGGTTTTTTAGTATCAGGCAGACATGTTGTGTTCGGGACACTGAATATTAACATGTATGTTAACATAACACACCTTTCAGAGTTAATACTCCATCATTCTTTCTATCAGATTGGTTGAGAGGAAGGAGGGGGCTCTCCTATTACTCTGGTTCTTTGTTTATATCTGAAAAAGAATCTTTGATAAATACTACTTCTCTTTACTCTGTAAAGTAAATGAGTAGCTGTTTTGACTATGAGTGGGATTTAAGGTTTTTTTAATATGGAGTAAAAGCGTGCAAATCCCAAAGGAAATACAGATGGATTGGAAAATAAAACAGAGACTCATGTGCAAACATTTGGGAAACGTTATTACAGGGAAAGGAAGCCAACTTCCATAGAAGAAAAACCATACTTTTTATATTTTTTATAATTTAATTATATACTATTATTTTATAATAACCAGAGTCATTGAGAGTTGGGTGGCGTACAAGTTGAATAAATTATTGGTGCTAGTCCACTATATAATAATAATCATAATGATCCCAGGTTCTTGGGAAAGATTTGATAAGTGGATAAAAATACCAGATCCAGTCAACATCTGGCTGACCATGTGACTAATAATAATAATAATAATAATAATAATAATAATAATAATAATAATAATGTAGCAGTAGATAATTATTGCTATTATTGCACTGTTTGCTTAACTGCATTGTTAAGAGCTTTCAGCATGTCTGAGAATCATGGACAGATCGTGTCTTGCCCAGAGAAACCAGGTTCTTTGTTTTGCTTTGCAGGCCGTTTATCGTGCTGCCCCCTCTGATGGAATGGATAAGAGTTGCTCTGGCTCACGCCGGGCACCGCCGCAGTTTCTCGGTGGATAGTGATGATGTACGACAAGCAGCCCGGCTTTTGCTTCCAGGAGTTGACTGTGAACCTCGGCAGTTAAAGTAAGTCTGTGCAAAGCAGTGGCATGATATGATGAAGAAATTGCTGTGCTGTAACAACCCAGGACAAGAAGTCAATTGCATATGCAAATCCGAATCTCTTTACATTTTTTTTTAGCCGTTTCACAAAATGCATTTTTTTTTCCATAGAGCAACTGAATCTGTGAGACTGTGCTTGCATGTTTACCTGGATCAAGCCTTAAGCCCTTCCGTTTGAGTTCTTGTTTGTTTTTCTCCTGTGTTATCAGATGGCATTCTTCTTCCGAGGGACTGGAGTGCTCATCTGATTTAGCTCAGTCTTGCTGTGCCTGTTTGCAAAATTTGGAGCTGCTGCTTCAATGGCTGTAAAATCGCTGCCTTCCTCTTCTTTGCTACAGCTACGGCCCAATTTGCACTTAGCTCCTGCTATAAGAATTTGCTTTTCGGCATGCTGTCTCTTTTCAGAAAAGATGCAGTGTTGCTATTAGTTTGGCTTATTTTTAATGTAATAAATAAAAGGCAGCATCGCATCTAATAATTTCATAATGCTACTGTACCTTTTATATGTTGGGTTTTATAAAGAAGGCTGTTGCCATGGTTCTCACCTATGTGGAAGTTTTTTAAAAAAACATAAAAGTTGGTGTATTTTGCATTTTGAGAGATTTCACCCCCTGCTCTCCTTACACAAGATGACCTGGTGTTTGGCATTAAGAATCTGTCAAGGCAGGAATTATCATGTGGTTGCTGAAGACCCTCAGAGCAAAACAGAAATGGCAACTCGGAGGTCGTCTTTGGAGACCAGTGATTTCAACCCCAAACAAACATGGACATTTTTGTCAAGATCTTCACAGTCTGTTACAAGATCTCCCTTCGCTGTATGAGAAAAGGATTATCTACTGTGTATATGTTAGCAACATATACACAGCAACATTTCTTGTATCAAATGGATACAAATGGATGAAAAAAGACTTTTAATGAGGTTTTAAAGCATAAGACATAATATATGAGTGTTTGGGTTGCTTATTTATTTATTTGTTTGTTTGTCAAGCATGTATAAGATAACAGATATAAGTATAAACATGATTATGACTACAGGAAATGGATACGAATAAATGGAGACAGTAGGACAGGGATAGTAGGCACGTTGGTGCGCTTATGCACGCCCCTTACAGACCTCTTAGGAATGGGATGAGGTCAACAGTAGACAGTCTAATGTTAAAGTTATGGGGGTTTGGGGATGTAACCACAGAGTCAGGTAGTGCATTCCAGGCATTGACCACTCTGTTGCTGAAGTCGTATTTTCTGCAATCGAGTTTGGAACAGTTTACCTTAAGTTTGTATCTATTATGTGCTCGTGTATTATTGTGGTTGAAACTGAAGTAATCATTGTCAGGTAGGATGTTGTAGCAGATAATTTTGTGTACTGCGCTTAGGTCAGACCAAAGGTGGCATAGTTCTAAGTTGTCTAAGCCCAAAATTTCAAGCCTTGTGGCATAAGGTATTCTGTTGCGAGCAGAGGAGTGGAGGACTCTTGTGAAATATCTTTGGACTCGCTCAATTGTATTAATGTCTGATATGCAGTGCGGGTTTCCAGACAGATGAGCTGTATTCTAGAATTGGTCTAGCAAAGGTTTTGTATGCCTAGTTTGCAGTACAATATTACCGGAGAAGAAGCTTCACAAGATTAGGTTAACAACTCTTGATGCCTTTTTAGCAATGCTGTTACAGGTAGCTCTGGCTCAGTGTATTATACACTGTATGTATTATGGTTGTTAGTTTGTTGTTATTGTTTTGCTGTAACCTTGATGTTCCTTAAGTCACCACCTGACAACTAGATACAAATTAAGGGAAACAATAATGTCAATAATCTATTGTGTTTTAGTATACGTGATTAAGAACTCTTGTTGTTTTTGTGTCTTTAAATCAGTGTTGCCTGCCTGGACTAATCCCTGCAATTTTCTTGGAAGAGGCTGGCCTTCTTCTCAGACTTGAGAGAGAGTGACTGGTGTAAGGTCACCCATCTGGCTTTGGGTCTAAAGTAGGCTAGAACTCAGATTCCCAGTCTTTAGCCTGGTGCCTTAACCATTTCATCGAAATGACTCTTCAGTTGAGAGCTGCCCCTAGAGAAGGAGGTTGTGGATTGCATTGCATTGAGTGAATCTGTGATGTCACCAAAGTGGGCAAGACTGGATCCAGGACACTGGATTAATTTCTCTTTTGATTTCTCTTTTGAGGAATAATCCTGCTTTTGTTTTATTTTATTTTTTTAACATGTTGGGCTTAAAAGATAATTTATACCATTTTAATGGTCATTTTCTACTGAGAGAGGAAGGAAATCATTCTCAATAACATGTCAGTGTTCGGTGCCATAGTGTTTGGGGTCAGCAAGAAAGACGTTTGGAACTTGCATTGAGATTGCAGGCTACAGGTTGCCATTCCTGTTTTGTCTCCATGTACATACAAATATAAACACACACACTCCCTCACACATATACACACACACATTCTCTGTGTGTGTGTGTGTGTGTCACATGCTACTACAAATCAGGGGTAGGTTCCACTTACCTTTACTACCGGTTTGCAGCGGAAGAACACATGTGCAGATCACCCATGATGATGTCGTGGTGGGTGGGCGGAGCCTCCCACCAGTTTTACTACCGGTTCTATAGAACCGGACCGAACCAGGAGCAACCCACCACTGCTACAAATCTCGGAAAAGTCCAGCATAGCTACCCTGAAAAAAAAAAGAGTCACCACTCATAGCTTATAAGTGGTGAACTCTGAAGCTAAGTAAATAGTCAACCTCAGTTTTTATTTATATTTCAGTTAAAAAGTTTAACCTCTTTATTGTTTATTGGGCAGTCTGTTACTGTAGAATAAACAGAAATTTGCCAGAATTTTGCTTATTCCTAATATATACAATTATTTATGAGAGCTTGGTGTCATATTCATATTCCAGAAATCCCTTATTCAGATTTAGTTCTTTTACTAGAATGAGATGAACTTCTCTCCCACTGATCATGATGATGTTGTGGCCAGAGGCCGGCCGTTGCAATAAATTCCAAGTTTCTTTGTTCTTTCTGACAAATGAAAGGAAACTGTTTCAAGGGAGATTTGCCATTCCTCAATCAGGAATGTAACATTTATTTATTTATTTTATTTATTTTAATTTGATTTATATGCCGCCCTTCTCCGGAGACTCAGGGCGGCTTACAATGCGTTAAGCAATAGCCTTCATACTTTTGTATATTTATACAAAGTCAGCTTATTGCCCCCACAAACTGGGTCCTCATTTAACCTACCTTAGAAAGGATGGAAGGCTGAGTCAACCTTGAGCCTGGTGAGATTCGAACTTACAGTAATTGCAGACAGCTGGTGTTAATCACAATGCTTTTAGTCTGCTGAGCTACCAGGCCATTCAACATTCCCTTGCTTTGAAGAGACAGTCTGTGTTTCTTGCTCTTCCTTCCCAGCTGTTATCCTATTGTAAGCATGCTGGTTTGATAAAGAAATCCAAATGTTGTAATACTCGCTTGCCAAATAATACACAATTGCCACCATGCTTGCATATATCCTCTCTTTTTCATCTTTTTTCCCCCTCTTAACTTGGTGAACAGACGTTTGTGTTTAGGCACAAAGGGTTGGATCAAAACAGTTGTCACTGATGGCTAAATACTGATTGTCTGGCAGTTGTCTATGCTTTGGTATTGACCAAGAAGACTAAGTCTTGAGTGGTTTAATAGTCTATAGAGGAGTTACAATGATGCTGTCATAAGCCCCAGATAGACAGTGATTTAGTAGGATTTGAAGGTGATGGATCAGTGTTTTAGAATCTAAGGATGGAATGTACTTGGGTGACTCAAGAATGGAAAGAGAATAGAATATAATTGCTATATATTTATGAAAAAACACATATGTGCCTGATTCTTTTATGCCTTCCACACTTCCTGAGAGTATAGTTTGGGTAGATATAATGAGCAAGCTGAAAGTGACTTGGGAAAAGCATTAATACAAAAACTAGGCAGAACAATAAAGTAAAATAACACAGAGACAAATAATACAGGAAAACAATATAGTTTTCTCCAAATTACTTTCAATACCCCTTTCGTATGCTTCTCTCCTTGAGTGTCCTTGTCCGTGTCTTGAATTTTGACTAATTCTCTAATTTCAGCTGTGAGAGCTGCAATAATTAGGGACAAAAATATCACCCCAGCGTGTGGCTGTAAACAAACTCCTTGACAATCTAGCAGTCTCTGATGCTGATGATTCCAGAGGATGAATAGGATTTGAAAACTTACTTGATAGGAGATTTGTCTAGATATTCTTATGTTTCATTGCTCAGCCCGACATGCAATTTTAAGACTTTCTGAATTGAATCAGTATAGCAGAAGATGGTGAACTGAAGCTGTTCCGCAGTCTCAATTTCCCAAATATAATTTGCTTCCCCAAACAGTTTTGTCCTACCAGAAGAAACAAGACACCAATATATTTCCTTAACTTTTATGAAGTCTGTATTAGATGTATTAACTTATTAGAAATTATGTTCAATGCATCTGGAAGGCACTAAGTTGGAAAAATATTGTATGGAAGCAATCCAGTGCATGAAATGTGCATCATCTTGTAGGTCACTTGGGCTCTTAAAAATAATAAAGGTGAATTTGCTTTCATTCTGTTGCAATTTTCCTGCATAGGTCAATTATAGTCATTGTAAGAATTAATCTAAATATTATTTTAGCTGCATGTTTCTTGCCTAGGTTGTCCTATCCTACAGACACCTACCCAGATTATTAGTGTGACCATTAAGTGAACACTGGGTTTGTAAAGTGACCACCATAGTAGTAAAGCCCACAGTCAAGCAAGCCCATTGTTTGCTATGTGTAGGAGATTATTAGACTGAGCCTGAGGGAGGGGTCAAGGGCATCATTAGTCTCGAGTCCCACAAGAGATCAAAGTCCAGCTCACTTTGAATTCCTTTGATTCTTATCTACCACCAATTTGCTTTGACAGTTAGTAGATTAGATTCTTGTAGAGAGCTTAAGATTGCAATAAACCTATATATTCATTTGAACTATATATTCATTTGACTCCTGATTTCCTGCATTTGACACAATAGAGTGTTTCTAAATTAACTCTTTTCAGTATCAGAGGTTGATTATATTAACATCAATTATTTTTGTATGTGATAGGAATTCATAGGATAGGAGTTTTGGAGGCAGTGTATACTTTCATAACAATGTTTTGGAGTTCTTTATTAATCCTCTGGACCTGTTATCACCGTTCACTTTGGTCTGGCTAAGCCAATATTGAAATTTGGTTATCCTTTGCATTGCGTAGGTGTGATTCTGTGGCTTCAACTAACAAGAAAAAGTGGTTCTTTTTCCTGTTAGTTGAAGTTTTGTTTCACCTTATCTCCCAACATCTGGATTCAAACCAGCCTCTTCCACTATATTATCCCCCCGTAAAAGGTTAATATTTTATTGCTGGAGTGCCCAATGTATATGGCTTGTTCAGAAATTATATTTCTTCTCCCTAGTTCCAGCTACTATACTAACACACAATTATGGTTTTAATTATTGGGAAAAAGAATAACCTATATGCTTTTATTTCACCTTTGGAAGTCACTGAGGCTTTTTAATGGCAGAGAGCAACCAAGAAACCATTTTCAGGCTTCAGAACTTTTATTTACATTTTTGCAGTCAACCTTCCCCAACATAGCTACCCGTCATATATTGATATGATCTGCCTTTCAAGGGTGGCTGAGATTTACAGTGACAATAATTGCAATCCTGTTTCAAAGAGCTTTGTGAGGATTCACAAGATAAAAATTGTTCATGGTATGGAAAGGCCCAGTGACTGTGAAATGTCAAGGCAGGTACAGAACTATTTATATTTAGCAACATATAATCACAAAACTGTATGCTCTAAGAATTCAAATTAAAGTAGAAAGCTATCCTAAGTCCCAATATTATAAATGGTCTGATTTTGAAAATGATCAGGGATAAGATGTAAAAGTAGCTATTTAGAAAAGGAAACAAAGATCACTTTAAAGACAGTGATTTAATTAGACCAATTAAGGGTTTATGAAGTGATTTGCACAGTTACAGTTTTACATCAACAGTCCATCAGTCAAAATGCTTTTACAACATCTAAAAAAAGGGAAAGACAAAAATTATAGTCCTTGATAAAATGTAGGAGGTCTGCAGCCCTGCAAGAGGGCCCCATCAAGTGCAAAAGTAATATTAAGGAGCCTCAAGGGCTTTCCAAAGTCATGCTGTAAAGAAGAGGGAACAATAACAAGATTGCTGGATCCCATGTTTGGTATAATAAAACCTAGCTGTTAACGTTTACCTGTTTCCATCCTGTTTCCTTCCTTCCATAAGAGATAGAAAACAACAGTGACAGCAACCAGGCAGACTTTATGTTAACAGACTTGATGTAATTTATTATGTTTATTATGAAAGAATTGTTAATAAGAGGCCAGATCTAGAACTGTCATTAGAAATTAAAGGAAATAGCAGTTGTATATGTTTAGAGCAGGGTGTCAAACTCGAGGCCCGCGTGCATCTCACCCCCTGCTCTGTTTTCACTGGCGGAAGGCTAGCAAACCAAACTAAAAGCAAAACAAAACAGAAGGAGAAATGTTTCCCCTTTTACATTTGAGCATCCAAGAAGGGACAGGAAAGGAGAAAGGATGGGAGAAAAGAAAAAGAAAAAGAAGAAAAGAGGGGAAGAAAGAAGAAAGGAGAATGAAGAGGGAAGGAAAAGGAAGGAAGGAAGGAGATTATAATGAGAGGGAGGGGTGGTCTGAGGGTCCTACTTAGCATTTGGCCACCACAGATGCCCCCGACATGAGTGATGTCGAGCTGGCCACGCCTACCCTGCCCACACCACCCTGTCCACACACCCCTCCCCCCCGAGGTCAAACACAACCCTGATGTGGCCGTCAGTGAAATCGAGTTTGACACCAAGGCCCCTTCCAACTCTGTTACTGTTACTGTTACTCCTGCTCTATAGAATCACAGGTTGGAGATGCTACTTGGCTGAATGCAAGACTGACATTTTCCTCCGCTGATGACTGTCTATCCTTTAAGTGCTACCATTCTACAGTCTACTTTTTTCTCATCAGGTCAAAAAAAAAAAAAAAAACCCAAAAAGGGGGGAGATTTTTTTCCAGCTCTGGGAACCAGTATTTTATGATGGAGAGCCTCACCTTTAGCCCAAATCTATTTGACCATAGTCTCTGTCTATTAGCTCTAATCTATCTGAGTTCCTGCTTTTTCCTGACAATTACTGGGCTCCTTTAAAATTTAAGTAACAATCAAATGTGACAACTGCAATTCTATATTAAGGGAAAGAAACTCGGGGCAAAAATGTAGCACACCTGTCTAGAAGAACCTGGTAGGAATAGTTATAATTTTGGGATGAGATTTCCTCTGAGTAAATCCTCCTTGACAGTTCGTTATTCAGGTTGTTTGTTGCAATGGCAGTGTATGTCATTCAAAGGCAAAATGTGGCTGTGGAAAAAATGAATGGCAAAAATTTCTTTTGAAAGAATTTTCTAACTCTTTCCTTCGATTCACAGAATTGATGACTGCTTCTGTGCTTCTCGGAAACTGGACGCAGTGGCCACAGAAGCAAAATTCAAGCAAGACCTAGGGTTCCGGATGTTGACCTGTGGCCGAACAGATCTGGTCAAGCAGGCCATATCTTTGCTGGGGCCTGATGGAATTAACAGCATGAGTGAACAGGTAATAAAGAATTATAAACCATGTAGAAAATAAAAGACTTTGCTTTTTTTTAAAAAAAGTTTGAAATTAAATATTAATTTTCCGAACAGCTTGAAACAAAGTGCTTAAGGAGAATGAGTTTCTTTTACTCGGTTGGGTTGCTTATGTGGGGAGTTTATTATAGACATATTTATGATCAGTAAGTGGTAACATACTTAAAATAGCACTTGGGAGCAACTGTACATCTCTTCTTTGTGACCACTGAAACTCAAGGAATCTCACAGCCAAATAAGAAAGGCAAGATTCCCTGTTCTATTTTCACCAATAATAAAATTGTATACATTATTCATATTTGCTTTTAAAATTTCTAAAGAAGCAAAACAAAAACTCTTTAAGAATCCTGAAACATTTAGGAAAACTTAGCCCTACCAAAAAAAGAGAGATCTCTTTGCAGAATGGAGGCAAATTACTTTTTCTTGTTCCATTCATTTGTTCTCCCTTTGGAGCATGCACCTCTCTTTAATACAAACAAACATCAATTCACATTTTTGTGTAATAGTAACAGTAACAGAGTTGGAAGGGGTCTTGGAAGTCATCTAGCCCAACCCCCTGCTCACACAAAAGACCTGTACTAGGGATTCGAACCGCCAAACTGCTGACCTTTCTAATTGACAAGCTCAGTGTCTTGGCCACCTGATCTGCCTAATGATTAACTCTCCCTTCTTGACTACATTTGTGCCTAATATTGTCAAAGAAACATTAATCACAAAGGATACCTTGATGAGCAGGACAGAATATTTCAGATTAATATAAATTTATTTATTTTATTTATTTATTAGTCATATTTCTATGCTGCCCACTCTCTGAGGACTCTGGGCGGCTTACACCAAAGACAGTATACTAAATAGCATATTGCCCCCAACAATCTGGGTCCTCACTTTACCCATCTCGGAAGGATGGAAGGCTGAGTCAACCTTGAGCCGGTGAGATTTGATCCGCTGATCTGCTGAACTATCAGTCAGTTGAAGTAGCTGCAGTACTGCACTGTAACCACTGCGCCACCTCGGCTCATTTTCTGCAGCTAGAAGGCTCTGTAGTGAAGAGTCAGTTAATCTAGTTTTCTTCCAAACAGGACAGTGTTCCCCTAGAGCTAGGAACTCTCAACAGAGTGGCCTAGCATTTCATTTCAAATTAAATCAGTATATATTAAAGGCATGCATACCAAAGCTGCTACTTCTCCAATTGCAGTTAATACTTTTGGCAATTAATATAAAGTTCCAGTCTAATCTATTAAAATAAACCTGTTAAAGTCTAACCCCGTGATGGTGAACCTATGGTATGTGCGCCAGAGGTGGCATGCAGAGCCCTCTCTGTGGGCACATGCGCCGTCGCCCCAGCTCAGCCAGATGGTCGTCAGATTTCCAACACCCTGGGTGGTGCGCGCACATGCACACAGGCAGGTGGGCGCCTTCCGGTTTGGACACTGTGCCTAAAAGGTTTGCCATCACTGGTCTAACCTGTTAAAATAAAATAACAACATAAAATTGATGAAGGACTGCTCTGCAAAATAAATGCCCAATATTTTATTCTTTGTAGGTAACAGTAGAGTGGAGTCCAGACTCCATAAAGATCTTGAGATTAAAACCTTCATCTTGGCAAAGAAGCTTTACTCAAAATTTAATAAACAGCTTTTTAAAAAGTATGCTTTACTGGTAGTCCTCGATTTACAGCTAATCATTTAGTGACTGTTCAAAGTTACAATGGCACTGAAAAGGTAATTTGCATCCAGTCCTCATGCATAACCATCGCAACATCTCCATGGTCCCATGAGCAGCAAAATTCAGGCACTTGGCAACTGCCATGTATTTGCAATGTTTGCAGAGTACTGGTGTCATGTGATTGCCATTTGTGACTTCACCACTGGCTTCTGACAAGTAAAGTCAATGGGGGAACTAAGATTCACTTAACAACCACACGATTCTTTTAACAACTATGCCAAAAAAGGTGGTAAAATCAGGTATCACTCACTCAACAACCGTCTTGCTTAGCAATGGAAATTCTGATCCCAATTGTGGCTGAATGTTGAGGCTGAACTGCCTGAACCCATTTTGAACATCTCACATCTGTTTTTCTAAATAAAATCTGGGGGGAAAAAGTTTGATGAAATAAATGAGCAAACCCAGACATGCAAATCAACTTCATATTTCATAAGATTATCATTTGATAATCATGCACCTCAAGGACATTTCTTGTGGGATTTTTTTCTGCCTATAATGCTAGTGATAAGATTAGCTGCATAGTTGAAAATTGAAAATCCTTTCAATTTTTCCTCACATATCAAATAAAACTTGTCTAAATCAAATAATATCAAATAAAACTTGCCTGAATCAAATAATATTAAATAAAACTTGTCTGAATTAAATAATATCAAATAAAACTTGTCTGAATTAAATAATACCTTTGTGGATTGATAGGTATTTGCACATGGTCTAGTGTCCTGCTTCTTGTATTTGAGCCCTAGTCTGGTCACTAGGACATCACCTTGTGATCCTGAATGAAAGATCATAAATCAAAGACTATAAATCAATGATTATGAATACTGCTGTCCACACAGGGTATGACTCCATTGATGTATGCTTGTGTGCGGGGTGATGAGGCCATGGTCCAGATGTTACTGGATGCTGGAGCAGATCTAAATGCTGAGGTGAGACTATTCTTATGATTGCATCTGTTCTGTGAAGACAGGTTAAAAAGCAGGAAGCCAAAGACAAGGGCACTCATGTTTTAAAATGCTGCATGACTTTGTTAGAACAGCTAAAATGTCAAATCCAGATTTAATCTTTTTTTGAACCATCTTCAGGAACATTTTTACCCTCTGATGCATGAAGCGCTCCCTCTCTTTAATAATGGTTTTTGCATACAGGAATGAAAATAGAATCCTTGAAAGCCAAAAGTAATTGAGCAAAACAGCAATGCTTATCCAGCAATGACATCAAGGCCTAGTACTTCCTGGTGCTAAACCCAGTCCCCTATGACAGTAGTTCTGCACCTGTGGCCTGCAGATCCCTGGGGGGCTGTGATGTAATCACAGGGTGTCTGCGAAGGCTTTAAGAAATGTTATGATTTAAATCTTGACTTAAGTCTTGGGTGTCTTTGGACATGTTCTGTGGCGAAGAAAAAGTTGAGAACCGCTGCTCTATGTTGTCTTCCAAATGTATCACTTCATATTATCGGTATTATTATTTAATGATCTTAACATTGTAGTTCCTAATTTCTTAATTAGATTCATCCAATTTAATTTAATTTTTTAAAGTTACTGCACTATCATCTACCAGGATCTTTTGATGGTTTTATAGTAAGCCAAAACCAAACAAGCCATCTAATATCTTAGCATGATATCCAGATCAATCCAGCCTAATTTGGGCTTTAGACTATCCTTCTCTTTGATTGGGTGCTTCACTGAAATTTTAAGTCCAGAAATTTTAAGCTCGATCAGTTCACTAAGAAGTAAGCCAACAAAAATCTTGCTGGTGGAACTGTGGTCACAAGCTACAGAATTTGTCTGCATCAGTATTTTTATGGCGTAATAGCTGCATGTACATGGTCTGGTATACACACTTCTTTCATATAAGCTTGTATTTAAACCCTGGCTTAAAGTGGCTTAAACTAACATCGAGCTCCTGAACAAAATATGGCTTATATATCAATGAATCAATCAACAAAACTGACATTTTATGCAGGCAGAGAGTGGACTGAACTAGCCAGTCAGTCAGTCAATAAAGAATAAAAAAGAATAAATAATAAAGAAGCATCTCATACAAAGCATATTCATCCCCACTCTATGTTATCAGTGCCAAACATGGACACTTAAAATAAAACATAAACAAAAGTTAGTCACCACAAAATGAGATGTTTGAGGAAAACTGTTGGGGTGGCCAGAAGGGAAAGAATTGGCATAGAACCAATCTTAAACTACATACAAAAAAAATACGGTAAGTGGTTTGCTCACCTGGAGAGGAGGTCATGGGATTCCATGCCATATAAGACATTCACAAAAAGGGGAGAAGGTCGAAGAACACAAGGTAGACCAAAAAGAAGATGGAGAGACAACATCAAAGGCACACTATAACAACATCAATTAACAAAGGTTGAGGCTGCCGGAAGAGCAAGAACCAGTACATTTTATTTCCTCAACACCTGAAGCAGTAAAAGAGGAAGTGAAGAAGAAGAGGAGGAGAAGGAAGCTCCATTTGTGGAAAAGGGGCACTTTTCAACATCCAGCTGAAATGAGATGCTCTTTCTTTTGTACTCATAATTTCTGTTTCTCTTCTGCATCCTGTGGAACAGTGAGCTTTTTACAATCTAATAATTTTTGTGTCCTTGTTCACAAGGCTCTTTGGCAATATATATAAAAGATAACCATATGAGGGTGAACTAATAACATAATTTCTTCTCCTTTATCATAAGTTGCCCATTGTTCCATCATTCTGCTTATAGAGCTCCTGATTACATTTGCCAGGGTATAATTTGGGACAAATCTTGCAGAATCAGTTCTTTGTAAGATTTATAAGTCTAAAAGATTCAGAAAAATTGGGCCAGGATGAAAAACATGATGCAGCATTTTTTTGTTTACTTTTTAGTTTGCCTAAGGCTACCCACAATACAGTGAATGAATAGTAGCTTGTTTCAGGGGAAAAAATATGCTTTCTATTGCTGATAGTGCAGTGAAAACAGCAAGACTTAATAATGGGAGATTTATTAATCTTTGATGGCTTCACAAACTTTGTGAACCATTGTAGACAAGTGACAATCTTCATATTAAAGTAATATATATTGAAGGCCAATTGAAGATAATTAAATAGGGTGTAAACATAATTTTCATTATACAAGGGGATACTGAAAGGCAGATAAGGAGAATGGAGGAAAGGGTGGTTGAAGTTGATTTAATCATGCTTTGTTGTAAATCATACTTTGCTACTTGCAGAAATTTTGATGGAGAAGTGGGATAGATTAAGATAAGGTAAATGCGGTCGTAAAATTCTAAAATAGGACCCAGTGCTGGGCTTTTCAGTTGTTCTCTAAATGTCTTTGGTTTGTTAGCAAATGAAAATTGATGCAATCTGGTTTGCCATTTGTTGAAATATTTAAAATTGATTTTTTCATGATGTTTGTGCAACAGAGTCTCTGGTGGAACTCTTCATTGAGAAATGGAGTAAAATTGGGATGGGAAGAAGAGTGCCTTTTAAAAATAGACAAGATTTTCTCTGGTGTGAAAAATTGTTATAGCAGTCTGAAAACCATTACCTTTAAAACTTCCTATAGCGTTGCATTGCAATCTATGCTGAAGCAGCATGTTGATATCAAAGAGCCTTGTCATTAACTGTGGTGGGATATCTGCAATGGGACAACATTCATTTGTAACCTTCAAGCCAACAAAAGCTTATTAGCAAACCATGTCATAGAAGGGATTAAGGGGGCATTTGTGTTTTCGTAGGGCTGTTTATAAAAGAAGGGACCGAAATCCTTTAGCTGGGTGATACTAAGTACTAGTTATAAAGTCATATTTATTTGTACCAAAAAAGGTGCAGTGGATTCTGAAAGAGAGAAAAAGAGCCAGTTTGGTCTAATAGTTAAGGCACCAGGCTAGAAACCAGGAACTGTGAATTCTAGTCCTACTTTAGCCATAAAAACCAGCTGAGTGGCTTTGGGCCAGTCACTCTCTCTCTCAGGGTTATTCTGGAACATGTTGTGGAATTTGGAAAGTGATGGAATAGATGTATAATTTTAACCTTTGTTCACATGGTATAAAGTTACAAGCTGGCAAAATCAGAATTTGAAAAAGTAAATCTGGGGGGCAGCCAAAAATATTTTTTGTTAAAGAAGACAGTACTACCTAGGTTTTTTTAAATATATGTATTGGACTAGCTCTTTATTGATATGCAGGAAAGTTTATCTCATGTAGTCAAGGTTTCATGCTATTTTAAAAACTTGAACTGTGCATTGTGATAATAGGTTTTTATATGTTTTGTTTATTTGTTTGCGGATTAGGGTTTCTTAGGTTAAAAAAATAATTGTGAGGTGTGAAATGCAGCAATTTATATCTTTTTTTATGAGTTTATGAGATGCAGCAATTAGTCTGTTCAGAATTTCAGATACCTCTGCGTTATGATGTTACTTCTTGTCTTGGAATAGGCTGAAGTGCAGATAGCAGGCATTATTTCTGCTACTATTATTTTGAAATGTTTTTGTATTGAGCTGGTGAGAATTTCATATGAGAACTAATTTCCAATACATAGTCTTTTTAATTTCCTGGTCTAACCTTGAAATACTCTTAAGTAGCCTGGCATGAGACTGTTCCTGTGGGAAGCTGACATTTGTAGGCATTCTTTTTTACATGTTCTAACAAATAATCAATTGCAGCTAGTACAGTGCTGTGTGTGACAAGTTTACAACTGATGATTGACTAGATAGTAGAAGATTGTTTTCTTGCCAGCAATCAAATAGCGAAAATTATAGAGAAAAAATTGGGACAGTTAGTTCAATATTCTAAACTTAATCTAAATCTGCTGAAGTCAATCCTCTGCTGTTTAGGATGGCCAGCAGAACAAGAAAAATTTACACATTGTATAGAACCATGATGGCGAAACTCTGGGACGTGTGCCAGAGGTGACACACAGCGCCCTCTTTGTGGGCACGCAAGCCGTCACCCCAGTTCAGCTCCACCGCACATGTGTGCACGCCTCCCGCTGGCCAGCTGGTCTTTGGATCTCTGCTCTGTATGCGTGGAGCATGCGGGAGGGTGTGTGCGCATACACGGGGAACATGCGCAGGGGGGCAGGCCATGTGCGGGAGGCGTGCACACATGTGCAGGGGCGGGGCGTATGTGCAGGGGCCACACATGCATTGCATTTTGGGCACTCGGTCCGGAAAAGGTTAGCCATCACTGGTATAGAACATGGCACTTCCCCGCCCCCCGCCCCCAACAATATGTTCTCAGGGAATTGTTTCAGGCATCATATTAAACTATCTTTAATGTTAACATTAAAAGAGCCGAGGTGGCGCAATGGTTAGAGTGCAGTACTGCAGCTACTTCATCTGACTGCTAGTTCAGCAAATCAGCAGATCAAATCTCACCAGCTCAAGGTTGACTCAGCCTTCCATCCTTCCGAGGTGGGTAAAATGAGGACCCAGATTGTTGGGGGCAATATGCTATTTAGTATACTGTCTTTGGTGTAAGCCGCCCAGAGTCCTCGGAGAGTGGGCGGCATAGAAATATGACTAATGACTAATAAATAAATAAATATAATTCACAATCCTGACTATAGATATATGTTAACTTTAAGTTAAAGTTAGCTATTATATAGTTAAAATTAAGTGTAATTTGAGGTTCAGACTGGAGAATGGAGTATGGCAAAGAGCTGGGAAGAGTGAGAGAAAAGCCATGGAGCTTTCAACTCTCTCTCTGCTGCCATAGCATGGTAGAATAGGCAGCAGAGAATGGAACATTTCCCTGTCTCTGCTCTGCCTAAGCTGGTAATGGTACCATGAACCATGACTAGTTAGACAGCATATTAAACCACACTTCTTCTAAATTTAAAGTGGGACTCTTTCTTTCTGTCTATTTATTAGGAGGAAAAGGGTGTGTTTGAGACCAGGGCTCTCAAAAACCTTTTCTTATAAGGTTGTGTCTAAGTCAGGTCATTAACTGATTTCTGAGAAACTTGTAGCTTTAAGGTCCACTTGGTTTGGTCAAAACATTGTATGAGTTTGGTAGGTTTGCCTAACATTGTATGTATGTGATTTTGATACTTTGAGATGGAGATGGAGAGTAGCATCTCCCTTTCTGTTTGTTGAGAATATAGTTTGAAGCTACTGATGTACTCATGTGATCATCAGATGAATATTGATTGATTGTAAGAATTGTATCTAGCTAGGCCTTATGATTAAAAGGATCTAAGAAAAATTAAGGAAGTCTATTTTGTTGCCCAGTTAAATTTTGATTAGATTAAAAATTAAAAAAGGATTTTTAAAAAAGAGTTTCTTTTCCATGCTTGCTTTTTTTTCTCTGTACCTTAACATGCCAAGCATTCTGGCAAGTTTGTTTTGATTGCACATACAATGGCTTTTGCTGAAGAGTCATATATATAAGAAACCTACTTTATCTGTTTATAGGTTGTCAATACTCCTCATAAATATCCATCCGTCCATCCTGAGACCCGTCATTGGACCGCCCTGACATTTGCTGTGTTGCATGGACATATTCCTGTAGTCCAGGTATTACTGTATTTCCCTTTTGCTCCATCTCATAGTTTATTTCTCATGGTAAGTTTTTAATTGGCAATCATTCCATACGGCAGCCATTTTCATTTTTTTTTTTTTTTGCTACTTCTTTCTTTGCTCTGCAGATATATAATAACTCTATTATATACAACTACAAGTATAAGGCTGCAGTCTTAAGTATACCTATTAGGAAGTAATTCTCATCGGATAGCTAGAATTAAACCTGAGAAATTTGCATGCAATTAACGGCTAAATCACTGTGAAGTGTAAATAAGGCAATTAAAAAAGAAATTATACCAATAATATCCTATTGGCACTTTTGAATAATTTTTGACCATGTGTTTTATGTATCCATTTATTTATTATTTAATAATATATTATCATGTCACATGATAATATATTATAAAAGAAAGCTTCCTTTCTTTTCCTCCTTTTGTCCAACCTCATTTTAAAAAACCACAGTCAAAAAAGAATAGACATAAAACAATAAATACAAATAGAAAGAATAATACTGTAGGAGTTTAGGGACCACGCAGAATTGTTTTGGGGCTCTAAAACCCCTCATCCAATGAGTTTCATTGACTAAAACTTTATAATTTCTTCAGGCTATATAGAACAAATTAATGATATTCGTGGCTATCAATTCCAGCTCCAAGCTCATAAGACATTTAAAGTGATGACGGTTTCATAGACGATAAGTTTATCAGAGGTTATTAGAAAAACTGGAAAGGAAGTTTGCTTTATCTCTAATTTGGAGAGAAGCAAAAAATGATTTCTCTATGATATCCTGCTTTCTGAAACTGAAAATGGTATCTCCATTAGCGAGATCCAGGAAGAAAGTTCTTACATTATTTGTAGCAGAGGTGGTATTCACTTACCTTCACTACCGGTTCGCAAATGTGAGCACGCGTGCATGCACAGAGCGTCAAAAGCGGGACGTGGTGACGTCTGGGTGGGTGGGCAGAGCCTCCCACAGCTGCTGCTACCGGTTTGCCCGAACCAGATATAACTGGCTGAATATCACCACTGATTTGTAGGTTAAATATCAGTGTGGCATTATGCAAAGGCCAGTGGTCTGCATTCTAGATATTTTTCAGCCTTTCTTGTTTTCCTGTATTTTTTTGTAATTTAGAATACAATAAATACTTTGATGTCTGAAGCAGTGGACATTATACTTTTCACCCACCCACCCCTTTTGCATATATAGATGTGAACTGAACCAGCAACTGACATTACTTCAATGTTGGTGACAGAACAGTGTCTTCCATCTCACTGGAAGACAGCAATCTGGTGCCCTCAACTGCATCTGAATACAAAATCATTTTAGCCTCTAATAGGAGAGAATGGGCTTCAAGTTCAAGCAGAATATCTGGAAGGCTGATCTCTACTTCTCGGCATCTGTTGGGTCACGTTGCCTAATGGCAGTGCTGTTTTTGATGGAACCAACTGCAAGACCACCATAAGATGCTTATGACTGATCACTCTTCAGTGCCATTTATTACTGCTCTCTCTTTCAATAACAGGATTCCTTTAACAATGTAGTGTCAAGCACATTGTGCTTTCATGGCTCCTAGTCAAGTGATTTAAATCCAGCACAAGACTTCTGAAATAAAAGTAACGGACATTATCCATTTAAAATGGTTACATTGATTTGATTGAGGTCTTTACCTGTGATAGATAATGTACATCAATGCATATATGATATAATAGTTAGCATAGCTTAGTCTAGAACAAACTAAACCGACTGTTTGTTGAAATGTTGCATTTGTTGAATCCTTGAAATGTTACAGATTGTGCAAATAGTATTGGAAAGACCAGGTTGTGGGTTATATAAATAAGAAGCAAACCCTATCCTCTTCTGGCACTGATGATGTTAACTAGTTGGATAATGAAATACCTGCAAGAAAACAAGTTCAGAGAGCACCAAGGACCCCACAGTTCAACCCTGAGCTACAAATAGTTTCTTCTATTAAATCAGAGTTGTTGGATGGGATGGTTCCTTTGGCAACAACAACATGGAATGGGTGAATAATTCCTTTGGCATCCGCTCCAATAAGAATAAGAATAATATAAGCAGAAGATTGGTTTTAGACTGGATAGTTATATTTCTGAATCTTTGGATTGTTCTGAATGGATTAAAAGTTGCCATGGTAGAGGATATATGGTACCCTACATCTATGATACTATTTCAGGTTTTTGCATAGTGCTGTCATATTCTTCAGCTGGTTTCCCCTAAACATATTTAGTTCCCTCAATCTTTCAAGTGTTATAATAATCTGAGCTGACATTTCTGTGGTGGTGAAAAAAATGTTCAATTGCTACCATTTGGTATGTTGCCTTCTCAAACCACTTTAGGGTAATTTGTGATTGTATTGTAAATTACTGTTTGTTTTCATGATAGAATCCTCATGTGTCTTCTCCTCCCAAGATATAGAGACACTAAGGGTGTTCTATTTCTGAAATTCTTGAACTTCTCACCTTTGGTATTTGTTTTAATGTATAATCCATTCCAAGCATCCTCAATCTCTGAAGAATATGTCATTCTGAAATCTTTTAGGTTTCGCGTAACATAAAATTCAATTTATTGTGTGAAAATGGAGTATTAGGTTAGGTGAAAATAGAAGATGTATAGCTGGGCTGCAGTTCCTAAGAACTGTCAAGAAGGGCAGTTGTCCATCGACTTTACCTTCACTGTGAAAACACAACAGAAAGCTCTTGGGAAGCCAACCATAAGCTTGTTGAAGCAAATATAAATCAAATTGGTGGATTAAGAAGGCAATCATAAGAGAAAACGGGGAATTGACCATTCAGTATTTGGGACATTTTTGGGAGAAAAAAAAAGAGAGAGAAGGGCTGATCCTTTAAAGGCCATTGTTTGGAATGACTGTGTCGAAAATATTGCACATTTACTGTTGTGCAGTAATCCTGTCTCAGCAATGGTACAAACAAAAAAGAGATGTTAGGGGGAAAACCCCTGCAAATTGCATGCGTGTGTGGGAGTCTACAATTCATTTGACACACAGCATTAAAAATCAGCTGTTCCTGTCACCTTTTCCCTTGATATTTAATGCTTCTTTGGTGGCAACCAAAGATGACAACTATCTTGTTTTGTGACCTGGCCCCTAATTTAATGGCCCTTAACCTTGGACTTCTCTATTTATTAATTTGCTGTTACCAGATCTGGGCTGGAATATGCACTAAGTGGGGGCAAAGAACTACATCACTTTATTGGTTGTCTATTGGTCATCTGGATTTTTGCATCCCATATGCGATAGCTAGTATTTATGTATTTTGCAGCATGCAGCTACTTTAGCTTGCACAAGTTTTGGGACTGCAGATTCTGGCTCAGAATGATGGGGCTTGCAATAAAATGGATCTCAGCACTAGGTTGAAGAAGATTGCTCTTCTGTGTTGGATGAGCATTTTAGTTCTTGTGTAGAAATGTTTTTTTTAAAAAAAACAACAACAATGGATTCTTTTATAGCTACTACTGGACGCAGGAGCCAAAGTAGAAGGCTCTTTGGAACATGGTGAGGAAAACTATTCAGAAACACCCTTGCAACTGGCAGCAGCTGCTGGTAAGGATTATCTTATCATAATACCTTAGTTAATATTGTTTGATTGAAGAGAATAAGAAGCAGGCTTTTTAAAAAGGCTTTCATTGTTACTGATTTGTAGGAAATTTTGAACTGGTTAGTCTGCTTTTGGAGCGAGGTGCTGATCCTATGATTGGAACAATGTACAGGAATGGAATTTCCATGACTCCACAAGGTGATATGAACTCCTTCAGCCAGGCTGCTGCACATGGACACAGGTATATTTGGTATGCTTTTGGTTAAGTGTTAAAACAATGTTTGAATGGGATATTTAAAGCATTTGATCTGCAATTCTTGTACATTAAGATTCACATATATAAATTTACACTGTCAGATTTTTCTTAAACATTATTTTTAACAAAATAGGTAAAGGATACATTCTATTTGCTATTGCTGTTGTCCATGAAAGCTAAACAAAAGTAAAGAAGTAGTATATATAACCATAATAATCAGTGGTGGGTTTCAAATTTTTTTACTACCGGTTCTGTCGGTGTGGCTTGGTGGGTGTGGCTTGGTGGGCATGGCAGAGGAAGGATACTGTAAAATCTCCATTCCCACCCCAATCCAGGGGAAGGTTACTGCAAAATCCCCATTTCCTCCCAATCAGCAGGGACTTGTCAGGCAGAGAATAGATGGGGGCGGGGCCAGTCAGAATTCTTACTACCGGTTCTCCAAACTACTCAAAATTTCTGCTACTGGTTCTCCAGAACCGGTCAGGACCTGCTGAAACCCACCTCTGATAATAATGCAGGAACAGACACCACTGAGATGCAGGCAACGAGTTACAAGCTGGATGTTGGTATTAAAGCAAGTTAAAAATCAAGATAGCCTAGAGTTAGGAAAAATATTATTGTCCTGGCAAACTCTTACCTTAAATGCTTAAAATGTCTATTTTACCCTTTAAGCTTCTTGCCAGATCAGATTACATGTCCCATTTGGGGAAGTTTAAGTGGCAAGATCAGTTTTTTTAAGTGTAAGGTACTCATTTTGCTCCTTACATTATCTACAAATCAAATACAGCCAAAAAAAATAAATTGGCTGTATTTTATCAATTCTGAGGCTATCAGACTGGGGACAAAGACAGAACTGACCTGTAGGCCGTCTCAAACCAGGATCTATTTAGGACAGGCCCGTTTAGCTGTCCAGATTTTAACAGACTGCAACTTGTGTCGAGCTGATGGATTACGAGACAAAAAAATCTTGATGAACATAATTTTCCGTCACTTGATATTTGTTTTAGCTTTATAACTCAGTTGCTCTATCACCTGAAATAGCTTGCAGGAGTACCTTTCAATGAGATTTCAATGAAAGGCAAAGACAGAAGTATTTGTGGAGTCAGGACCATTGCAGTAGAGAGTAGAAGTCCCAAATATAGTCCTAGATCATAGATGTACAACATATATAAAACTTCAGGAAAGGAATATGAGATGCAAGGTTTGTTCAGGAAATAGATATTCCAGATATTCTTCAAATTCAATTCAAATTCAAATCTTTATTGCCAGTGCACAACATATGTACAATGAGATTGGTTGAGCTTCCTCAGTGCACACCCCCCCCCAACCCAATACAATTCTTCAGTATAAAGATCTGGTAGAATCACAAGGAAAAGATCTGCCAATTTTATTGCCTCGGTAGTATTCAGAACTAATGAACCATTAGGCTAGTAACAAAGGGGAAAGAATAAGAGGTGGCTTGTGAGAAAATAAGACAAGTTTAAGGCAGGGAATAAGCATGTGTATATATGAATCAGAAAGGCACAAAGACATGACTGTAAATCACCTTGTTACTAAGCGCTTAGTGAATGAGGTGTCTAAAAATGCCATTAAGTCATACAGAATTTCTGTCTGTGCTGCTAAACCCAGACATCTTCTTTGCACTTATAAATCATCCCTTGATGATGTAATCATTGGATGATAAATAATCATCTGTAGAATTAAAGAGGAAAAGTTAGCATTTCGGTATCAGGGCCAAGAAAATACATGAACTGAAGGTGCAAAAAAAAAAAAAGCCATTTGAAAGGCAACCGTCTATTATTTGTGGTAACAAAGGATTGAATAGTTGTCTTTGCCACCACTTCTAATGTTTTTCATTTACCAAGATCTTCTTCCATTATGTCCTTATATCCTTTAGCTTCAAAAATCCAGGAACTGATTTTGACTATAAATTAAAAATGTCATTAGTTATAGTAATATCACTATAGAGATTTATGTAGATTTATGTAGATTTATTATAACTATAGAGATTTATATAGACATTTATAGTAATATAACTATAGAGATTTATGTTCCTTTGAATGGAATGCACCTGGATACCTACCCAATTGGGATATAGATAGCTTAGCGTGACCTTCCAATGATTGATGCCATCCAGATAAGATGTATCACAACTCTCATAATTTCAACAACCCCAGAACTCTTTTGCAAATGGCTTTATATTTCCATTCTAAAAATAAAGATGGATGGGATGGATTCTGTTCCAATTGAGAAATCATATCTCACCTGAAGTTTGGATGGAGAAAAGCTTAGATTTGGGGCAGACTCAGTCTTCCCTTTGATGCATCTGTCATAAATGAAGTCAGCCAGATGTTCAATAAAGAACTCATTGTAGAACTCTTTGGCCATGAGTTGCTATGAGCTATGACACATTTAGCTATGCCTGTCATCACCTGGAGAATTCTGGATTGCAGTGATCAGAGGTATTAAATGTTTTCTCCTCTAATTGCACAGCACAATAGACACATTATTGCAGATAGCAAAATAAACACCTTCCTCCCCGTCTAAACAAACACAGAGATACATACACCCAGCCCACTTGCTTCGGATACATTGCTTATTCTATCCCCCACAGGACTGAACATGCGCAGCTAGCAAGATGTAAGCGTATCAGGTAGGTGGGAGGTAAGGGAGAGGTTACATGCTGGGTTTCATTGCTTGTTTCTAGTTATTTGTTCATTGGGAGCAGCTCCATTGAACATTAATGGCCTTTGGATGAAAGCCTGTTGATGGACAGGATATGGGTTTTTTTGAATTTTTGACTTGCTCATGTGCAAAGAAAAGAATATACTTTGTTTACTAGATCTTGTTGGATGAATTAAGCAGAATTAGTATTAGCCAGATGGCTAGTTGTCTTCTGTTTCACTGTTAACAATTCCCATATGGTGGCCTCTGCCCTTCCCTTTTCTGTCTTTTGGCTTGTGATTGACAGGAACGTGTTTCGTAAGCTTCTTGCTCAACCAGAGAAGGAGAAGAGTGATATCTTGTCCCTGGAGGAGATATTGGCTGAAGGAACTGACTTAGCAGACAGCACGCCTGCTCCTTTATGTGCAAGCCGCAACAGCAAGGCCAGACTCAAAGCTCTGAAAGAGGCGATGTATCACAGCGCTGAACATGGCTATGTGGATGTAACCATTGACATCAGGAGTATAGGTCAGTTTGGGTTTCCTCTCACATGAGAAATTACTTGTCAGAAAAATGGTTTGATGTAAGAGACCCTTGTCTGTTGAACTGACAGTTTTGACTGTTCCTCAGTTCTTGTCAAAACAGAAATCGGGCAACTGATAAACATGTTTAGGAACACTGGAAATTCAAGTGTTAAAAACAAGTATTTTTAATTATTATGGATTTATTACATCAGAAAAAGTACAGCTCCCATTCCATAAATTTGTAAATATGTATAAAAAAAATTTCAAAAAAAATTGTAAATATGTATATTGTTGCGAACCAAAGTGAAATACATTTTGCTCTTGGCCAAGAAACCAAGAATAGCTGGGAACATTTTTACAATCATGACCATGGCAAGGGGGAAGGCGTTGGGTCCCACCCAGTAGATAAAGGAGTTGATATAGACTGCTAATTTCTTCTCTCTGCCCCCAAAAACTTTTAGCTCAACTAGAGCTGCTGGTTCTCTGGTTTGAAATGTGTATATCTGGAAATAATCACAATAGGTTTTGGCTTGCCTTGACATTCATTTTCTGAAAAGACAGAAATCAAATGAATTTAATGGCAATAGCAATAGTACTTAGACTTATATACTGTTTCACAGCCCTCTCTGAGCAGTTTACACAGAGCCTCAGTGGTGCAGCGGACTAAAGTGCTGTTAAGTGCTAGCACTTAGCTGCCAGCTGCCTGCAATTAGTGCAAGTTTGAATCTCACCAGGCTCAAGGTTGACTCAGCCTTCCATCCTTTCGAGGTAGGTCAAATTTTTATATTCGATTTTAATTGGTTTTAAATTTTATAAATCTATGTGTTTTAATATGGCTGTACACCGCCCTGAGTCCTTCAGGAAAAGGGCGGTATAGAAATCTAATAAACTAAACTAAACTAAACTAGGTAAATTGAGGACCCGGATTGTGGGGGCAATAAGCTAACTTTGTATAGAACAACACCGCTTGGGGGGGGGGGCCAAAAGCCCTAATAAGCAGGTATATACAAAAAGGTATGCAGGCTATTGCTATAATGCATTGTAAGCCGCCCTGAGTCTACAGAGAAGGGCGGCATATAAATTGGACTAATAAATAAAATAATAAATAAATACAAAGTCAGCATATTGCCCCCAACAATCTGAGTCCTCATTTTACCCACCTCGAAAGGATGGAAGGCTGAGTCAACCTTGAGCTTGGTGAGATTCGAACTGCCAAATTGCTGGCAGCCGGCAGTCAACAGAAGTAGCCTGCAGTACTACATTATAACCTCTGTGCCACCAGTCCCATTAATAAATTGAGTAAAGAATTGTGGTCCTGAATATGTTGCTGAACTACACCTCCCAGCTTTCTTCACCATGTTGGTTGTGTATCCTGTAGATTGTAGCTCAGCAGCATAGGAAGAGCTTCTGACTACTCAACCCTTTCCTAATTAAAAGTATTTTAAAATAAACAGGCATGCACATTTTTGAAAAAGATCATGCTGGTTTCAGTAGTACTACATAGCATCCATCCTTCTTTTAAGCAAATGCCCCAGCCTATTCTAACAGATGACAAACTGGGGTGCTTAGTAGGTAGTAAATTTCTGGAAGGAGGTTACTTTGGCTTTACAGTGTAGAATCTTTCCACAAGTAGCAATTCTGGTTCAATCCAGTTTGTCTTTGAAGAGCAAAGAAGATGATTTTAACCCTGGAAATGAAATTGACTAGGAACTGCTTATGAAAAAGCAAAAAGCTTGAATGTGCAGACTGGATGCTTGGACAAAAACAGATGCTGTCTAAGAAATACAAAGAAGACAGCTGGGAGGAAGAAAAATAGTATATGCCCATTTTCAGAGCAATACTTTTTCAAAAGAAATGATATATGAGCAATTCAGAAATATCCATATATAGTATTTGTTAAATGCATACATTATCCAAAGCATCAATAAGTATCCTAAATTGCATGCTTATCATAAATTATAGTTATTTTTGCACTGAATTTAAGATACTGAATAGGCCAAAAGAAGATCAACATTAAACATCTTCTCTTATTATCATCAGAGAACATGCTGCTGATGCTGCTCTAAAATCAGCTTTCTGAATATCCGCATCTCAAAATTTCTATTAGATAGTTTAATTCATGAGTTATTTTTGTGAACAGGAAACTGGTAGCAGAAAGGAAAACAGAGCTCTGCACTTTTAGTCCTACCCTAAATGTTATTTTAGTTCTACTGTTGCTGATCCTGGGGCTCCTCCTATTTGTCAGAAGGAAGCTTCTTAAAAACATGAAGGATCATGATACCATTTAGAACTTTGATTATTTGGGATTCCAAACTGTGACATCACCAAATGTCACCAGAATAGGGTAGGGTAGGGTAGGGTAGGGTAGGGTAGGGTAGGGTAGGGTAGGGTAGGGTAGGGTAGTAGGGTAGAATAGAATAGAATAGAATAGAATAGAATAGAATAGAAATAGAATAGAATAGAATAGAATAGAATAGAATAGAATAGAATAGAACAGAACAGAACAGAACAGAACAGAACAGAATATCTTCTTAGTTCTAGATTGCTTCTCTCTTTGATTGGTTTCCACCCATTGCTTCTTGTCCTGTCCTCAGGTGCTTTGGTGAATAGCTTGGCTCCCTCTTCTTTGTGGCAGCCCCTGAGATATTGGAACACAGCTATCATGTCACCCCTAGTCCTTCTTTCATTAAACTAGACATACCCAGTTCCAGCAACTGTTCTTTATATAGGAGTGACCTTGCTTTTCTTTGCAACAATAAAGAGAACATGGCAGAAACAAAGATAAAGGTGAGAAGTGTGGCCCCAAGCAGTGCAAATTTCATGTGAAAAATTGTCCTGGCAGATAGTAGGCAGTTCTTACTACTATAAAAGAGTTATATAAAACTTCAACACTAGGTGTTTTACTTACATAAAAATTTGGCACTAGGGGTTCCATATGGAATTTGACCTGTCTTGTTTATTTGGGAAGGTCTATATTTCCATTCTTAATTCTCCCATGGTTACCCAATTCTTCTCCCTGCACTCATTTTTTTACATGCAGAAATTCTCACTTTAAAAAAAATGTGTGGAAATGTTGCTCAGTTTTTGCAGCTCACAATGATTCTCCCATTTCGTTTTGAGAAGTGCAATTCTGACATGGCACAATTATACATCAGGCAGGTAAACTTATTGTAGGATACCTGTCGTGTCTTTTAATTGTCCCTTTAGTTAGGGCTAAAAACATTTTCCCTCATCAACAAAACTTTGTGGGTACATGTCTTCAGAACACTGAAATAATAATGAAATTGTGCTGTTTTATCATTGTCATTGCAATGTGCTTTTCCTAATTAAACCAGCTATTTTGTAATCAGGTCTAACATGTTTGGCATTCCATAGAGAATTATATTTAAATTAATAAACATTGAACAACTGAGATTATTTCTTCAGATGGCTGCTCGGGTAAATAGAGTTTTACCAGTTAACAGCAGTGTGGAAAAACATAACAAAATAAACTTGAAACTTACAATGTCTTGATTGTGTAGAGCAGATTTTCCTATATTAGGTTCCTTCTAGATATGAGGTTCCATTAATGTGCCAACCAGAGAATTCTAGGAGTTAAAGTCTACATAACTGGAGGATCAGATTGGAAAAGACTGCTATTAAGAGTTAATTATAATGTCATAGTGGTTAGAATGCAGTATGGCAGGTTAACTCTGCCTAGTGCCAGGAATTCAAGTCTGACCATCTGAAGGTTGATTCAGCCTTCCAATTTTCCAAGTAAATTGAGGACCTAGATTATCGGAGACAATATGCTGATTCTGTAAACTTCTTAGAGAGGATTGTAAAGTACTATGGAAAGGTATATAAATCTAATTGCTATTGCTATAGTTGTGCTGGGTTTCCAAAAATGAACAGTATATCATTATTGCTAGATGTTATGTGTCATATTTATACGAGGTCTGTGAAAAAATTGATCATGATGGTTCCAGCTTTCAGTTCTAGTCTTTAAGGCAAGGTGCTTTCAGCTGGACATTCTATCTCTCCAAACCATCTTCTCCTCACCATTATTGCTCTGTCTATCCATTTGACTCTGTTTTTGGATTTCAGTGCCCATCCTGAAGCCATTGTTACTACTACTCCTTGTTCTTTTCACTGGCTGCTTGTTTAACAAAGGCAGATGACCTGGTAATTGTATCCAAAAAGAAAAGCACACGAAATTGGCAATGGGTTCTCCATTTGTGTTATTGGCTAATAACCAATGTACAATGCTATTAGGCATTGACTCTTAGGACAGGAAATAGTGTATGTAGAATCACATTCATAAGTCAAAGGTCTTCATGTTATAATATTGTTTCTGATTTTTTTTACAATCAATAGAAATTTTTGGAATACTTTTTGTTTTAAATAGGTGTTCCATGGACTCTCCATACCTGGTTAGAATCTTTGCGAATTGCTTTTCAACAACATAGAAGGCCTCTCATCCAGTGCTTGCTCAAAGAATTTAAATCTATCCAGGAGGAAGAATATACTGAAGAACTCATCACACAAGGATTGCCTTTGATGATTGAAATCTTGAAAGCAAGTAAGGTAGGTGACACTACAGACTTGTCATTTTGCAGATAATAACAACTATTTGTAATGGGCTTTTCTGCTTATAAAGCAAATAGCTTATAGATCAAAACAGAAGCATTACAAATGCAAAGGAAGAATTTATGTGCAACAATAAAACTTCCCCCAAAATATTTGAGGTAAAGCAGTCTTTAGAGCAGCAAACCATCTACAATCTACAATCCAGTGAAAATAAGCATTTTAATCAGAAGCTGATTAGACAACGTATTGAAAACAAGTATTCACGCTTTTATGTTTCAGACTACACTGCCTTGTCTTGTTATCCTTTCCCTTCCTCTCCCTTATTAAGTAACAGTTATTTTGTTAGTAACACTTATTTGTGTAATACACCTTCAAACAGAAATTGCAAACTGTGATCTGCAATATTGGTGTAGAAGGAAAGCAAACCCAATTGGTTGCCAGTTTGAATGTAATGGGAAACAATTTGTGATAGCACAAAAAATGAACAATGAAGAATATTGTACAAGTAGAAAAGTTAGGGGGATCATGGAAGCCCTGTTCCATGAATGGCTTCACATTGGATACTACCTTGTTCAGATAACCATGGATTATTGAGCAAGCAACTATTGGATTGATTCACACAACACCAGAAGCTAACATTTAATCACTCATGGCTTTCTTCCATGTGCCAACCAAACCCCTGAAAATTAATCCAACATGCATGACATTTAGTGGGTGTGAACAGACATGCCTTTAAATGAACTGTGCATTGTAAAAGCAATTCATATTAATAATTTGATTGAAAAAAATCAAATTCTCAATAATATGTAAAAATTGTAATATTTTAAAAACTTTTAACTTCCAGACTAGAGCACTAGATCAGATCTGGAAGATATAGCAGTCTATATCACTGTGGTTTAATTCCTTAAAAGACAAATAATAATAATAATTGAAGTGCATATTTGGTTTCATAGTATCATTTTGATATTAAAAATGCCCTTTGAAATATAAAACAGTATGATAACGAAACATGCATTATTCAGAGGAATAAAAGATTTTGGTTGTTAATAGACAAATGCTGTTTCAAGGAAATATCCCATATATTTTGGGAAGTAGCCTAGTGCAGACTTATTATTATTTGAAATTAAATCAACTTTTAACTAGATTATTCATGTCTCCTTTCTCTCTCAACCAGATAGATTTTTTAATGGTCTAGTGACTATTGTAACCTATATGTTACTTGTCATCAATGTCAGTATTTCTGTATCTAAACAGTTCAGAAAAGCCAGGATCCGCAATCTTCATAAATGTGCATCTTGCATTCTCCATATGAGAGACAAACATCAGGTACACTAGTGTGGCATGCCAATATACTCATAATTAACCAGTGTCACATAAAATGATTAGCATGGTGTTGTCTAGAAACTAACCTTGGATTTGATGGATTTGCATTTAAATCCTTATAAATAATTCCTTCTAAAACATATTTCATCAATGGGTTTAAAAGACCCCTTCTGTTGTTGTTTTTTTAATTTATGAAAAGGAAATATTTGTTGAAATTTCCTGAAGAACCAAGAAGTATTGATTCTGTATCTTATGTGCCCTCTTTTGATCTGACACCCATAAACATTTTCCTGGACCTGAGTTTCTGAGGCACAAATTTTTAAAGATCTTTTTAGTCTTGGCATTATTCCCAGTAACCACTGAAAGACATCTTATATATCTCATTTGATTAATGGTATTCTCTTTGGAAGAGCTATAATTTAGTTTTGTCAAAATAAAAACCTATTTTTCTCAAAGTTGACGTTGCCTCTGGCTGTTCACGTCAACATCTTAGATTCGATACTTACATATGTTGACTAGTATTAATGAAGTATTGAATTTCAAATCTTCTGATAGCAATCTTTCAAAGTATTATTTAATCATGAAACACTGATAGTGGAGATTTTCCCCAAAGACAGTTTGACAAGTTTGGGGCAATGCTCCTTTTTGTGTTAACAATACCTTATGAGGTCAGTCCTTTGAGGCAGAACAGTTTCAATAACGTCTACTGGAAATCTACTTGATTAATTGTATGGCATAATAACAGAATCTTGAAAGCCTGACAGAGATACTTTTTCTTCCTCTTATACCAATGGGAGTCAAGGTAGGGCAAACTTGAATTTCTGGCTTAATCCCTCCTCACTTCCAGATCTAAACTTATATTTTTGTAAAAGCTGTTGAGAACTTTCTTCAAGGCCACCTTCATATTTCTCTGGGTGTGGTTGGAAGAAGATGATAATCATATCGGTGTGACTTATGACAAACGGAAACTCCTAGAATCATTGTGATCTTTTAATCAGCAATTTCCCTTTCCCAGTTTGTTTTTATTCACATATGGATAGATTTCTCAGAGACAGGAAGAAAAAAAAATGCATGTCTCATTCCAGTACATAATGCAGTTTTCTTATAAAAATTCAGCAATTGCTCAAAGATTGAAAGCATGTTCGTCTGAACTATTTTTTAAAAGGTTCTACTGATATCATCATAATCTTCTTCATCATCATCATTGTTCTTTCATCCATTCATTGTAATATTAGATGGCTCATACTACTTTAGTTTATCACCTGTCTTTCTGCCTATTTTTGAAAAAAATAGTTTAGTCTTGACAGAAATAGATGGAACTTTTTTTTCAGATTTTTTGCCCCACTCTAGCTTCATCAATTCATGGTCACCAAAGCTAAAAAAAACTGAAAAACAATTTGCTTTGAATGATGATGGTTTTCTATATTGTTAGTTAGGACAAAAATAGGATGAAAACTATAATTTTATTATTTGGATTGGTTTTTGCATTTGGATTCTAGTTATTGCAGTAAGAATGCCTTATTTATAGACCAGAAGCTTTCAAGTTCATAACTTCAATGAACTATTCAGCAATAGAGAGTTGTTTTCATCCATCTTGCTGCAACCTTTGCTCCTTCCTCTATTAGCCTGCGAGAGAGTGGGGAGAGGGAAATAGAGACAGAGAGACAGAAAGAGAGACAGAGACAGAGAGATGGATTGGATCAATTTCAGAGGAGCGCCTGAAGAAAACATCAGTACCAGTGGGTTAAAACCTATGAGGAATAGCTTCAGCTATATTATCAAGGAAAACCTCTTGACTGTAGGATCTAGTGAACTAGTGAAATAGGCTACCAGATGAAGTGGTACCAATTTCTTAACCAAATGCATATTTTCCTGGGGTTGTGCTGCAGCAGTAGAGGAGAGACACAGAGTCCTGGGAAAAGATGCAGCTGCTTTAAGGAGGCACATATGATACATGAATGTCCTCATACGCTTCATAGCACTGTTTTTCCTAGCAGTTTGAAGTATGGCATAGCACTTTTGTGTCTCTCCTTGGCAGCCAGCCTCCGGTGCCTGATGCATGGATATATGTTGTTAATCCTATTTTTATTAGAATTGCCAGAAAATGAAAATATGCATTTACAGTTTTATTGAGCTGTGAAGTTGACTTAATTTTCCTCTGAATTTTTAGCTGAAAGGCATAAAAACAGGTTTGCATTATGTGGTTTTATCAAAGTATCATTCTGCCTGATGAGAGGCATAATTATCCGTAGTGGTGGTTCTCAACCTGTGGTCCACCCCGGGGGACAGGGCGCAATGTCATCATAGAGGGCCTACAAAGGCTTGATTTAATATTTAAGTCTTGGTGGTCCATGGCCATTGTCCGTGGCCACAAAAGGTATTTAAAGGGGGTCTGTTGTGAAGAAAAGGTTGAGAACCACTGACCTATAGGATATCTCCACAATGTTGATTTATCAGCTTCTAATGCAGTAGAGAAATTGCTCAAGGGAAGTAAGACAATATCTGCTCACATTTTTAGATCCTCAAAGCCATAAAACATTTGAGTGAAGTAACTTTGTTTTATGTTTATTTTACTGCATTTTTTTTTTGTTTCAGAACGAAGTGATTAGTCAACAGCTGGCTGTCATTTTCACTCATTGCTACGGACCTTATCCTATTCCCAAGCTTACTGAAATCAAACGCAAACAGACATCTCGTTTAGGTAAGCATGTGCTACATGAGTTCTTTGGCTTCAGTTTAAAAGATGTGTACTGTAGACATTTGGTCTTGGTAGACTTTTCATGCAATCCAAAATCAGAAGAGATCATAGAATATCCTAATCAGGGCCAAAGTTATTTGCTTATTTATTCACTTTGTATAGCTGCCCATCTCATATTTGTGACTCTAGGCAGCTTGTAAAATTAAAAAAAAATTATAAAAATAAAGAATATAAATAAACTCAAACACAAAACAAAAATACGGACAGCAGATGAAAGCAAGCAATAGATACCATTCATTAAAACCATTGGAAAACTCAACATTACTATTTTTCCTTTCTATTTCCCAATCAAATGCCAGTCATTTATTTCACCAATTTTCCAGTTTGGAATATGGGTATGTAGACTTTAATAATGATTTTATGATCAAACTAAAACACAATATTTACTCTGTTTAGAAGAACTTGCATTCACAACAGTGATATTACTGGCAGTTGTATCTGTCTTTAGTAGCCACCTTCTTCTTTAGAGTACTTTAATAAGTAACAAGCAATTTGGATATAGGAAAATGGAAGGCTTCTGAAGCAGTTCGTATATTGTATGTTTGTATAGGTGCAGCTTGGAAACTTCATCTGCATTAGTTCAAATTTCTGCAATATCCAGGTAGTCATTGATTGACCACTGGTTCAATGACCATTCACAACAGCACTGAAAAAAGTGACTTATGGATGTTTTCACACTTATGACTATTGCAGCATCCCCATAGTTCTGTGATCAAAATTTGGAAGCTTGGCAGCTGGCTCATATTTATTATCACATGTCCTGGGATCATGTGATAATCTTTTGGGACCTTCTGACAAGCAAAATCAATGGGGAAGACAGATTTGCTTAACGGCTGCATAATTCACTTAAGAATTACATGATTCATGCAACAACTGTGGCAAGCAAGGTTGTAAAATGGGGCAAAACTCACTGCCCAACTGTCTTGCTTAGCAACAGAATTTTTTGGCTCAGTTGTGGTCATAAATCAAGGACTATCTGCATTTTCCAGATTTATTTACTTACTTATTTTATTATTTATTTATTAATCTTCTCTAACTTGGTATCTTTTAACATGTTCCCATCAGCCAAGACCAGCATGATTTACTGTTATTGAAGCCGAAAACAAATTGTATTAATAGAGATCTGGTAGTTTAGACTACGGGTGTCTAATTTGATTGCATCACGTGACATACCGTGATGTTTTTTGCTTTTGCAGAGCTTGGGGGGGGGGTGGCCTGCGCATGACGCATCCGGCCCGCGAGCCACCAGTTTGACAGGCCTGCGGTTTAGACATAAGCAAGAGTACTGACAAATAAAAAATAAGCCATCCCTTATATATTTATATAAAATGTATAACCCTACTCAATTTCTTTCCCAGGACTTTGGCAGTTCATAAACCTCCCAAATATGCAGGGAAAATGAAACAATATAGAATAGAATAGAATAGAATAGAATAGAATAGAATAGAATAGAATAGAATAGAATAGAATAGAATAGAATAGAATAGAATAGAATATTTTTTTATTGGCCAAGTGTGATTGGATACACAAGGAATTTGTCTTGGTGCATATGCTCTCAGTGTACATAAAAAGAAAACATTGAATTTTATTATGCAGTGTGTGGCAACCTTGAATATAAAATATACTCCAATATTTACCACTCTGCTCAGAACTGTTGAAAAATATAAGTGTTCATTTAAAAATGAAAATAAAAAAATGAGAAATAAAAGAAATAAAAATGAAAAAAAAATATTTTCTTAATACTGGCCTTGGGCCTCATATAAAGACAACATTTTTAACATTTTTATTTCCTGGGAAAGAGGCTTGTGGGATTGTCTTCCCAATATAGTACAATAACTTGACTAATTGGGGTGCTATGGATGGACTTGGAAACGGGGAATCATTTCTCCTTCTGTCTCAGGCAGCATAATATCTTAGAGTGCTCTGTTGCTCTGTTACCTTTAAAAATAGTGTTAGAATTTCTTTCAGTGGCTTGGAATGCACTCTGGATGACAATATTTGAGTATATCCTCTATCAAAAACTTCCAACTTGAGCAAGGGTTGGACAAGAAGATCTCCAAGGTCCCTTCCTATGTTGCTATACTCTATGTTCTATGTCAGGGGTGTCATAGATCTGGCCCTGGAAACAGTGAAGGACTGGCCTCCGGTGAAAACTCTTGTCAGTGAAAACGAAGCTCAGGATTGCCACATGTGGGTCCTCCTGAGCTCCGTTTTCGCTGGCAGAGGGTTGCAGGAGCCATTGCAACCGAAAATGGAACTCAGGAGCCCATTTTCTCTGGCAGAGCACTCAGGCCACTACAGGCACATCCAACGAGTGACGTCATGCTGGCCACACCCATCCTGGCCACACACCCCGAGGTCAAACAACCCTGATGCGGCCCTCAATGAAATCGAGTTTGACACCCCTGTTCTATGTTCTTCAAAATAACTTCAAAGGTGCATTCATCTTAAATTGCAGTCTTTTATAATGAAGATCAAATATATTGATGTTTTAATTTATTCCGATTAAAGTGTCTTCCTCTTGGTTTTTTGTATGTTTTTTTGTTTGGGAGGTGGTTTTTTAAAAAATTTGATCTGTTGTTTTTTGTCATTTCAGATCCTCATTTCCTCAACAATAAAGAAATGTCAGATGTTACATTCCTTGTGGAAGGAAGACCATATTATGCTCACAGAGTATTACTATTTACTGCATCTCCTAGGTATTTATACATATGAAAATGGCATAAACTTAATTTTAGTATTTTGGATCACAAAAGGCAGGCAGATTTATAGGTTACCCAAGAGGAATTTGCAATTAAGATTATATTTCTTCATTGGCTGAATAAATTGCCGGTGATTACTGCACATCTCACCGCAATAAATGTGACTAGTTGAAAAGTGTGATAGAATCCAGAAAGGGACATCAAAGCATAAGGAGAAACAATACAGACTACCAATCAGGAGTTTGGTAGTCTTCTTAGGGAAACTATGTTCAGCAGCCAAAATATATTTCTGCTGTAATGCTAAAGTCTTACACTAAAAGTCAGTATTACAGTACATCCCCAGATTAAAGTTAGAGAAATTTGCTTGCCATTATGAATATAGATCCATTGTGGTATGTATGATTAGACACTAGTTTTTCTACTAGCTTTAGAGCTGAATAAAGGTAGACCTTTCTGGACAGTACTCCATCAATTCCTGTCACTTCCATAACTGGAAGGATATTGTCAATTTTTTTTTACAATTATGAATATAAGATATTGGGAGCCAAGCAGAGGTGGTATTCAGCAGGTTCTGACCAGTTCTGGAGAACCAGTAGTGGAAATTTTGAGTAGTTCAGAGAACCGGTAAATACCACCTCTGACTGGCCCCACCTCTATCTATTCTCTGCCTCCTGAGTCCCAGCTGATCGGGAAGAAATGGGGATTTTGCAGTAACCTTCCCCTGGAGTAGGGAGGGAAGGGAGATTTTACAGTATTCTTCCCGTGCCATGCCCACCAAGCCATGCCACACCCACCAAGCCACGCCAACAGAACTGATAGTAAAAAAATTTGAATCCCACCATTGGAGCCAAGCATATTTTTTCCTCTTTACCTTTTCTTCTCTGAAGCAGAAAAGGTGGGTTTGCTGTTGCTGAAAGCACTTGAGATGACTTCAAGAAGCCATTGATAATTACTGTTATCTTAACCCTTCTCTGAAACACTTCAGTTCTTGGCTACCTTCTCCTTAAAAAGGGTGGTGGAAGCGAAGAAATTAGATACTACCTTAATATCTAATTTGGCCTTTTCGAGCCTTCTGCCTTCAAAATGAGCTTCCAGAATTATTACTCAGCACAAGAACTGACTATTTGAACAAGGCTGACTAGTACAACTTGTGATCTGGCATTCTGAAGTTAAGCATTTAATAGCTTTGGCTGCTACTGACAGATCCTGGGGCATATCTTTTCTGTATTTAAAAAAAAGTGGAATATATGAGTCCTCAATGGATAGGTATCGTCCTTATGTGTGAACTTTATACCATGCTAATGCAAAGGCTAGTTTTTTTCCTCCTTTCCTTCATGGTGATTGATATATATATATATACACACAAATTTACAAATTTCATGGTGATATATATATATATATATATATATATATATATATATATATATATATATGCATATTCTTTCTAGCCAGGTTTTACCTACGTAAACTAAGTTGTTCTACAGCCCTGGTTCTGTGAAATCTCATTCACAAGTTTCACATAAAAGCCTATGAAAAAGAAAAAGACACATTGTACCTTTACAGGGAGGATATCTGAGAAGTGGGTGTGGCTCACTGATGACGCCTTAAAAGGCAGAAATAGCTATCTGAGTCTCCCAGAGAGCAACACAGAGTTGCAGTTTGTCAGCAGAAAAAAGGCCCAGAAACTTGTGAATGAGATTTCACAGAACCAGGGCTGCAAAACAACTTAGTTTACGTAGGTAAAACCTGGCTAGAAAGAATATGCATATATAAACAAATTTACATATTACAAATTGTTTTTAAATAGCAAATGTATTTGGATGTTTCTCTGTAGGTTTAAAGCATTGTTGTCCAGCAAACCTCCCTCTGATAGCACTTTCATTGAGATCAGCTATGTGAAGTATCCCATTTTCCAGGTAACGTTGAATGTCTCAAGAAATCTCGGTATAACTAATAATTAGAACCAGAGAAATTTCCTGAAATATGGACTCTAATTACTGTTTTCTAATAGCAGTATTTCAGCTTTGTTATTCATTGGAATCAAACTGTTGTGACCTAGGCCCAAGTAGTTATTACCAAACACAATCAGTCCTAAACAAACATATTTTATTAAAACAGCTGGAATTACTTCATTCTCAGCTTAGTCCAAATTCTTCATAAGCAGTCCTTCGGCCTTATCACCAGCCTTTGTCTTCTTTGGCACCCTGCCAAAGGCTTTTCTTGGCAAAACCCCATGAAGTTCAGAAGCAAGAGACGCTGACAAGAAACAAATGTAGCAACGTTGCTTTCCTACAAAGATCCCAAGAGCTGTTGCTGCTCTTTTAAGCCTTCTGGGAGGGGCCAATCATCTCCTGGCCTTACTCCCGTGTCGTCCTTTTTGCTTTAGCTGCTCTTGCCTTCTGGCAGCTCTTCGCATGTGTGCACTAGGAACAGGCTCCTCCTATTCCTCTACCTCTCTTCTATCCGCCTGGAGGTTCCAGAGTCCGCGCATCACTCCCGGATGTCCCTGGCCCCATCTCTGCCTCCGACGCAGAGCCCTCGTCCAGGCCTTCCCCTGACTCCAGGACTGGCCCATTGTCCTCCCCAGCCTCCTCAGTGTCCAACTCCGCTGACAGCTCCGCAGGCTGCTGGCAGACCACAACACAAACTGTATATGAATGACATTGATCTACTTTTATGTGGCCTGGCCATAGAATTAAATATTGTAACATTTATGTAGGAATGGTAATCAGGTTTAAAAAGTGGAATTATTAGCAAAGAATTCCGAGGTCAGTTAGAACAATGGTTTTATTTGCTTGTTTGACTTTTATCAGACCTTAATTATTTTGTAAATACAAGTAGTCCTTGACTTACAACCACAATTGAGACCAAAATGTATGTTGCTAAGCAAGGCATTTGTTAAGTGAGTTTTGCCCCATTTTATGACCTTTCTTGCCTCAGTTGTTAAGTGAATCACTGCACTTGTTAAATAAGTAACATGGTTGTTAAGTGAATCTGGCTTCCCCATTGACTTTGCTTGTCGGAAGGTTGCAAAAGGTGATCACATGACCTCAGGACACAGCAACCGTCACAAATATGAAACAGTTGCCCAAGCATCAGAATTTTTTAATCATGTGACCATGGGGATGCTGCAACAATCGTAAATGTGAAAAACGGTCATAAGTCACTTTTTTCAGTGCCGTTGTAACTTTGAACAATCACTAAATGAACTGTTGTAAATCGAGGATTACCTGCAATTCAAGGCAATGAACTTACACAATACCCCTTCTTTTTCGTACTATTTCCCCAACAAAAACAACCCTGGGAGGTGGGTTAGGCTGAGAGAGAGTGACTAACCCAAAATCACCCAGCCATTGTTTCATGCCTAAGGCAAGACTAGAATTTACACTCTCCTGGTTTCTATACCAACAGTTTAAACACTTGATCTGTCCCCGTCCACACACACACACAAACACAGCCAGCCGAGGGTTAAGAAAGTACTTGGCACGCACACAGGTCGTTATCTCAAACTTGGCAGCAATGTAATCACCGTCTGCCAAGAGCTTTTACTGCAACAGATAACATAAATTACATACGTATTGCAAATAGTCCAGCAAAACAATATCCCTTTCGGCAGCTTCAGACGTTGTTCAAGTGACTAGCCAAAGTTCGTTTTTGTTCGTCACGGAGTTTTACCAGCCACCACCCTCTCTTATATAGTCTCTGGGGTGTGGTCCAGTGACTCAGTTCTAATCCCTAGCACGCCTCCTTAACTGCTGCAACCGTTTATCACGCCTTCGTTGGCGTGCATCCAGGAATGACGGCTCTCCTTTGCTCTCATCCGAGACACCTGGCTCCTGGCTAATCTCCTCTCCCTCGGCCGGCACCTGAGACAGTGCCAGAGGGGAGGGGCCTGGAGAAGGAGGCCTGGCTGACTCCTCTTCCTCATGTTCGGAGCTTTCTTCCTCCGATGAGATAGGCTCAGAGGGCGGGGCCACAACAACACTACACCAAACTGCACTCTTCATCTGGCCACCATAAATGCTTTTCCGGAAGTTCTTAAGTATCGGGGTGGTGGTGGTGTGACGAGGACATCTCTCCCATCAGGAAAATATTTGAAAGTCAAGAGAGGCTCTTTTGAAGATACCTTCTGCCTTTTTCTGTGTTGCTTTCATGCCTTCTCTGATAAGCTCCATTTGATTCTCACTCAGTCAGTAGTTCAAAACCAGGGGTGAAATTCAGCAGGTTCTGACAGGTTCTGGAGAACCGATAGCAGAAATTTTGAGTAGTTCGGAGAACCAGCAAATGCCACCTCTGGCTGGCCCCAGAGTGGGGTGGGAATGGAGATTTTGTAGGATCCTTCCCCTGCCACAGCCACCAAGTCACGCCCACAGAACCGATAGTAAAAAAAATTGAATTCCACCACTGTTCAAAACCATATAAAGATGCAACTCTTTCACAGACTTTTAATTGTTTGTTGGTTTTATGCCACTTCTAGTGTTTATTTCAATTTATGTTTTTAGTTTTTTATATTGTGCTTTTTAAATTTGTTTGACTGCCTTTAGCAATAATCAATCAATCAAATGAACTTTTTTTTTTCAGAAGTGAGCTCCTTTAATTACTGGTATTACACAGTTCTTTTTTATTTTCTCATATTGAGGTTTTCAGAAGTGTGATAATTAAGCGTTCCTTAATTATTCTGAAAGAGGTGTGTTAAAGAAAAGTTGCCAGGTTTAGCTTGTCTTTCATAGGAGCACGCCTGGCAGAGATTTACCAGCTGACGGCATCCCTTGTGTTGTATTTGCGTACTATAGTGAATTTTTTCCTTGCCCTACTTTTGTATACCAAATTTCTTCCCACAAAACTGCTGCTAAAAAAGAGAATATGAGCTCTCTTAGGAGAGAAATTAGTTGTTAATTGTATAGCTTTGTAGCCAGTAGGTTTCCTTTATCAAGAATCCTTGAGTAAAAATGACAGAAACAAGAACTACTCTCCTGACATAAAGAGTTAAGGGATATATTTTCACCATATCCTAAAATGTATTAATACTATTTCATTCTTTTCTGTTTTCTGTTTTGAAATAACATTGATTTATCACTTTTCCCTTAGTTTTCAAGAACTTCAGAAACAAATGTATTTTTGTAATTTATGGATTTATTTATTTTTTTTGTTTCAGCTTATTATGCAGTATCTCTACTGTGGAGGTTCAGAGTCACTTCTCATTAAAAACAATGAAGTTATGGAGGTAAGAGGCATCTTATACTAAAAACTGCTATTATTATTATTATTACAAGTGTGCTAAATTACTAGATTTGGCTGAATGAAAATGGAGGTGATCAATCAATGATAAATTAATTGAATTTATTCAGCTGCCTGGACTTGCTTTCGATGAGATGGGTGTCTGTGTAAATGTGATAAATAAATTAATAAAAATCTTCCTTACGTGTAGATTTTTTTTGGACCCATAGATTTTTTTTTCATTTGTAAAGTGCTTTAAAAGCATGCAATCACCTGTTAACTTTGGAGGAAAAGAAAAAAAAAATGAACAACACAGCCCCCATAGTTTCCAGTTTCATTTCATTTGAAATACTACGATATGTACAAAGACAGATCAAGAAGTTGAAAAAGAAATATTCTTTTTGGTGCCCACAAAAATGATTACCATCCCCAAACCTGTAATAATCCTTTTTCTCATTTTTCAGCTTCTATCTGCTGCTAAATTTTTCCAGCTTGAAGCATTGCAACGTCACTGTGAGATCATCTGTGCAAAAAGTATCAACACAGAAAATTGTGTGGATATTTATAATCATGCCAAGGTAATCCAATTTTGTTCCTCATATATATTCATTGGTGCAGGAATCCATGCCCAGCCCCAGCATAAAATGTCCTTGGACAGGTGTCAAGATCTAATTGTTGCAATCCTGGCCTAATTTTTGCCTCTGCTTTGTTGCATCTTCCCGCGCCATTACAGTGAGAAATTGCATTGGCCAGGTCCAGTTGTAAAAATTCTTCCCATCGTTCCCAAAGGCATTCTCCTGGGCATTTCATAACTATACTGGGACTTACACAAATAGGGAGGGAAGAGTATTGAAATTCTAATGACTAGCAGTAGGACTTGGCTCACTCTAGCTATATATGACATGGCTATTAATATTGTGCATATCATAATTTATATGGGAATTTAGCTCGTTTAATCTTGAAGAAATGTAGTCAGGGGATAGGATTAGGGTTAGGATTAGTATTCTTTGCAGATAAGACTGCTGCTCACTTTTTGCAGTTATGATTGCTTTTTTAAAAAAACCACTAAAATTGGTGAACAAACAATATGCCTACCTACACACATATCCGTTGCACTATTCTTTTTTGGGGGTATAGCAGTGGCAGAGTTGAATGTAGAGTTGAAAGGATGTAATTTCAAAGCCCATCTCCCAGAAGACCTTGGATTTGTACCTTGTGGCCCACCTTCTACCAGACTGTCGTAGTTTATCACTACCACCACCACCTGCCTTCCTTGGAGAATGGCTTTACCTGGTGGCCTCCTAACCCCAACCTATAAAACAGATGCCTTGCCTTCCAGCAAAGAGTAGGAACAAAATATGATAAAAAGAACTCTATAGGGCCACTTCCTGTCTATTTTAGCTTTCAGGTATGTGACTAGAAAAAACAGTCCCTGCTTCTTTGAAAAATTAAGTAATTTCACAATTGATACATTTTTTAAAAAACCAATTAAAAACAAGGAAGAAATGAGACATAAACCATTCATAACTTTAGGTATTTACATGTAGAGACAATCGGCAGCATGAAAAATAAAAACACAGTGGTGCTAAAATTAGAAATTTTCTTTCTATTTACTTTCTCATAGGAAGCAAACTGTTGTGCTTCCATCATACTGATACATCTTCTCATATATTGCCTTTTCTTTAAACTACTTACCTTTCTCTTTTTAAGCATCTCATCAACTTCTTCAGTCTTCTCTTTCTCATTCATTTTTGTCACATGATCAAACAACCTTAGGGTACTGTTTTCATAATAGTCTATCAATTTGGTTTCATTAATTCATTAATTCCTTTTCTCTTCTTCAGTAACCCATTTGTACTTACTTAGAGAGGGCTGTAAAGCAGCGGCCCCCAACCTTTTGGGCACCAGGGACCGGCTCCATGGAGAGAGGTTTTTCCACAGACTGGAGGGGGCGTGGTTTCCTGTGCTGCCTGCATCCTATGGATGGGACTTTGCTTGTTTGGGTGGCCCGGTTTATGGCATGCTGCGGACTGGTGCTGGTTCACAGACTGGGGTTTGGAGATCCCTGCTGTAAAGAACTATGAAGCAGCCTATAAGTCTAAGTACTATTGCTATTTTCTTTTGCCCCCAGCGTGAAATCAAGCAGGTTTTAACAGGTTCTGGAGAACCGATAGTGGAAATTTTGAGTAGTTCGGAGAACCAGCAAATACCACCTCTGCCTGGCCCCAGAGTGGGGTGGGAATGGAGATTTTGCAATATCCTTCCCCTGCTATGCCCACCAAGCCATGCCCACAGAACCAGAAGGGGAAAAATCTGGATTTCACCCCTGCCCCGGGACACTTTTATTTTCATTTCTAAATAACAGTTTGACAAGAACATGTGCTTCTTCACAGATATTTTCAGATGCTTAGATCAAATAGACCAGATACTACCCATTATTTTTCTAGCAATATTTATCTTAATGTTTTTCCATCTTCCCTGCTTTAGTAAAATTTCTGTCAAGATATGCAAATTGAAAGCTATACAGATTTTTTATAAAACACTACTTACTGCATTTGTAACATTGTCTCTGTTAAACAAGGTCTGTGTATCATTTTCATTATTATGGTTCATTACACAGTCAGCCAGATGGATTTGGCATTTTTATCCACTTATCGAGTCCTTTCCAAAGACCTGGGATAGGCAGATGTTGATATTTGATGAGGTTAGAGGTATTGTCCCAGGGTGTAAGCTGTTCCAAGCAAAGCTGCCTTTTGCAACTACTTGATGGTGAATTTGTCAATGCCGATGATGTTCAAATGGTGCTCCAGTTGTTTTGGGATTGCACCCCAAGCACCTATCATTATTGATACTACCTTTGCTTTCCTTTGCCACAATTGTTCTATTGCACAATTTGCAGGTCTTTGTATTTTGTTATCTTCTCTAGTTTTTTCTTTTCCCTTCTTCTTGCTTCAGGTACTGTCATGTCCATTATCCAAATGATGCAACAAAGACTTTTTTGTCTTTCTTATTAACAATTAAATGTGAGGTGTTATATGGCAGGTGCCTATTTGTTTGAATTCTAAAGCCCCAGAGCACTTCAGCCTCTTCATTTTCTATGATTATTGCTATTTTACAGTCTCACCAGTTCTTGTTTGCAGGCAAATCAGAGGTGGGTTTCAGCAGGTTCTGACCAGTTCTGGAGAACTGGTAGCGGAATTTACTATCGGTTTGGAGAACCGATAGTAAAAATTCTGACTGACCCCGCCCCCATCTATTCTCTGCCTCCCAAGTTCCAGCTGATCGGGAGGAAATAGAGATTTTACAGTATCCTTCCCCTGGAGTGGGGTGGGAATGGAGATTTTACAGTATACTTCCCCTGCCACGCCCACCAAGCCCTGCCACGCCCACCAAGCCACACCCACAGAACCGGTAGTAAAAAATTTTGAAACCCACCACTGAGGCAAATGGTATTTCTTGCAGATCTTCCAATCCCTTTGCTGCTACTAGGTCTTGCTATGCTTGCCGTCAGTCTGTGTGATCTTGCAGTAGTTGTCTGCAACAGGCAATCCATTGTTTCTTCAGCTTCTTTGCAAAGGCAGCACTTGCCGTCTGTTGCTGTCTTCTCAATTCTGGCTTTTTTTGCATTTGTTCTTAAGGCTTGGTGTTATGCCACCAGAATTAGCTCATCTATCTCTTTCTTCAACTTTCCTGCTTTTAACCATTGCTAGGTCTTGTTATTATCTATTTTCCCTGCTATTTTTGTTCATGTACTGGCCATGTAATCCTTTGTCTTCCTACGCCTCTTTTATGTTCTTCATTTGATCTTTATTGTAGTTTGGTATCTTCAGTATTCAGTAAGCCTTCCTAGTATACTAGCTTCAGTGCATTATTAATATTATTTGGTGCCTTTGAGACAATGTTGGGTTAGCCCTTGCAGTTTTCTTAGCAACATTTCAGGAGTGGTTTGCACTTAGCTGCTTTACAGGGCTGAGAGAGAGTGACCTGCCTAAGTCACCCAGTTGGGTTTGTGTCTAAGGGAGTACTAGAACTCAGAGTTTCTGATTTCTAGTCTGCTGCCTTAACCACTACATCAAACTGACTGGATCATACGGCCTTCTTAAGTGGTCATAAATAATTTGGTTCATAGCCTACAGCATGATGTTGTTTGCATACAATAATATGCATACATGCATCCCCCAGAGGACACACTACTGTAATGTCACAAGTATTCCATACACATTTATCCATCAGTACAGTATCATCCAGCTTCACTTTTTGAGCAATCATTGTCTGGTGTATTTTTCTTATCCATTATTTCTTTCACTTCATAATTTGGAAAGTATCCCTTTTCATATTTCCCATTAGATAGTTCCATACATCTGTGAGTCAATCTACAATACAATTCTTATCTCTATGTGCAAAGCCATTTCCAGATTTTTTTTCATTAAGTCTTTTTTTTATTCAGTTCTGTTCAATTTTAGAAAGAAAACCCAATCCTTTAACATTCTGTATAATAAGAGACAACCATTAGATATTGTTAATACAACTTAAACCCTAGTGTAGCAGATTTTGGGTTTAACAGTTTTGGGTTTAAAATCTGTTGGGCACAAACTTGGTCCAAATTATCGTTACTGTATTGGGACTTCTTAAATCCTCAGAATAATTTTTCCCCTGCCTGCGGTCTGGCTTCTGGTCCGTGGTCGTGCTTCATCATTGGTGTGGGTTGGAGTCTACTTTCTGCGTGGATGTGTGGTGGTGACAGTGTGCAGACAGCATTCTGCACAAACCGAAAAATATCCACCATCCTAAGAAACCCCAAAGACAAAATTGAATTAGAAAATCAAGGAGTATATGAAATCCCATGCACCGCCTGCCCCAGCACATACATTGGACAAACCAACAGAAGAATAAGTGCACGCATTGAAGAACACAAGAACTCAGTCAGAAAAGAGGAACCAACTTCTTCCCTGGTCCAACACCTTAAAGCCACAGGACATGAAATTGACTTTAAAAAGACCAGAAGTATTGCCAAAACTGAACACTTTAACAACAGAATAATCAGAGAAGCCATCGAGATAGAAAAACACCCACACAGCATGAATAAATAAGATGATACCTCCCGCCTACCAGCTATTTGGAAACCCGCCCTTATTGACAAACGAGTCCCTAACACGAGGAATGACACCAGACCCACATTCACGAGGGCCACACAGGATGTCACTGCCACACATCCACGTGCAAAGCAGACTCAAACCCACCCCGATGATGAGGCATGACCACGGACCAGAAGCCAGACCGCAGCTGCATCATTAGCCACTTTAAACCCCTCCAATCCATACATGAAGCAGACTGACACCCACCATGAAGATGTGGCACGACCACGAACGTGAAGCCAAACAACAGCAACACAGCTCACCAGCTCAAATCCCCCTGCAACTCAGACTAACCCGAGCACAACCAAGCCCCCACCCAAACAGAACACACCCCCAGCCAATCAGAGCACAGCCAACCCCCATCCAATCAGAGCACAGCAAAGCCCCCAACCAATCAGAACACACCTCCACCCAATCAGAACACAGCCAAGCTCCCACCCAATCAGTTCACACCCCCTCTAGCAGTTAAAAGGAAGAAACAGCTGCGACCACACATTGCTCCTAGAAGCTCGAAGCCGAAAACACCAACCTGAAGATGACGAATGAGACTTCATCAAAACGTCGCCAAGACACTTCCAGTTTTACGCGGGAGAAAACCTGAATAACCAAAGACCTATATATATAGATAGAGAGGAGGGAGGGAGGGAGGGAGATTTGGTAAATTAGGGTCAGGAGGGCAGATTAAATTCCATGTTGTTTGTTCTAAGTGAGATATTTGTCACATAGACTGTATTACCCATGTAGTTCTACCTCAGATTGCCAAGAGATATTGGATACTGTTGAATAAGTCTAAAGCACCATGGGCTGAAGAATTAGCTTCAGTGAGCAATTACAGTCTGTATATTTATTTGTGTTTCTTTTTCTCTTCCTACCCTTCATTATCCATCTTCAGTTTCTTGGAGTCACAGAACTAGCTTCTTTTTGTGAGGGTTACTTTCTAAAAAATATGATGGTCTTAATTGAAAATGAAGCTTTCAAGCAGTTGCTGTATGACAAAAATGGAGATTCACCTGGCCAAAATGTTCTACAAGATTTACAGAGGACGTTGGCAACACGGATCCAGTCGATTCATTTATCATCCTCGAAAGGCTCCATTGTATAAAGTTCTGGAAGTATTTGAAGTTTCATCAGAGACACTGCACGTGAAATATTGCTGTTGTATTATCTTGAGCAAACATATAATTCTTTTCCTACTGGAATATTACATTGCGGTTATGGGCCAAAGGTGCTGCCACTTACTTGAATCTTCTTTTGGGCAAGATGTTGTGGTACAAGTGACTCCTGGGCATTTTTGGAACTACCAGGGTGCATTGGTGTCCTGTGAATAACATATTGTTCACATTCTGGATGCAGAAGTGTTGTTGTGTAACTAACGCCAGCAGGAGATGGGATAAGTGCTGGTAAAGAGCAGAAACTCTGAAAGAACAAGAATGCCATGGAACAATTCTTTGACAAAACCAACACATCAGGTTTTTATTACACAATGTTCTGTTCTGTTTGTTATTTTCTTGTTTGGGAGAAGAGGCTAAGCCCTGTAATTCTTCCCACTTTCAAAGTCCATTGTATTACACATTTAAGAAATATAGAACTGGATTACTTGCATATTAGCATTTTTTTTAAAAAAAAATGATTAAGACTGTTAAAAATGTGAAAATGTATTTTCACAATTTGTTAGTGGTGTGGTTTTTTTTTTTAAATGGTTCCTAAATAAATGGGATGGCTCTAAATTGTTTTCCCCAAAAAATATATTTAAAATTGAATGTAATAGGTTAAGTTTGGTTATTCTTTTGTTTTTAAATGGTGAAATATGCACTGTGTAGACATAGATATGAAAATGGTTCGGTTCATCTGCTTTCTTTAAAACTGATATAATCTTGCCCAAATGTTCTGATTACACCAGTGTTTCTCAACCTCAGCCGCTTGAAGATGTGTGGACTTGAAGATGTGCGGACTTCAACTCCCAGAATTCCCCAGCCAGCAAATTGCTGGCTGGGGAATTCTGGGAGTTGAAGTCCGCACATCTTCAAGCAGCCGAGGTTGAGAAACACTGGATTACACCAAAGAGGTGCAATTACCAAGAATTTAATATTTGGGGTAGGGGGGAAATCTGCATGCTAGTTGTGGTTTGGGACTTAAAACAGCAATGAAACTCAACATGCATTTGCATGGTAATGGTACTTGTGAAATGTTATGTTTGTGCTTAATTTTTCCAAGAAAAAAAAAATGACAATGCAATGTTAGTTCACTGTCAATTCCATTTGTGAAGTTGTATTTCAGAGTTTATTTTCTGGATGCATACAGTTCCCACAGAGTAGAGCTTTAAAGATGAAGATTTCTAGTTATGTACGAAAGGTCAATCCTGGGTCTTTATTAAGGGAGAAGATGGTATTTTGTTACTAGGCAGAGGTTATGATCAAGATGATTTATTTTAATTATATATTAAATATATGCTATAGAGTGATTTCTTGCCATAAATTCCGAATGAGTCAACTATATGCTTATAGAGGCCTGTACCAGGCCTTGGATTATTCAGTGACAAATATTTTTAAGACAACTTTAATAAGTGCCACACAAACTCAACAATGTTGATTGGATCAGCTGTTATTTTGTGGATTTGCAGGTACACAAGATTCCATCAGAATCGTTTATCATGCTAGCTTTCCTTTGATAGAAATGAATTATGGCTGGTTCATAAGCTTTGAGATATTTGTGATGATGATGATGGCGCAAAAGTATATTCTTTTATAAAGGTGCTACTTCTCGTTTAAAGATTTTTAAAATACATATATATATATATACATACAGGAATATACAGGAATCCAATTTTTGTAGTAGAAGGTCAGAAAAGAAAGCTCTGGACAATCCTCCTTAGTTGCTACTTAAACCATTGTAAGCAACAGCACTTGCAAAGGTGCCTGAACTACCTTAAAATTCTACTGGCACAGTTTGGTGACTAAATAGTGAAATACCAGTCTTGCCCATCTCTGCTGTGTGGTCTGCAATTAGCCTCTTCCTTTCACTGAATGTTGCAATGCTTATAAGGGCAAGAAGCTGACCACTGTTGAGACTGTCTCCTTGCAGTCCTTCCCTTATGGCTGTGCTTCCTAGTAAGTAAGACAGCAGGTGGGCTGTTATAACATCACATCTGAAAGTCCTGTATGCGTTAATTGCCAAGTTGCCAAACAGTAGTTCAGGATGTCGGATCATGCAGCATTAAAAGTGTACGAATGTTTTTTTTTTTTTTTACAAACTAAGGATGGATTCTAAAGCCAACTTCCCACAACATGCTAGAACCAGGCCAACACAATGAGCCACAATATGGTTTGTCTTGGCATAGCATGTTAGAAGAACCCAGCCATTTATTTTGTGATTTCGGGTTTAGAGCTAGGCTTGTAACGGGAATCTAATTTAATCTAAACAGTTATTGTGATGTAACGTTTGTGAATATAAGAAACAAAAGAAATGGTTTTTTTGAACTCTGTGCATGTCCTGTTCAACCGTGAGGGCTTGTTCTATTTTGAAAGGAAAAAGGAAAGTTAAATGGCATTTGTGAAAACATATGTCCATCTTAGCGGTACTGGCCTATAAACACCAAAGGAATTGGGACAGGGAAGAAAAAAAGCTTGTAGATGGATCCTCTTGATAAGAAGTTTAAAAATCCAGAATCACGGAGACTGTTGCACAAATCTTTGGATTCTCATATAATGGGAAGAAAGCTACAGGCAGTTCTCGACCTACAACAGTTCATTTAGTGACTGTCCAAAGTTACAACAGCATTGGAAAAAAAGTGTCTTATGCCCGTTTTTGACACTTACCACCATTGCAGCATCCCCATGGTCAGATGCTTGGCAACTGACTCATATTTATGACGGGTGCAGTGTTCCAGGATGATGCGATCACTTTTTGCGAACTTCTGACAAAGTCAATGTGGGGCAGACAGAGTCACTTAACAAACTGTATTGTAACTTAACAACTGCAGTAATTCACTTCACAAGCATGGCAAGTAAGGTCGTAAAATGGGGCAAAGCTCACTGTCTCACTTAGCAACAGAAATTGTGAGCTCAATTGTGGTCGTAAGTTGAGGACTACAGTGCTTCTCTGCTTTTTCCAGTGTGGCTGCCAATGGCTTCTCCCCTCTTTTTGACCCGGGGCCTTGGAGGGATTTCAGAAGCGCTGCCATGTTGAAGGAGGGCCAAGTGAGATCCTTTCTGGACTGCTCAGACATGGATGGCAGCAATTACATTCTTTCATCCTTTTCTGACAGGAAGAGCATGCTGCAAGACAAAGCAAATAAAAATTGCATAGCTACAATTAGAGGAGGGTTTGTCCACCTATATTACTGCGGCTTTTCAGTGTTCTGCCACTGTCTTATTATCACATAAATTCCTAGGATCTTGGACTCCCAGTTGTCTTCAGGAGAGAGAAAGATGGTGACATTTTCTATTTCTTTCTTTTTCAGTACCAATTAATAGCAACAACTATTTTGATTAATCTTCCGGAATTGATGTCATGTTCCAGTGTCAGATTTCTATTTTACATATTGACATTTCTTTGAAATTTAAACTATACTTACCATTTTATTGAAGTTGCAAACTGATTGAAGGATTTAGAATCAAGATGGTATTGGTTTACTATTAAGATAATATTGTGCCAAATGTTAGCTACATGATAATGGTTTATGGCAAGATGTATTAAGTACTTAATGGACCTTATGGCTGGTCCACTTCTTTTGCTGTGTCTGCAATCTCCTAATTGAGAGATTGTTTTCATCCAAGTTCCTACTTCCTATCATTCTGCAAAGGCTCCAGTGTTGAATAACAAGCTTCTGGAACCATCTGTGCGCTAACAATGCAACATACATATTATTAAATAAATAACTAGGTAACTAAAAAGACGGCCTAGATCATATAACTAATAATGATTTAACATCTGCTGTTACTCTTGTTGTATATGCTTTTGCTGTACAGTTCCAACAGGAGTCATTTGTACAATATCTTTTAAAAAGATATGTATTATGTATTAATCAAGCAAGCAAGCCATACATGATACCTTGTCTTTGTCTTTGACTACTTTCTAAAGAAAATAATTCCCAATATTGAATTTTCACTCATCAGTTTTATGTTACCATTAATTGTCCTATTGTAGGAAGGCAAGTAGAGATAAAAGTAATACATACATACAGATGGGACAAGATAGAAGAGTAAAGTAGTTGGAGAGGATAATAGTCATATTTTGGTATAGTATAGGTAGTTCTTGACTTAATGACCACTTAATGACCATTCAAAGTTATGATAGACACCCCCCCCAAATCTACTTAAAACTAGGCTTCAAAGTTCTGAGGTTGCCTCCCCCCATGGTCACATGACTGCATTGTGGGCATTCGATCACCAGCCCACATATGACCATGGTCATCTAACTGAAATTTATAACAATTTTGCCAGAAACAGCATTTACTTGTGGTTTCTGGCAAAAGCCAGCACATAGTGGACATGTCAGCTTAATGACCACTGTGAAAAAGGTCATACAAGTGGGATGACCATGTAAGTTATCTGTTTTATGACACGACTTAATAATTGTAATTTCTAAGCTCAATTATCAAATTCAAACATTATCTCTCATAGATCTGATAGAGAGTTGGCATAATGAACAGGAACAGGTTTCTCTGAAATTAAACGTAAAACCTAAATGGGCAGAACCTACATCCTCATACAAAGAACTGTGGCTGGGTTTTTTTGTCTCCAGTCACATAAATATGTTATTTATTCTCACACACAAACTCCAATATCAAATGAAAACTCAGTTTATCAGCTCATTTTCACCGAAAAAATGTGTTTGTCCGAATGCCTAGTGAATAGCTTCATTTATTCAGTGTCTTTCCTTCCTGTTCTGAAATCACCCCTTTGGCTGTTTTTGTAAGATGGGACTTCAAAGAATATGGCACATTGAGAAAGAGTTTGTGCTAGGGAGAAAAAAAAGGCATGTACTTATTTTTTTAAGAATGAAAGCAGAAGTCACAGTCAAGTAGGAAAAAGCCTAAGCTATGAAACCCTGCATAGTTGGTGACGAACACGTTTGGTAAGTTGAACCCCAGTTCACAAGGTCGGATATTTAGGAACACACTAAATCTATCTGAACTATGCACATAAAATATGAAATGTGACTTGGATACATCTATAAAGTCAAGAAAACCCCAGTCAAATTATTTGTACCACATGACGCAAGTAAAAAAAGATGAAGCTTTGCTTCTACAATCCTAATTACCATTTTGACATTTTTGACACCCAGTGCCTCTTCATGCAACATTTAACACATGTATCGGGATACGTTGAAGCTTGCAGCTGCATCTATATTGAGTAGCAAAGCTACATTTGCCTTTGAGTAACTTGTGAATTCTTCCTAAGTCTTCAAGCTCCTAAAAATTTTATCAGCTGCCATTTTTTGGTCATAACAATATTCATTCATTCTGCCACTTTCCTTCGAAATTTAATTTCCAGGTGGGGAATTTAATCCGCATGTAATTATTGAATTTTATCTATTTTCATTGAGCTGCCTTTTGATAGACAACGAGATGGATGTTTCATATTTTATGCAGCACCTTCTGTTTGGTGTGGCTATAGATCTCAAAGACTTACAGCCATTTCAAAATAGACTTTAAAATTCAGCATTCAGGTTTTTCAATGGCTCAAATGCCTGCAGTTTAAAAGACAGATGACATTTCTTCACAATAAAAGGAAGGTGTAAAGGTGGGATAGCCCATAATCTGATTTCCTTTCTTCAGAAACTGACATTAGTCAGCCATTACAGGCTATATACACATTTAGAGTTTCACACAGACATGTTGTACATTTCGGAGATACCTTTTTTGCTGGGTTAGAATAGAGATGACTGGAGATGGCACACGCTTCAAAGATTTATTACCATTAAAGAACTGATGAGAATAAAGTAATCAAAATATGACAAAATTCCAGCCATAGCTGTCATACCACACTTAAGATTCTATCTATTTCCTGTCTCACACTTCAGTATGATGCTGTAGAATATTGAAACCCTCATTGTGGCTCTATTCAAAATACAATTTTGGCTACATTCAAAGTATAGTTTTGAGGGTGAAGTAATTTGGTAAAGGTCCGTTGTTATCCAAAGCTCTCCCTTTTCCTGGCAATAAAAATAGAATAAACGCTTTGAAATATCGTAATGATACCTCAAATCTGCTGACTGAGTAGATCTCGCTCCTTGTTTTTCTGTCCTTGTTCTTTGAAGTTACACACAGTCTAGTCTTAAAGCTCCAAAAATAAACTATAGCAATCTATAGTATTTATAGTGTATCTTTAAGAAGTTTCCTAAAGATCTTTCCTTGGATATTTGGATACTCTTTGAATAAACTGAGATTTTTTTCCCATACTGCAATCTAAAATATTAAACAATTATCATATTAGACATCTACAATTCTATGTACTGTATGTAAAATACATAGATCAGAATAACAGAAAAACAGATTGGAAGGGACATTGGAGGTCTTCTAGTCCAACCATCTGTTGAAGCAGGAGACCCTATACAATTTCAGACAAGTTGCCGTCCAGTCTTTTCTTAAAAGCCTCCAGTGATGGATCACCCCAACTTCTGAAGGCAAGCCATTCCATTGATTAATTGTTCTTACTGTTAGGAAATTTCTCCTTAGTTCTAGGTTGCTTACCTGCACAGCACAGAGTGCACTGATGATGTTATCTAGTTAGGTAATGAAATGTCTACAAGAAAACAACCAAACTCAAGAAAGCACCAAGATCCTGGGATTTGTATGTCCTAGACTGGATTTTCTCTGCTTAGCTCAATGATAATAAGGCCAATCACAAATACATGCACTCTTGATTGCAAATTGATATGGCAAAATGAAATTGGGCATTACATGCTACTATCAAAAATGGTGTATTGCACTTTTCCTGGCCAACCTTCTTCTCACATTAAAAATGTAACAGACCTAATGCATTTGGGGCCAATCTTTCTGATAAGTGTGCACAGGTCAACCATATTAAAGAAGTGCCATAATAAACAAACAACAATTGTAACCTGATATCCCCAAAACTACTGATGTGTTGATGTAGTTTAGCCTCTGGCCAATGAGATGAATAGAAGATCCACATTTTGGATCCTTTAATTAAACAGTGGCATTTATCCACAACCAGGAAGTGTGCTTTTTCTATTGTGATATCTGTCCTCTGGAATGTAATTCCAGAATATAAATTGTGAACACGTACCAAAAATGTTATTCCCTCTCCCCCTTGAAAGTTCATGTAAATTATATTCATGACAAGAGCAGAAAAAAATGTAATTTTCTTGTCTTACTCATTGAACTCTGTGCAGGATTCTGATGATGTCATCCTTTATTTGGGTGCCTCAAAGTGTTTCCACCAAGACATCTATGCTCTGTTATCAACAAAATCTATTATGAAGGAAAAGATGAAAACAGTTATGCAATGCTCTACTTTTTTTTTTTTTTTGAAAGTAGAAGCACTCTGTGATTGCCTTTTAAAAGCCACATTTTCTTTTGGATGAGAGAAAAATGAAGAGAAAAGTATTTTTGTCTTTGCTTATTTTCACATTAATAGAAAAATCAAACTTGTCAGTAGTATAGAAATAGCACCAGGCTGATAGCATTATATTTGTTTGAATCCGAAAAAACCTCCAGTGTATCTCTCTAGATTCTAGAGTCTAGAATGTCAATATAACATCATTGACCATCATCATACAAAAGGGCTACTTTCAGCTGTGTTTCTGTCCTATTCTAGATTGAACAATCACACAGCAAGTTTTGCAATTTTTTTGAACCAGTTACAATTAGAACAGTTAAAGAAGGCAGTTAAAATAGTCAAATGATCAGGAGAAGTAAAGAGAAGGTGAGATGTTGCCTGGTAGCTAAGGTAGCATTAGAGGTTGAAGCCAGTGGTGAAATGTAAAATTTGTTACTACCGGTTCTGTGGGTGTGGCTTGGTGGGCGGAGAAATGTGACTGGGTGGGCATGGCCAACTTTTTTTTTTCTCTTTTAAAAACATTTTTTCTACAACCTCTTCAGCTGAAGAGATTGTAAAAAAAAAAATGCTTTTAAAAGCCTCTGACAATCCCAGCTGAGCCGCACGATCATCAGAGGCTTTTTTTTTACTTTTAAAAGTATTTTTTCTGCGGAAGAGGTTGTAGAAAAAATGCTTTTAAAAATTAAAAAAAAAGCCTCTGATGATTGCGTGGCTCAGCTGGGGATGGGGGGGGCAGGGATGTTTGCTACCGGTTCTCCGAACCACCCGCCACCATTGCTATCGGATCGGGCAATCTGGTCCAAACCGGGAGCATTTCACCCCTGGTTGAAGCCAATAGTCCAGTGATCTTGAGCTCAAGGCCCACAGAATTCAACCATGGCCATTAGAGGCTAGAAGCGGGCCTAGAATATCTGCAAATTTGGGGAAATAGGGCAGAGTGGTCTGTATCTGTCTAGGATTCAAATGTCAATGTCCTACAATGAGCTCAATCCATAAAATTTAGAGTTTGAGAGTAGAGCAAAAATAAAGAAATAAGGAGAATTGTTTTAATTGAAGAATTGTTTTCTACAGAAAGCAAGGACCCGGAGGTCCCTCTTAAGCAGATGCAGTTCAGTTAAATGTGCTATCACCCTTGCATCCTGAGTCGTCAAGCAGATCAGCTTGGCTGTTTTCTTTGAAGTTGCCAAGTTGAGGCTAAGTTAAAAAGTCTTGCCTAAGACCTTGGAGAACTAGTTGCTTTATGTTGCCTTGTATTGTCAAGTCCATGCTGGCTGGGATTAGTGAAAGCAGGTTCAACATTGAGAGGCAACAGACTGGGGGAGATTAAAGTAGAGAGGGCCAAATAGATGGACCAATAGTCTGTTGTTTTACCAATTTACTGTACACATCTCATTGAGATATTATGTAAGATTTTTTGACAACCATTGGCTGAATTGATACAATCAACATTTGATTACAGTTTACTATAATGTGCTAATGCAATCAATGTAAGGCAGTCATATAAAACTCAAATGTTGTGATAGAGGCCAAGGAGTAGATGATGAACTTTTCCTGTTTTAAAAAAAAGCTTGTTATCTGTAAAGAAAAAGAAAAAAGGAAACATTAAATACAGTGTTTTCTCAACTGAGTCTAAAATGCTTCCCCCTTCAAACTAGTAGGCAGACTGAGATGGTAAAGATATAAAAGGGGTTGGCTCATCCAGTATTCCAATAAACTCATGAATCACGCAATATCCTGCAAAGGGAATGCATGATTCTAATGAATGATCTAAAGCAGTGGCTCCCAAACTTTTGGGCACCAGGGACCAGTTCCATGGAGACAAGCTTTTCCATGGACTGGAGGGGGGTGGTTTTGCATGCTGCCTGCATCCCACGGATGGGGCTTCGTTTCTTTGCGTGGACCGGTTTCTGGCATGCTGAGGACCGATACAGGTACACGCATTGGGGATTGAGGACTCCTGATCTAAAGTTAAAAGCTTAAAGCACCTGGGGAATGTTTCATTTTCTAAAATGTGTACCCTTTTAAAATAGTGTTTTAATAGATTTTTTTAGAAATAGTTTTTTTTAAATCCAGTTTTAAAATTGGATCTTGCAACATTCAAAATAGCTCACTGTAACAGCGAACCAATAAAACTAGGATTATATCCCCCTGAGATCTAGCAGATGTTTATTCAAACTCCTTATTAATAAGCATATATAACATGATTTAGGATCTATAGCATTACTCCGATGCTTTGAGTGATTGTGGAGAAGACTCTCCTAAAATTGCTACAGCGTATCTCCAAGATAAATCTGCTTACAATACCAATAGACAAATGACTAAGCAAATTGACTAGGAGCAGGAAAGTATTTTTGATTTATTTACAAGCTTATGCTCTCAGTGAAGATCTTTATCAGAGATACTTTGCACTTTTTTTTGGAAAAAAACAAACTATACTTTTAATTCTTCATGCAAAAATTTTATCTGGCTTATTGCCCTTGTTCTAAACCAGACAGTTGGCCATTAATATGGTGCCAAAACAATAAAATTATATTCCAGCAGGCATGGAAATTTGAAGGGAGATTGCATGGTATTTTCTGTATTTTTTTTTTCACCAAAAAGAACAATACAGGCATGCTAAACCTCAATTCAGTGCATTTCAGTTAAATTCCCTCAACTCCAAATGTGTCACATTGTCCCCAGTACTTCTAGTGCTGAAATCTTGTATCACTGTATCCTTTGCACTCCAGAAAGCACAACAAAAACCACTTGAAAATAATTTATTCACGCCTGCCCTAAATTTATACAATCAAAAGATGGTTTAGGAATATTGTTATAGTATATATAGTCTTTATTTAAACTGGTAGATTAAAGCTATATACTGCCAGACAATTTTTCTCCACCAGCAATAGACAGCAAAATACTGTATGACCTTTGCATTTGATAGAGTAGCCCAGAATGATTCATCGTCCTGATTCTCCTCATTCTTTTTATGCACTTTTGTTCTGTTAGGTATTATGGTATGGAAATAGCAAGATAAGAATAGGTTAATCATGCTCTGGAGAAAAAACATGAGCAGAGGTTAAAACTTGAGTTGCCAAGTCAGTCCAACAAATCATGGTGACAAAAAGCTCTGAATTTTTATTCATTTTCTATCTATAAATAGACTCATTCCAAAATATCCATGGGGTTAGTGATGAGGTTTGAAGCTGACTAAATGTTACAGGTTGAACAGGACTCCATTTCTTAAGTATGAAACTGTGCTACTAGAACTTTTAAGAGAACCTGCAGTTTTAGTGCGTTGAGCCCGTTCATTGCTCGTTGGGGACGGGTAAAAGTGCAGACTTAGGCATGTTTTAACAGTTTAGAGCAGGGTATCAATTTCATTGAGGGCCGCATCAGGGTTGTGTTTGACCTTGCGGGGCCAGGGTGGGTGTGGTCAGCTCAACATCACTCGTGTGGTGGCCTGAGTGCTCTGTCAGCGAAAACAGCCTCTTGAGCTCCATTTCTGGCTGCAATGGCCTCCTGCAACCCTCTGCCTGCAAAAACGGAGTTCGCAGGGGCTGCGTGCGGTCTTTCCGAGCTCTGTTCTGGCTGTAATGGGCTCCTGCAACCGTCTGCCAGTGAAAACAGAGTTTGCAAGGGCTGCACGCAACCCTCCCGATCTCTGTTTTCTCTGGCAGAGGCACCGTGGGCCAGTCCTTTGTTTTTCCAGGGTGGCCCATGGGCCAGATCTAAACACCCCTTGGGCTGGATCCGGCCTGCAGGCCTTGAGTTTGACACCTATGGCTTAGAGCAGAGGTGGGCAACTATGGTCCTTTTATGACTTGTGGACTTCAATTCCCAGAATTCCTGAGCTAACATGGCTGGCTCAGGAATTCTGGGAGTTGAAGTCCACAAGTCATAAAAGGGCCATAGTTGCCCACCCCTGGCTTAGAGCAATGTTTCTAAACCTTACCAAGTTTAAGATGTCCAGAATTTAATGCCCATAATTCCCCAATCAGAATTGGAAAATTGAAGTCCACAAATCTTAAAGTTGTTGAGGTTGAGAAATACTGACTTCAAGAAATCAACATCCCACTTATTAAAAGTTATGAGAAACAGGGGGGCAATGGCAGTTGCGGAAGATTAGAGAGATGTTGAAGGAGGGGAATGAATTTTTAAACAACAGATTTTAAAAGAAATATAGTGCTTGATTCAGAGTATGTTGGTATTTTGACTGAATTATTTTTAATGAATTCAGACCAACTAACAATGTCAAGTTCATGCAATTTGTGAGTGAAAATGAAAAATAAAATCAATTCTAAATTGTATCACTGACAAGGCATATAATAGAATGTGATCCACCTCTTGACTGAAATTTAAATTGGTATGTAAGGATTATATAAACCCGTTCCTTTCAAACCTTATTTGTAGCAAAGCAGCATGAAAATCCATTTCCTTCCACAACAAATACTTTTGTTTCCTTTCATTTTAGTTAACCTACATCAGCAAATCAAATGAGTGGTTTTAGTGACACCTGTTGTTCTGTCAATGCAATCTCCCATGTAAAAAAAATAGTATTAGTTGTAACTATGGGGTTTATTGCCAAGGATTGCGCTGATATCTAGGTCAGTAGTTGTTTGTTTGTTTTATGTTAATGGTCTTGTGGCACAAAGGAGTTAAGCTTTTATAGCTGTACTCAAAAGTGTTATTTTTTTGTCGGCTTCAAGTTTCAGCATGATGGCTTAATTGCTGTATAGATCTTATATATACTGATTTTGCAATAAAAGATAGCAAGAACAAAAAAATTGTTTGGAACACACCAGGGTAATAAAAGAAGTAAAATACATTGAATCTTGATTTAAAAAAAAAAAAAACCTTTCTTATATTAATATCCATCCTCTGTCCTGCTTGAATTGATTGTTCGTGGTGCTGTGCACTACTGAAGGAGTTCCAGATCCTTGAGGTAATGCTTCTAAATTGAATGGCTTGCAACTTTTGTAGTGATGAGAGCCTTTTCTAATCAGTTTCTTTACTGCACAGGATCTGATGGTTTACTCTGAAGGCTTATCCACTGCAAAGAATTAATTATAGGAGCACTCAAAAGCTACAGCGCAGCCTGGTGCTTATAGAGGTGAAAAACTGCACAAGAACTGAGGGTGCCCCCACACCCCCAGAATGTATCTTATGTTCTCTTGCAATGTTAGCATTTCCTGTAACCCAGATTAAAACTCATAATTGTTATGGTTATTTAAAATATGAATGCAAAGGGAAGGTTTTATGTGGTGAAGACAACCTCTGACTTCAAATGATCCAGAATGCTGGATCAGAATTAATATTGGTTTGGAGATAATACTTGTGTTGGCTTTTCCTGTCCCAACTCTCAACCAATGGTCAAGTGCCTCAAATATAGGGATCTAAGGTAGATATCTCAAGAATTTATACTGGTGGTCAGTATCGGTAGAATCTTAAATCCTATTTTTGGATTTGTCTTTAATAAGGACCTGGTAAGGCGGGAGCAATGCTTTAATATATTTCAGAAGGGACCACAAAAAGAATAACAAAAATACAGTGTATGTACATATTTATCAATTGACTAATGTTTCTGTATTTGAATGATTTTGGTAGTGTCAACAAGTGATTGCTCCTATTGTGTTTACTGCTCTAAAATTATTTGCATGACTTCTGGTATATTAAATTCCTTAAGGAAGATATCTATCTCTAACCATATATCTGTCTATACACACACACACACACACACATATAGTCAGCCTGCAAAACATTCTTGTCAGATCAGCCATGTTTTGTGCGAATTGTATATTACTGTTGTGAGCAACAATGGTATATGATCTTTAATTAATTGTTGGAATTAAAATATGTTTTTATGGATAAACTTGTCTTGTGTGTTCAGACGGCAAAACCCTATGTTCAATATTAGCTATTGATTTTACAGTTTCACAAAAAGATAGAAAATCTTTTCATTTTCATTGGATCTGTAGTCACATTTTATATTGGCTTGTGACTTTAGTGTGCCATGTCAATCCAGATATCATGGTTAAATTATGATTTAACAAAAAAACAGGCTAACCCAATGAGTGAAAGGAATTGGAACACATTGCAATGATTCAGAACTCTTTTATGGGAAGTCACAAAAGGAGACGTGAACGATGGGCAAACACAAGGAATAAAGAAAAAGTAAGAAAGAGAAGCAGGAAAACAGATAGCCATTTTTAAAGCCTTGGTTTGTGGTGTCATAATTGGCTGAGTTTGCAGAGCACAGTAAGCTAAATACCAGTTTAAGCAAGAAACCACTTTATACATCTGTTCACACCACAATATATATTAGTATGAGATGTGCTGTGGTAAGCTGAAATCTTATTCACCACAATTTCTAACAAACCATGTGTTTGAAACAGACCTACATGACTAACAACATTCGGCAAAATTAGATCCTTTGCTGTGTTTGCCATAACAATGTTCTGTATATAAACTATATTCTACCTCTTCGGTTTCTGAATTAGATACAGTAATTGCATGACATTTACAGTCTCCTTTCCAGGGAAGTCAGATCAGATTTTAGCATTCAAGATTGTGCAGTGCCTTTATTAGAAACAAACAGCTTAGGTAAAAGATGGAGACAAAACTTTCTTATGAAACATGCTAAGAAAACGACAATGCTGTACACATATAAATACAGGTAGTCCTCAACCTACGACAGTTGAGCTCAAAATTTATGTTGTTCATTGAGAAATTTGTTAAGTGAGGGTTTTTTTTTTTTTTAATTTGATTTATATGCTGCCCTTCTCCGGAGACTCAGGGCGGCTTACAATGTGCTCAGCAATAGCCTTCATCCTTTTGTATATTTATACAAAGTCAGCTTATTGCCCCCACAACTGGGTCCTCAATTTACCTACCTTAGAAAGGATGGAAGGCTGAGTCAACCTTGAGCCTTGGCGAGATTCGAACCTGCAGTAATTGCAGGCAGCTGGTCTTAATAACCAGCTTAATAACAGGGTGCCTTAAACCACTGTACTACCAAGTTTTGCCCTATTTTAAGACTTTTCTTAAGACTTTTTAAGACTTTTCTTGCCACATTTGTTAACTGAATCACTGCAGTTGTTAAATTAGTAACAGTTGTTAAGTGAATCTGGTTTCTCCATTGATTTTGCTTGTCAGAAGGTTGCAAAAGGTGATGACATGAGTCTGGGACACTGCAATCATCATGTGAGTCAGTTGTCAAAACATCCAAATCAGTGGTGGGTTTCAAATTTTTTTACTACCGGTTCTGTGGGTGTGGCTTGGTGGGTGTGGCATGGCTTGGTGGGCGTGGTTTGGTTGGTGTGGCAGGGGAAGGATACTGTAAAATCTCCATTCCCTTCCCAATCCAGGGGAAAGTTACTGCAAAATCTCCATTTCCTCCTGATCAGCTGGGACTTTGGAGGCAGAGAATAGATGGGGGCGGGGCCAGTCAGAATTTTTACTACCGGTTCTCCAAACTACTCAAAATTTCTACTACCAGTTCTCCAGAACTGGTCAGAACCTCCTGAAACCCACCTCTGATCCAAATATAATTCACATGACCATGGGGATGCTGCAACTGTCAAAAGAGTGAAAAATAGTCTTAAGTCACTTTTTTCAGTGCCATTGTAACTTCAAACGGTCACTAAATGAACTGTTGTAAGCCGAGGACTACCTGTAATCAAGAATCGATTCAACAGCAACTTCAAATTAAATTTAAAATACCCAAAGATCGCCATGTCCTCGAGTCCCTAATCACCCATCAATTCTTGCAACTGTTTTTAGTTGGCCTTATACAGTATTTTCGTGTTCTACGTTTCCACCTGTTAGGTCATATTCGAGTTGGGTGGCCGTATAAATGCTTTAAATAAGAAAGTAAGTAAGTGTAAAAACAATCTTCCTAGTTTTATGTAGTCAGAAAGCAAAATGGAAATCAGTCCCAAGTTTAGTGGTAATTTAGGCATCAGATTTCCCACGAGTTTTATTTAATTCCTTCCCTTTGTGGGGTGGGGGTGGGAGTGTAAGAAGGGGAGTAACATTCAATCTAGTAAAGAAGTCGAAACGTGCACAATACACAAAGGAGCAGGCCAGTCACTCCCTAAACCAGAGGTCTTCAAACTTGGCCGCTTTAAGACTTGTGGACTTCAACTCCCAGAATTCTCCAGCCAGCTATGCTATGCTATGCTGGCTGGAGAATTCTGGGAGTTGAAGTACACAAGTCTTAAAGCGACCAAGTTTGAAGACTTCCGCCCTAGAGTCGACATTCGCCCGTCCAGGTTGGACTTAAAGGGCTTTCCCCTCCCGCCGCTCAAATGTCTACCAGTGACGTTGCGGAGTGGGAGGGGGGTTGCCGCGATCTTTTTCTTGATAGCGAAAGGGGCGGAGACTCACGTGTCGCTCCTTGATGACCTCACCCCCCTCCCCGCCAGGGCCTATAGCATTTTGTAACGCTCTTGACCAGCAACAGGGCGGGTGTTTGGGCTTCATGGAGACGTCAGCAAGGAGACTCTGTGGGCGGAACAGGAAGTCGGCAACGCACGTGTCTGCGTACGGGGAAGCCTTGTCCAGCTGCTCCGTTCCTGCTTTCGTATCCCGGTTGGAGCCATGAGTCGTCCCGTAACTTGTGTTGCCTGGGTGCCCCAAGGTGTTGCCAAGGAGACGCCCGACAAGGTGAGAGTCGTGTCCCTCTTCTTTCCAGAGAGCCTCCCCCCCCCCCAAAAAAAATCACTTCTGAGCTCCTACAGACATTTCGGGCAGCAAAGCAGTGGATGCTTTTCTCTAAATCAGGGCTCTCCAACCTTGGCAGCTTTAAGACTTGTGGACTTCAACTCCCAGAATTCCCCAGCCAGCAAAGATTTGCTGGCTGGGAATTCTGGGAGTTGAAGTCCACAAGTCTTAAAGCTGCCAAGGTTGGAGAGCCCCTGCTCTAAATTAGTCTTTTATGCAAAAGCGAAGCAAAGGAAGGCAACGTGGAAAGCGAAAAAAAAAAAGGGGAGGCGAGTATATAAATTTCCACTTTGTCTCATCTCCGAAATGAGGCCAACCAAGTTCAAAAGGGCATATTTCGCATTTTTTTTTTTTAAAAAAAAAATTAAGGCTAATTTAAATGTTAAGGCTTTTAAATTAAAAAAACGGGTTGCATATTTTCCTTTGAAAATCAGGGGGAAAAAGTCCCACGGTGTCAGTTTCTGGTACTACTGAACTTTGCAAGGTAGAGTACACATTACATCTTCTGCATTTTGCACCAGGAATAATATTTTGTCCCCGTTTATCAAGCTCGTAATATCTTACAATTATGCGTAGCGAACTGAGTGACCTTCCAAAACAATTTTGAATTCTGCAATGTAACAATATAGAACAGTAATAATGTTGGATTTGAGTTTTCATGGAGCACTCTATTTTTTCCATTGTTCTTGTTTTGTATTATATAGTATCCGTAATTCTCCATGTTTCAATATAATACTTAAATATAATTCTCTGCATTTTACTTGCCCTTCATATAGAATTGTTTAGTTCGTCATATCTGAAAGGCCTTCCCTTGATTTATAGTGTACCAGGAAACATCACATGATGTTAACTATTCAATTTCAGTTTGTTTCTATAGTCCCTCTTGCAGCTAAGTGTCTTCATTTATGTTTCCTGGGCACAATTTTTATATTTAATAGTTGACTTTCTAGAGAGTTTTACAATTTATTTTCTCAGACTGAATTTTTTAAAAATCAAGTTGTCAAAAATGGACTGTTGATTGGAATAGAGCTGCCATACCTGAGGACCAAGAATATGGGCAACCAGGAGACAATAGTAAAGCAATATTTAAAAAAAATCCTAGCTCTACTCTTATTTCGTTTTACAACTTAGATGTAATAATCCTAATTAAAATATGTTGGATGAAACTTGTTTAAAAATGACTTTGTTTTCAAGTAGTCAGGCATGATTTAACTACAGGAGGTTTTATTTTCCATGTTTATCTTGCAGGTACAACTTGACAAGGAAGAACTGAAGCGTTTAATTACTGAAGCTAAAGAAAGATTGGAGTATGTTTGGATTGCATTTGAACAAGAGTGAAAAGTCTATAGCAAAACACCTGTATTCAATTTAAAAATAATTAGTCAAGTGAAAATCTAGTTTATGTCTAATTACATTTGTCCAATAGAAATATATAAACTGGATTGAGTGATCTACAGCATAAGTCTAGTAGGTGGGAATTGTGTTAGTGATATATGAAAACGATATAAATTTTTTTTGGCATAGAAGTACTGGAAAAATATTTGTGATTAAATACACTCTATTAATATAAATTGCCAAAAGTAAACAGACCAATTCAGGTTTTGGAAAAAAAATAGAATTAAAACTGGAAGACTCTATAGTAGAATTTTGGAATAGAAAATAATAAAGTCATTACATATTAAAAAGTGCTGATGTCTAATAAAGTGTTATAATTGTACTAACATGCATTAACATACATTCAATACATTGAAACTATGCTTTTTTGTGAGGAAGAGACTGCTACAGAATGTGATTTGTTTTTTCCACAAATAAGTATTTTCCAGTTAAAGGAGATAGGATGTTGGTTGTTAAGTCTTTATAGGATTGCAAATGTGTCATTGCTCTAAATTTATCTCCCAAGTACATAACAATGTCAGATTTACTCATCTTCATATTTATCTGGGGTACTATAAAGTGAGTTAGGTAGAACCTGCAAAGTTATTGGCACAGAAACAATTTGGAATTGTACAAGCGATGAAAGATTAGATAGTGGCATTATTGTTAACTTCTTTTTTTACATGAAGGGCAGAGGATGAGGGTGAGGATGGAAATGGACAAGAAGAAACCTCAGGTGCCATGGATGTTGTTGATGGTGAGGTAGCCAACTCTGCTCCCAAAGATGAGGATACTGATAAGCTAGATGATGATGAATTGGCAGAATATGACTTGGATAACTATGATGAAGAAACTGCAGGTATTTATTTCTCCTACTGTATGCAAACAGCTTCTCTAGTCAAGGATGTGCAATTGTGTTTCTTTACAAAAGATGCTACTTGTTTCACAATTACGAATCTGATCAAGAGCAATCTGTTTGTCATATGATAGATACTGAGAGCATTGGAGAAATCTTTGCAGGGCTTGCAGTATATGGAACTAATGAAAATGATCCATATATCACTATTAAAGATACTGTGAGTATTAAAGCATGGTTCCTTTGTTTCTTAACACTGAAGATTGTTTATATACATAATTTTGATACTGGCTAAAGCTAACATTCTGTATTGGTTTGTAGGGTGTGGGGTGTATTGGGTGGTAGGCATATGATAAGTGTTATTTGAAGAAATGTTTCAGATTAATCAATTTGAAAAAAATTGATTTGATTAACATCTGTCTTTTTATATTGTATTTCTGGGCTTCTGTTTCAGCAACATACTTGATATAAACTACTTTGCTAATATATGTTAATTTCAGCTATATTAATGTTGACGATTCTCTTTTAAGCACAATGCATCAAGTCATAATTTTGTACTTTTTCCAGTTGTCTTTTCATTATAATTATTTTAACTGTATCCTCACACATTCAGTTACTCTCATGTACTGTTTCTGAATATCTTTTTATTTTCAAATTTGTGAGAGCTTAGTGTGGGATTGGAAGAAGTGCACAAATGGTTTTTCTTAAACATTAAGAAAAGGTTTTTAAAAATCTCACTTATTAGTTGACAAGACAAATTGTCTTTTAAAGTACGACTGGCTTCATTTAGTTTTTAAAAGACTAAGCATTCCCAAATATTTGTCTGCACCTAAAATTGTTTCATGATATCTGTTAAGTGCAGTGATAAAATAAGGATTTGAAAATTGAACAAAAAATCATATGCAAGCTTGTATTCTTTCAGGATCAATATGAGAAAGAAGACTTTGTGATTAAGTCAAATGACAGTCTTGTTGTATGTGGCAGAGTTGATAAGGACCACTGCAGCCTAGAAGTTCATGGTAGGTATTAAAATCTTTGTGGCTTTTAAAAAAGAATTGTGGAAGATATGGATGGTTTATTCATACAGGTTTATTCCTGTACTACCTTTATTCATAATAGTCAACTCTATGCTTGAATTCTCCCTCTTTCCAAAAAGGGCTTTTTTACAGGGTATGAATTGCTGTAAAAGCAACATTTCAGGTGTTTTGTATTTATTTTGAGGTGGTACATTTTGAGCTTGATGTATTATGTGTTACTATCAGATTCTTTTTTTCCTGATCATGTGATTCATACCTTTCCCTAAAAATAAGAATATGAATATTTTGTTATATTTTTTATTATTACAGACTGATCAGTTAGTATTGTGTAAAACTACACACTTTTTGTCATTTGTTTATAATTTATTTCATAGAATCATATCGTTTCTTGTAAATCACTTCCCCATATTCTCTTAATGCATTTCGTGGGAAAATAAAACTAAATTTTATAGCCTTGTACTTGCAGTTTCTTGTCAATATTCTGGAATAATTTATATATCCTCCATAATATTGAAACATAACATTGAAATCTGTAGAGATTCTCAGTCATCTAGGTCATGGTTGTCCCAAAGGTGCTTTCTTCAGGAATGGATTTCCAAAGGAAAAATTGCAGACTACATGAACCAGGAGAGCTACTCAGGTGACTCTGAGGACACAAATAAACCTCCAAGTGCTTCAGCGACCCTCTAAAAGGATGCAAATGACCAACTGTCTGCAAGGAATATAAATCCTTCCATTCCTCACTATCCTGTCAGCTGAAGAAGCTTCTTGGATGAGAAGTGAAATGTTTTCAAAAAGAAAAAACAATGTCCAGTTGCCTCCCGAAAAAAGCACCTTTGGGATAACTTTGAAAATATTGCTTATATTAGATCAGGCTACTTATCCATTTGGTTGAATTGTGTTTGCTTTTACCATCAGTTCCTTGGAGTCTTCACATGTTTTATTACTGTCATTGAGCTCTACTATTTCTTGTATTGCTTATTGGATCCTCTCTTGTATAGCATAAGATTAATAAATGCAGAGGTGTAAATAAGTAAATGAAATATGATTAGTATTGATATTGGCAACCTGTGGGGGACTTACTCAACTTGCATTCCTTCTTTTGAATTCTGCTTGTCTAGAACTCAGTAAACTGTAGGAGAGAGGGAAGATTACAATATATGCTTGACAATCTTTTGTGATTAAAAATATAGCCTCTATAAAGGAACTCCAAAATATCTTCTCATATTTCATTTTTTGATTTGTGATATAGTATAGTGGTAATGTTAATTTTATTCTTCTCTCAACAAGCATAGACGTGTTCTGTATGTTTTTGTAGTGGGAGTATGATTTTTTTTATTTACTTAAAGGAAGTTACTTAATTCTTTCAGTTTATAATCATGAAGAAGATTCCTTTTATGTCCATCATGATCTTATTTTATCTGCATACCCCTTAAGTGTGGAATGGATGAACTTTGATCCTAGTCCCAATGATTCTGCTGGTAAGTTAGTGTACTATTTTATTTCTAATGATACCAACATTATCAGGGGACATCTGTATGAAAGTGCAGAGAGAGACAGATGGGAACAAATATTGAGGACAATTTTTTTTTATGTTTTTTTCTTGTTTTCTACCACAATTTCCTTTTCCTTTTTTTCTCTGAGCATTTATATTTTTACCTCAGCAGCCATTCTCTTTCCTTTCCTGTTTTCATTCTGGATTGTTTCTCTTCTAAAAATGTGCAGCTTAGAAGTAGACTTTTCTAGGCATTGCCCTGTAGGATTGTGGGAAAGAGATTAAATGTTATAGTAAACTAGGGAATCTTATTATCCAGCATTAATGATAATGATCATTGTTTTTCCAATTCTGATAACCTATTTGAACAACTGGCTTCAGGGCATTGTTTTCTGATGTCTTTTGTCTTTACTGAGGAAGTCAAGTCTCTCAGGCTATCAGGCTGTGTTCCATATTATGTAACATTGTAAGACTAGTAGGAGAAATTATGTGTAGCTTCAGTGTCTAAGCACACAACATCTCCTTTCCATCTAAATCCAAGGAAAACTGATAAAGTTCAAAAATTGTGATAGATTTTTGATAATTAAATTGATGAGGATGACCAAAGTGAAGCTTAATCAAATAGGTATTCATCCAGTATTGAATGGAGCTGAATGGGCTCCCCTTCCAAATTCATGTGTTTCTATGTGCTCAACCTTTATTCCTTGCAATAAATAGAGAGATCTTTTCTACTAACTCAAAAAAGATTAAAGTAACAAAATAAAATGTATTCTCTATAGGATCATGAGATGATAATGTAAATTTACTACTAGTAGAAATTCACATTAGAAGAGTATGCAGTGCTTTGGATCTGCCATAAGCAACTTGTTCCTGGGCCTGAGAAAATACATGTTTGAGCTGCCTCAACTCAATACATGTAGTCCTTGTTTAGTAACTGCCTCATTTAATGACCATTCATGGTTATGACAGTAATGAAACAGTAACATCTGCTTCTAAGAATAGTAGGTATAGTAAGGGTGCCCATCCCTGATCCAAGGCCCCCTTGCCTACTTTGGAACTACTACACACTTCTACATGTTAAGTAATGGCAAGCAGTTTTTAATATATATATATATGTATATAGGATTTATGAGATTACACATGATTAACTTGGATATTTCTTTAGGAAATTATATTGCTGTTGGCACAATGAATCCTGTTATTGAAATATGGGATCTTGACATAGTGGACTCTTTAGAGCCAGTTTTTTCACTAGGACATAAGGCGAAAGTAAAGAAAAAGAAACAAAAGAAGGTAAGTATGAGCAAATTTCATATTAATAAAGTTTAAATTTTCTCAGTAAGAATAGCAGAAAGTTGCTTGCCTTTTCAGTCTCTGTCATATATACACAAGCTAATCTTGTTACTCTTGGAAACATTATATGTTGCCTGCTGCTGGTCACCAAGTTGTCGGACTTGCTGGAGGTAACAGTTCGTGAGAAGATTCATCTCAGCCTGTTGTTTTTTCTTAGTACGGTCATTGTCTGATGAAATCTCCAGAAAACTTTAAGTGTACACGGAAAGGCTTCTCCGTCCATGTGTCTGTGCATGGTCCAAGACTGATCTAGATAGTTGCAATGTGGTTCTGGAGATAGAAAAATTGGCTATTATTTTTTACATGACGCACTTTCAAATTCATTTTCTGTTTAATATTTACAAATATTTTAATTGCTTAAAAAAATCAGTGGGTGAAGATTCTCAGAACAGTTGCTGCCAAGTGTTGTGGAAAATATTGGACTAGGATGATCCTGTACGTTTGAGACTATTTAAGACAGTAGAGTAAAGGAGCAAGGGCAAGAATTGCCTTTCATGTTTGGAAACCTGTGCAAGGGTTATAGAATTAACCTGCTTTTATTATGATATTTAGAAACTCTAAAAAGTTCTTCATCTTTTTACATAAAGAGCTTATCCAAAGAAGACCATCAGGGGCATACTGATGCAGTGCTTGATCTTTCATGGAATAAACATCTCAGGTAATATATATATATATTTAAAGATAAATTAGTGTGAATTATGTTTTAAAAAAATATTTCTATAGCTCACAATAAGTAATGCACAGTTGAGTTCCACTACATCGAAGTAAGTCATAATTATAGATATCTGTAGGACAATTGCCATAGATTTGGTCTTTGGTCTTTATTCATCTTTGTGAAGATGTAATTTTTGAAATATGCTTTTAACTTATGCAGGTTTATTAATTTGTGTGGCTTAATTTAATCACTATATGAAGCCACAAAATTGATCTTAGATAGCAGAATACATATTTCTCAATCTTGGCTTAAAGGCAGTCATTGCGTATTTTAAAAATACAGTTCTAAATACTTGTTACTTTTTGGATTTTATAAAGCCTTACGTATCTTTGCTGCTGAATGTAACCAAGGCTTCATGTGCAAACACAAACACATATATTTTATAGTAGCCGAGTATACAGTTTTGAAATAAGTGTGGTGCTTGTTTATTTATTTCATGAATAAACTAGCGTGAGATGTGCAAATGTGAAGCATGATCTTCAGGCAGTTACGTAAGCATTTAAACGGGGCTGATTTGGGATAGCCCAGGTCTCTATGAGTCTCACAAACTTTGACTTTCCTTGTCACAGAGATGTTTTGTCACACAGAATCTTGAAGCATGTTGTGCCTCAACTCAAAGGAAATTTTTGAAGACCTCTACAGAAAAATAACAGATCTATCAGGCCAAAAAAAGGCTGTAAACCTCAAGGGCCAGTCAGGGATATACTTTGAAGTAAAGTTTTTGGGCAACAGTTAATTTTCCTAAGAGGTTATCAGGAAAATTAACCAGAGGTTGGGGACTCCTGATCTATAGGCTTCTCTTACCTTGGTTGAAGGAAATGATTTCAGGAAAGCACTTTGGGAAAATCCAGATTCATAGAAGCCAAGTGTAGCAAAGTGAAAGCATTGGCTCACAAAAACAGCTGTGGAAACAGTGGCTCACAAGAAGTTTGATGTTTGTCTCAAGTTTACAAAAACCCCACCTGATTTTATAGGCTTCTTAAGCAATATTCTATAGGCAGATGAATCAAAAATGAAACTTTTCAAGCTACAGGCAAGTTGTTACATTATTGAAGCAAGTGAGAATTCACTCTGGATGAGAGACTTCTGCAGGACAATATCATGCCATCATTGTATCAGTTGAAATCAAGCAGGTCTTGTTGAAAGAGAATCTAAATATACAATCAAGAGACTAGATCATGAATAATATATTATTCAGAAGAATAAATGTTGCAAATTAAGTCCAAACCTAAATTCCAGAGAAATGTGGCATGGGTTGAAATTCCTATACCGCAATCTGAGGTACTGATGATCAGGAAGTGTTTGGCTACAGTTCTTGCAGCTAAAGATGATGCAACCAATTACGAAATCTAAAGAGGCAGTGGGATTACACTGGCACAACCCATAGGGTGATTTTATCTGTGACATGAATGAAACAGGCGCCAATCCTAGGGATAGCTTTTCATTCAATGGGACAATTTGAAGGTTCAATAACAATCCGTAGCAAGAACATGCAAAATGTCAGAAAATTCAAAAGAGAGCAAATAACAGTTTTTTCAGAAACTGTTTGGTTATTTACCTTATATTTATTCATTTAATTCATTGGGCAATCTATCTGTCACTCAATTAAAACAAAAATTTCTGAGCAACTAGAAAGCCACTAGATTTTATTTAAAAGCAATAATCTCTCTTTCTCCTTCCCTCCCTCTGTGTGTGTGTGTGTAGGGTAAAACACGATCTAAGACCTGCCATTGACACTGTTTGCAAATCAATATGCTTGTTTCTTTTAGATCTGTCTTGGCAAGCGCCTCAGCTGACCATTCTGTAATTCTTTGGGACATGTCCAGGGGCACAACAGCAGCAACGCTTTCTCTTCACACAGACAAGGTATGTTGATGATTCTAAAAGCGTAGCCAAATTCATCTGTAGCAGCAAAATAACAAAGAAATCTGGCACAATAGGATATCATACAGATGTATTGCAACAAATGCAATTTTGTTTTTTTTTCCTCTAATACTGTTTTTTTTTTTTTTTTTAAAAATAAACAATTTCAGTCAGAGAGTTTGTATCTATTCTACTTGTCACTAGAAAATTAGCTTCTCAATTTCCTTACCCCTTCCTGGAAGAGCTTCAGTACTTCAGTGTTAATATCAGGAACATCATCTTCCTATTCCATGTATAAACCATATAAGCAAAACTATTTTAAATTATTTTAATCTGTATGTGTTTTTTGAAGAAACCTTTATATTCCCTCAGATGGTCATTATTCGTTAATAAGCTAGGAAAAAGAGAGAATGGGGATCTGAGAGCCTTACTAAATGAGGATTTATGAACCAACAAATTGTTGCCATGCTGTGAACATGGAGATAACTCTGCAATTTCAATCTGGAAGCACAAGAGTCTAGCACTATGGGGGAACTGGAGTCCATCGTTGTAATAACAATGTAATGCCCTTCACAGTTTTCTATCAGTTTTTGGCGGTGCCTGTCTTCGAAGCTGGTGGAGACTTCGTAACGCAGGCTCACCAGAGGGTTCTATCTACCAAGTTTCCAGTTCTCTTGGTTGGATGTCACAGTGGTATAGGGTTTCCTTCGCAGTGATTTTGTAGTGCTTGCATAAACAACCTCGGGGTCTCTTCTCAGTCTCTAGTACACCAGAGAGCAACTGGTGAGGCACATTGTTGCTTGCCCATTCTGATGATGTATTCCATCACCACAACTGGGCTCTGATAATCAGAGACTTAATGCTGGTGGATTTTGTGAACTTCGAGGCTGGAGACATGGTCTTGCTGATGAATGCCAAGAATGGAACAGGGAGCATGTATGTGAAATTTCTAATGTTGTTTGGTGTGTCATCAGTAGACCATATAGGAGCAAAAGGATAACCACAGCTCTGAAGACTTGTAGGGGTTTGTAGAAATACGGACGTTGTATTGATTAAGCATTGTAATACGCAGCTACCCCAGAGCCTTGTTAAATGTGATACTTATAAATACTTAAATAACTAAAATAGAGTTGGACTTTGGATTTAAAAACTAAAAAATGTATACCGGTATATGAAAAAAATCAAAGCAAATCTAGATTCAAAAGCTCAATTTAAATTGTTTTTGAATCCTAAGAGACCAAATGATCAAGTACTAAGAAGGATGGGCTTTTTTATCTACTCTATTAAAAAAGTTCTGATAGGCAGATTTAGGGATGAAAAACTGCATTTGTGACCCCCCCCAATGTTTCTACAACTTCATTGGCTCTATTAAGTACAGGTTTTAGCGGTATTATAGTCCTAGTTTGTTGAGCCAAGTAAATCTATAGAGAAAAACTCTCTTAAATTTTAGATTTAACTCTGGCTAATTTTATGAGAAGTTATGCAATCACAGCCCAGTGGGAGAAATTAATGTCAACTCCTAGTTAACATAATTATTCAAATAAGATTTGATCTTTGTTTTCCATGGCTATTACTTTAGTTGTTTGCATTCTAGTGAAATGAGCTCTACAGAAATAACATTTAATTATAAATGTTCAAATCAATTAACAATTCCAGACTTTTTGTTCTACATAATGAAGTTTTAGCTAACATAAATTTAACAAGCTGATGGTTGTATGCTACTCTGCCTTAAATTAGCAGTTAAATAGATCATTGAACACTCCTTTCTGTTTGTGGAAAAAAATATAGTAGGAATTATTTAAAATCATGTACACTGTAAAACAACTATTTTGATGCAAATGTATTTCAAATCTAATTTGTTATTTTTAGGTGCAAACACTGCAGTTTCATCCATTTGAAACACAGACTCTCATTTCTGGCTCTTATGACAAGTAAGAACAAGCTTGTTCTATTGCTGCTATCACACTATATAAGTACAGTCCCAAAGGTGCTTTTTCAAGAGGCAACTGGACTTTCTTGCTTTTCTTTGAAGACATTTTTGCTTCTCATCCAAGAAACTTCTTCAACTCTGAGTGGATGGTAGGGAATGGAAGGGTTTATACTCCTTGCAGACAGCTGGTCATTTGCATTCTTTTAGCGGGTCGTTAAGGTCACCTGGAGGTTTATCTGTGTCTTCAAAGAAAAACCAGAAAGTCCAGTTGCCTCTTGAAAAAAGCACCTTTGGGACAACTATGACCTGGATGACTGAGAATCTCCATAGTTATAAAAGTACAGGTAATATATAAACCATATAATGGCAGAGATAAATAATAAAATGTAATACAGGTAGTCCTTAGAATCTTTTATCATAAGACCCCTCCCCCAAAGATACTTAATGACCTTTGATGGCTAGCGTCCCCCCCCCGGTCATGTGACAGCATTTCAAGCACTCAATCTGCATTATGGCCATCTGCAGTGTCCTGTAGTCACAAGACCACAATTTACATTTTTGCCAAAACCTAGTGTTTGCTTCATTTTTAGAAAAAAGTCCCAGATCAAACTATTGGTTTGGTTTACCATCTCCATTTTTGTTTAACCACCAAAAAAATTATCATAAAATAGGTTGGTTACATGGGTGACCCATTAGGACTTATGGCCATAATAAGTAGGTCCCATTATAGTTGTAAGTCAAGGACTGCCTGTATTTCCTTCATGAGGTATTTGACACAGATAATAAGGAGCCTTGGTGGTGCAGTGGACTAAAGTGTTGTTAAAGTAGCACTTAGCTGCCAGCTTCCTGCAATTACTGAGTTCAAATCTCACCAGGCTCAAGGTTGACTCAGCCTTCCATCCTTTCGAGGTAGGTAAAATGAGGACCCGGATTGTGGGGGCAATAAACTGACTTTGTATAAAAAAGAACACCGCTTAGGGGGGCCCAAAAGCCCTACTAAGCAGGTATATACAAAAAAGTATGAAGGCTATTGCTTAATGCATTGTAAGCTGCCCTGAGTCGCCGGAGAAGGGCGGCATATAAATCGAACCAATACATACATACATACATACATACATACATACATACATACATACATACCTTTTATCTTTTCTTTCTTTACCTTTTATTAGATTTGTATACCGCCCTTCTCCTTTCGGACTCATACATACATACATACATACTTGGTTGAGGGTGTCTTCTTTAAAGCATATACTATAGTTTTGGTATGATTTATGGAAGTTCTTCTCTGTATATTCTCAATTGGAAGGATCAACCTGATTTTAGCATCAGCTTTCTATGCATATTTAATTAGAAACAAGACCATTTGAAGCCAGTAATTCCACTTAATAGACTTGCATTCGCTGTTTATTACTTTTATAACCAGTGAGATTGCTGTGACTTTTACTAATGACTCAGCTGGAGTAGGAGTATTTTATTAGTAAAAAAAATGACCTCTCTGTGTCTCACAGGTAAATTAATTTTAGTTTATTATGTTTTAAAAAATGGGTGCCAAATTTGAATAAACGTTTATTGATACTTTTCAGATCAGCCATTTTATATGACTGCAGAAGTCCACAGGACAACCATAGAACCTGGAGATTTAGTGGACAAGTTGAAAGAGTGACTTGGAATCATTTTTCACCTCACCACTTCTTAGTAAGTACAATAGTTCTTTGCGTTTTGTCTTATCCATTCTATTGTATGCATTTATGCAGGCTATGCAGCATTTCAATTCAATTCATTGTATGCCATCCAGAGTCACATTGTTTGAGTTAGGCAGCCCTAAAACCTATTAGGTAAGTAAGATAGAAAGAAAATGCTTCACAGGATCAAGAGTGGGGTGCGTTGCATTTGCACCTTTCCCTAACTACATCATATAACCTCTGCTGAGCTGTGGTGGCACAGTGGTTAGAGTGCAGTATTGCAGGTTAACTCACTGCTCACTCCAGGAGTTCGATTCCCACTAGCTCAAGCTTAACTCAGCCTTCCATCCTTCCGAGGTCGGTAAAATGAGGACCCAGATTGTTTTTTGTTTGTTTGTTTGTTTGTTTGTTTTTGCTTTAATTTATATGCCGCCCTTCTCCGGAGACTCAGGGTGGTTTACAATGCGTTAAGCAATAGCCTTCATACTTTTGTATATTTATACAAAGTCAGCTTATTGCCCCCACAATCTGGGTCCTCATTTCACCTACCTTTGAAAGGATGGAAAGCTGAGTCAACCTTGAGCCTGGTGAGATTTGAACTTGCAGTAATTGCAAGCAGCAGATGTTAATCTGTTAATAACAGTGCTTTGGTCCACTGTACTACAGGCTTTTATTGTTGGGGGCAAAGTGCTGACTCTGTAAACCACTTGGAAAGGGCTGTAAAGGACTATGAAGCGATATATATGTCTTAAGTTCTATTGCTATAACTGCAGGGCAATTCTTGGAAAAAGTTGCTTAAAGGATTTTCCAGGTGTCCCTGTGTACTCTTGGAAGCCTCTTTTTTCTTTAGAATCTGAAGTGTTGCATAGCCCTAATATATCATCCAAGATTTTCAAGGCAGCCAGCATATTTTAAGATATAAAATAATCTATGTACATTATATTAAAACACTTCCTAATAAGTGGAAGTCTTGCTGCTTTGCAGTTTGATAGTGCTACCTTTATTTCATTAAGAAATTAGTTTTTAGTTTTAGTTTTTTTATGATTTATATACCGCCCTACTCCCGAAGGACTCAGGGCGGTGAACAGCCACAAGATAAAAACACATAAATACAAAATTTAAGAACAGAATAAAACCGAATTAAACAATTTGGCTGAAGACAAATTTATAACACCCCAATAAATTAAGAACGAATTAAAATTTGCGTATTAAAAAGGGAAAAAGGGAAAAATTAGGTCAGGCCAGCCTGATAGAATAAAAAGGTCTTGAGAGCGCGGCGGAAGGTGCGTAGATCCGGGATCCTCCGTATCTCCGTGGGGAGCTCATTCCAGATAGTAGGTGCCCCCACAAAGAAGGCTCTCCCCCTGGGGGCCGTCAGTCGACATTGTTTGGCCGACGGCACCCGGAGGAGCCCTTCTCTATGAGAGCGTACCGACCGGTGGGAGGCTACTGGTGGCAGCAGGCAGTCCCGTAGATAAGCAGGCCCTAAGCCATGGAGCGCTCTAAAGGTGGTAACCAAGACCTTGAAGCGCACACGGAAGACCACCGGGAGCCAGTGCAGCTCGCACAGGAGAGGTGTTACATGGGAACGCCATGTCGCTCCCATAACCACCCACACGCTGCACTCTGCGCCAGTTGGAGCCTCCGACTACTCCTCAAGGGGAGCCCCATGTAGAGAGCATTGCAGTAGTCCAGGCGGGAAGTGACGAGGGCATGAGTGACCGTGCGTAAGGAGTCCTGATCCAGAAAGGGACGCAAATGGCGAATCAGGCGAACCTGATGAAAAATCCTCCCAGTCACGGCTGTCAAATGCTCTTCTAAAGACAGCCATGAATCCAGGAGGATGCCCAAGTTGCGAGCCCTCTCCGTGGGGGCCAGCGCTTCACCCCCAATAGTCAGTGATGGCACCAACTGACTATATCGGGACGTCAGAAACCACAGCCACTTGGTCTTGGTTGGGTTGAGCCTGAGCCTGTTTCTCCCCATCCAGATCCGCACGGCCTCCAGGCACCGGGACATCACTTCAAGGGCATCGTTGGGGTGGTCCAGGGTGGAGATGTACAGCTGAGTATCGTCAGCATACTGATGGTACATCACCCCGAAACCACGGATGATCTCGCCCAGCGGCTTTACATAAATGTTGAACAGAAGGGGCGAGAGGACCGACCCTTGTGGCACCCCAAATATGAGGCGCCTCGGGGTCGACCTCTGCCCCCCTGCCAACACAGACTGCAACCGCTCGGAGAGAAAGGAGGAGAACCACTGCAACACAGTGCCCTCCACCCCTAACTCTTCCAACCGGTGCAGCATGATACCATGGTCGATGGTATCAAAAGCCGCTGAGAGATCTAATAGGACCAGGACAGAGGAGCAACCTCTGTCCCAAGCCCTCCAGAGATCATCAACCAACGCGACCAATGCTGTTTCTGTGCTGTACCCAGGCCTGAAGCCCGTCTGGAACGGATCCAGATACACCGTTTCATCCAGGTGCTGGGGGAGCTGTCGCGCAACCACACTCTCAACAACCTTCAACACAAAGCGAAGGTTGGAGACCGGACGATAATTAGACAACACTACCGGGTCCAGGGAAGGCTTCTTGAGGAGAGGCCTCACCACCACCTCTTTCAAGGTGGCGGGGAAGTCACCCTCACTCAATGAAACATTTATAATCCCCTGGAGCCAGCCTTGCGTCACCTCCCGAGAAGCCAGCACTAACCAGGAGGGGACACGGGTCCAACAAACATGTGATCGCATTCAGTCTACCCAGAATCCTGTCCACGTCGTCAGGAGTCACAGGATCAAACTCATCCCAGATAACATTCTCAAGACCTGCCTCAGTCATCCCCACTGAAACTACCCAGTCGGAGTCCAGACCTTCCCGAATCTGAGTGATTATGTCATGCAGATACTGTACAAAGTCCTCGGCTCTACCCTCCAAGGGATCCTCCCGCACTCCCTGGTGGAGCAAGGAGCGGGTCACCCTAAACAGGGCGGCCGGGCGGTTTTCTGATGATGCAATAAGAGCAGCAAAATAATTACACTTTGCTGCTTTTATCGCCACTAGGTAATTCTTAATATGAGATCTTACCAGTGTCCGGTCAGATTCAGAAAGACTGGCCCTCCAACTACTCTCTAGGCATCTTTTCCGGCGCTTCATCTCCCTTAGCTCCTCAGTGAACCAAGGAGCCAGATGAGATCGGCACCGGGTCAGAGGCCGTAAAGGCATGACCCGATCCAGAGCTCCAGCGGCCGCCCTATCCCAGGCAGCCACTAGGTCTCCAGTCGAGGCGTGAGCCAGAGCCTCAGGGAATGGCCCAAGCTCCATCTGGAACCTGTCAGGCTCCATCAGGCTCCTGGGGCAGAACCATCTTACTGACTCTGCCTCCCTGCGGCAAGGTGCAGCAGTTCAAAGGTCAAGGGGAAGGAGAGAGTGATCCGACCATGACAAGGGCTCGGTGACTATATGCCCTATCTCAAGATCACTCAACCACTTTCCAGAGACAAAAACCAGGTCTAGCGTGTTTCCCCCCGTGTGGGTAGGGCCATGAATTATCTGGGTCAGGTCCATAGCTGTCATGGAAGCCATGAACTCCCGAGCCACTTCAGACATCTCACCCATGGACTGCAGGTTGAAATCCCCCATGACCGTAAATCTAGGGGTGTCAACTGCCACCGCTGCAATAACGTTGAGGAGCTCGGGCAGGGCTGCTGCCACGTGGCAGGGAGCCAGGTACGTGATCAGCAAACCCGTCTGTACCCCATGACCCCACTTCACAAGGAGGGACTCACAGCTGGCCGTCTGAGGAACAGTGGCCTCCCTCGGTCTAAGACCTTCTTTAATAATAACTGCTACCCCCCCGCCCCTCCCCTGTGACCTCGGCTGATGGAATGCATGGAAACCTGGTGGCACATTTCAACGAGGGGAACCTCCCCTCCTGGCCCAACCAGGTCTCTGTAATACCTGCCAGGTCCGCTCCCCCCTCCTGAACAAGATCACAAATGAGGGGGGCCTTATTTACTACAGACCTGGCATTGCACAACATCAGCCGAAGGCCCGGGCCCTGAGGGTCTGTGCAACCTGGGGAACGGGTGGAGCCTTGGGGGCCGGAGCGCGCCACCGCTCGTAAACAGTGAGCACGCGCTCCCCTAACACAATGTGGCCCCCTGCTCCCGCCATATCTGCCCCTCCCACTCACAGTATTGATGTTAGAAACACTATCTGGATAAGCTCTAGCCTCGACCCCGGGTCCCCCACCCCCCATGCCACGCTTCAAAGCCAGACCCGACCCTCCCCTTAATGGGTTATCCCCCATACCCACAGTCCGAATTATAGTCTGACCCTCCCCCCCCGGAACCCCTTAAAAGTTTAACTAAAAATTTGTGTAAAAGAACCCTCAACCCCGTCTTCACAGCAGCATGCCACTCTCTGGGCTCCAAAATCCGTCATCGAGGTAGGCCCTCGATAACGTGGAGGGCCAGACCTGCGAGAGGGGGAGTCTCGCAGCGCAAGAAGTTCAACGGTTGAGTACATCCACAAAATGGGAAGGGTGAAGATGACCTCTGGCCAGGGTTCCATAGAGTCTAAAAGTCCTAAAGACAAAGAGGCAGAAACAAAAGCATGGGTAACTGGACTCCACTGTCCTCCCACGACAGTAGGAGGAGTCCTATGCCATTTCGGTAAGTCTAGGGGATGTTCCTCCCAGGCATCCTCTCACGATATCTGGCCAGATGGAATATGCTATGGAGAAGTTCAGAAAGCTGTCCCCTCTGGTAAGGAATGGCAGTAGTAACCCGGACTCCTTCAGAACCCACATCAAAGCTGTCCATTTGTCCTATAGTCTGGGGCATAGATGGAATAAAGCCAGTCCAGGAGGCAGAAATAAATAGTAAGCCCGGGGGCAGAATTCGGTGACACACGGAAAGATGGAGAAAATGGCTTACGAGGCAAAAAGGCAGCTGGGGTAATGACCATAATGAGGCCTGCACAGGCCAAGAAGCGGGGGGGGGGGTATGGCCCGAGGCAACCCAAAACCAGCCCTCGGCCATCCTCCAACCTCTCCCACTCCCCGGTCTTTGGTCATTTATACCTTTGGTCATTTATACCCCCAGTCTGCAGCCCCAATTCAGGGGGCCTCCGGATTCCTCCAGGAAACGGGCCCAAATGCTTAATGAAGCATTTGTACATGTGCATTTGTACATTTGTACATTTGTAATGTAGAGGTTCCTGACAGTGAAGTCTAAAATTTACTCAGATATGGCAAGTTATGCTGCCATAGATAACAGATCATTCTGATCTGTTGCTTGTTATCAAATCAGGAATAACGGTACTTGCGTGGCTAGAATTGGCCACCAAACATCCAGCTGCTTGTTCTGTGTGCAGTCTTTCCCAACTTCGGCACCGTCCTTTCGGCTTCCAGAATTCTCTACAATGGCCCTTCAGGCTGGATGGTTCCGTTCTGGGATTTCAAGTCCATACCTCCGAAAGATAATCAGATTGAGAAAGGTGGCCTGCCTATTGATTTTGTTTTTAAAATCTCTGGAAATAATTTGTTGTAGGCTAGCACGGAAGATGGATTTGTATACTGTCTTGATGCTCGTTCCCATAAACCAGTCTTCACAATGAAAGCACATGATGAAGAAGTATCTGGTAAGCATTTCTTTTCCCAGTCAGGATCCTAAGGAAATCCCATTCTATGGGATATCTATCAGATATCTTATATAGTTATATCATATTTTTGAGGCAAACTTACATTTGCCATTCTACAGTGCATAAAGAGCATGCATTATTTGGTTGGATCCTAGGGATAGTTAACCCTCTGAGAGATAGGTTGTTCTGCTGTTCTTTAAGGAGGCATTGTCTTGCCCTCTCCTTAAGAAGCCATTGCAGGAGGCCACCATGCTGGACTATTTTCACCCAGTATCTAACTTTCCTTTTCTAGAGAAGGTTGTGGAGAACATGGTGGTGCAGCAGCTTCTATGGGCCATGGATAAGTCAGTATTCAGACTTTGGCCATTGGCTAGAGATGGCATTGACCATACTTTTGAATTAAGTGACAGCAGGACAGGAAAAGTGCATATGTTCTTGCTCTCCTTGGCTTCTTGGAAACCTTTGATATCATCAACTCTGGTATCCTTCTGGGTTGTTGTTGATTGGGAGAGGAGAGGTTCTGCGGGTTTAACAGGACATCATACTCTCTTCATTTCTATTTAACATCTAAATGAAGTTACTGGGTGAGATCATTCATTGCCATGATGTCATCAGTAAGCTGATGATATCCATATCTCTGTCTTTTGCAAACTAAGCAGTGCTATTAATGCCTTGTTCCAATGTCTGAGGCTGTTGAGGTGTTCTGTCCCCCCACCTCACATAGGCAGACACATGAGCAAAAGACGTCTACAGTAATTTATTTTTACAAGCCGACCTGAAACCCTTTGGCAGATAAAAATTCTGGCAGCTACTCTCCGAATGCCTGCCAAGTTTCTTATCACCTCTAGAAACAGGAGTCAGCGTATCTGTAGTCCGTTGCTGGGGCAACCAAGAGTTCAAAGAGTAGTCAGAAGTCATTCAAAAAGTCCAAGCCTTAATTCCGAAAAATATCCCATCCGAAGCTCACGATATGCAGTTTTTGTCCGTCACAGAGCCTGCAGAGCAACCCCACCCACTTTTATCCCCTGTGGGGCATGGCTCAGTGACTCAGCAATCTCTGGCCCTTCCCCACCTCTTCCTTTGCTGCGCACGCCTCTCCCTCCGACGCTACCTGGGATCAATCCAAGATTGATCTTCATCACTCCCTATTAGTGGGTGCCCCGACATGCCTTCCTCCTGGCCTTCAGCTGGAACCTGAGGCGTTGTCAGAAAGGAGGGTCCTGGAGAGGGAGGCCTTGTCAGTTCCCCCCCATCACTTTCAGAGTCATCTTCCTCCGTGAGGACAGGCTCGGGAGCCGGAGTCACAACATGAGGTCTGGATGGGGAACAATAGACTTCAGCTGAACAAGATTGAGCGATATTAGATTTTGGGGGCTCCTGGATTTGGAATTTTACCATCTTTAGTTCTGGATGAGGCTGTGATACTCCAGAGAGACCCTATGTTCAATCTGGGGCTCCTCCTATAACCACAACTCCTGCCTGAGAAGCAGATTACAGTCATATCTAGGAGGATCTTTGCACAGCTTTGTATTGTGCCCTAGTTTTGCCTGTTTCTGGACTATAAGCCTTTGCTTAGTCACTCATGCTCTGCTCACCTCCAAACTGGATTACAGTAACTCAATGCTGCCCTTGAAGATCCTCTGGAAGCTTCAACTGCTGCAGAGTGCAGCTGTACAGTTACATGCCCCCACCCCCCTGGCCTGGAAAGTGAACATACCTTTATTCTGCAAGATGCACTGATTGCCAGTTTGTTTTAGTTACAATTTTAGGTGTTGCTTTTCATCTTTAAAGTCCTACGTTGCATGGGACCAAGTTATTTGATGGACCGCCTCTCCCTGATTATAGCTACCAAACCCATCATATCAAGAAGGGGTATGCTTTGGGTGTCATCAGCAAAACAAATCCCTGTCTTACTTTCCAGAAGGCCCTTAATACTTTCCATTGACTTTGGAATCCCATAATGAGCCTGCAAGAGAATTATGTAATGTCAACTGATTGTTATTCTTCCATATTCTTGGTTTTGTAATTTGCGGTGTGTGTGTTATATGGTTTTAATTGTTAATATGTTGGTAGACCACCCAAAATTATATTTCATGAGCCGAGTGACTATATAAATCTAATATTTTAAATGGCGTTAATTCTTCTTTTTGAGTATTTTTGACAAATGAAAGATTTGTAAGTATCTTTATCTTTATTAATGACAATGGAAGATGCATTTCAGTTGGCATTGCTGCACCATGGATGTGGGGTGCCTTTAAATCATAGATCCCTTAACCTACAAGAATGAGGCCTATAAGAGTGTTCTTCTGTTTTCTTCCTGACTTAATACTAAAAGCACCTGCTTATGTTTTCCAGGACTACAGTTAAGTAGCCAAATCAAAGGATGCCTTGTCACAACATCATCTGATAAATCTGTGAAAATTTGGGACATCCTAGGAAACAAGCCTTCTTTAGTCTATTCCAGAGATATGAAAATGGTAATTTTAGTCTTTTTTCTGCAGCTATACCTAGAGCCTTATTTTCTTGGAGTGAGCGCAGAATAAAACTGGTGGGAATCCTGATCTATTTAGTATTATGAGTTACTAAATTAATATTGTGTATATTTGTGAGTATACTAATTACATTAATACTTACATGAGACAAATAGCCTGTATTTTATGAACTGTATTTCTTCTAATACATAAAGTCTAAAGACGTTGGATATACACAACCTCTGCTAATTTTGATTTTAGTTCACTGATTTGAATTAGAAATGTGTTGTTGAGATGTATTGTGTTAAGTGAGCAGAAAATCAGAAGAGAATTTGTCTTCTGCCCACAGGGTACCCTGTTTTGTGCAGCTTGCTGTCCAGATCTGCCATTTGTTTATGCCTTTGGAGGAGAAAGGCAGGGACTACAACTCTGGGACATAAGCACAATTTCCACAGGTGACTGTTCTCATTCATTTTCTAGTTATGTAATCCTAAGAAAAAGGTCAATTTCATCTTTAAAATTAGAGTTTTTAACCTCTCTCTCTTTTTGGCATTACAGTGAATGATGTTTTTGGAACTCGACAGAGGCTAGCAGTTACCACATCAAGTTCTGAAGCAAGTAATTCTGCTAATAGCAGTAGCAGCTGTGGAGGAGCTGTAATGGAATCATGAAATAAGCTTTTTTTAAAATTAAAATTCTAAGTAAGCCATTTTTTTAACCTGCTTTTAAGATCATGTTACCATGAAGTTAGGCCTTGATCTTAAAAATTTTCAGAGATGTTAACCAGCTAGAAATTGGAATATGCCAAAACACAAAATCACTAGCAATAATATAACAAATTAATCTTAATTTATTCATTTGTATTAAGAAAGATTAATTTAGGTATTCTGATGCATGTAACAACTACTTAAATTCTTTGACATTGGTTATTTGGTTTAAAAGCTACTATTTAAAAACCAGTTTTCTGAGAATCTAAAGGAAGCGCTCTATATTGTGGAAGGTTTAAAATGTGTTATTATTAACCAGGATTGGATACCTTGTGAGAGCATGATTCTCTGATTTTATATATTATAATAATAATAACTTTATTGTCATTGTACGTGTATACACTATACCTATACAACGAAATTCACTTAACACCCAAAGACCACGTCCAACACACATAACAATCCCCAAACACACTCCCACCCACCACAATTCCCCACCCCTAAACCACCCAAACATCCACACAACAGACCAAGTAATGCTATCCAACAGCTCACTGATGGTGGCCCTTTAGTTCATTGTTGAGTGCGATTTTATTTATAAAATAGGCATATGCTAATTAATAAAATCTAATTGGCATAAATAAGCTAAGATTAACAACATTGGGTTTCTCTCCCCCCCCCCCCCAATTTGTATTTAATTCTTGGAGAATGCCTGGTTTTTCAGTAGTAGTTTGCCATTGCCTCCTTCCTAGGACTCAGAGGTCACCCATCTGGCTTCGTGCCCAAAGTGGGACTAGAATTCATGGTCTCCCAGTTTCTGATGCCTGAATTATTACATCATGGCTCTCATCTTTTTGATTCAGACCATTAATTTAATATACTCCTACCTAGGAGAACTATCAATGTCAGCATATTAATATTGGCTGAAGATCATAATGTATAAACAAATGGTTTAATAAAGCAAAAATGCTATGGTGAAAAAACAATTTCTACATACTGGGGAAAAACTCAAAAGGAGAAAAAAAAACAATACACACATTAAAAAGCAGTATTTTAATTTTCTGTAAGAAAACAAATCTTAATGATACCTTCATTCCATAAATATAATAGCAGCAGAATTTCCCTTTCAAAATAAGTGGTTATTGGTTGCAGTATAGACAAAGTTACATGAATAACCTTTGTATGTAAAATTCATGCTAAAACTAAGCTTGCATTTCAAACACAAGCATTAGCATGCCTTACTCTGATTCCCATACTTTATTTTTGTTTTCTAATTCTCTCGGAATGCTCAATTGTCAACAAATGAGCAAATAATTCATTGATATACAACAAATATCAATTTAATGAACTAAGTTAAGCTACAAACTTTTTTCCAATAAAAAAACACTTTAATGAAAAAAATTTGGTTTGTGCATACTTTCACATTAAGTATATCTTTAACAGAGACAGCTGATGCTGTTTCAGCTGTATCCATCATGCAACAACCAAGTCACCAATGATACCGTTTTAATAGATGAACATAGTAATTATATTGTTTTAATGTTCCTGGCAATCACTCTGAAAACAGATAGGCCATTTTCATTATAGATGAGAATTTGGCCACTGAGTGTAAGTTTAAACAAACGATCGCTTTAGGAATTGTCTTATTTGTGACAAGAAAGTGTATTAGCTGTCACATACATGGTGGTTCTGAGTTGGCAATTTTCATTTGTTGTAGAATTTATCAATTCTTCCTCCTCTGAAGAATCTTCCTCCTCCTCTTCTTGGGCTGAGAGACTAGAGGTTGGTCCTTTACAAATTTTTAGATGGCGAGTAAGGTGGTATTTTGTTAAATAAGCCTTGGAACACTTTTCACACACATAATCCCTTTTTCCTTCATGAGAGTTTAAATGTTTCTTTAGGTGATTTGTCCTTAAGAATAGCTTCTCACATTGTGGACATTTGATTTGACGTTCTCTAAACAGAAATGGGTATGGAGAAGAGATAGCATTTTAGTCATGAGAACATAAAAACAATTTTTTTTAAATATTTGAGAGTTCTTTTGAATTTGAAGGCTTGTGAGACTTAAATTTCACACAGTTGTTCTAATCCCATTTCTCATTTAGCATACAGAAAACCCCACTTTTGCATGCATAAGGCTTTGCCATCATCTGCACAATCAACATTTGGTGGGAAATAATCTAGAGGTGCTTTTTGTTCAACATCACATACTTAGAATTTCAGTGTTACAATTTTATCCTGGAAGAATTCCTATCTTCTGTTCCAAATAACAATCATATATGCAGTAGTCAACATTGATCTCTACCGTTCATCATGGGTTAGGCCTCATATGCTTTTTTTTATAAGATAAGAGAATTAAATACCAGCTTATCAGCCTTCATCTTGACATTATTCACCACAATATATTTTTCTTCTGATAATCCTGGGTTTCTTCTGAGAACTGTCCTATATCATGAATCTTTTAAATATGGACCTCTTTAGTATGTAGGCAATAAATTAAAGAGACAAACACAAAGAAACAATTTGGAATATCTCCTGAATGACTCACTGTGTATGGGTGAGCACATGCTGTTTGAGATCTTGACGCCGCATAAATAGTTTATCGCAATAATCACATTTCAGATTTTTTTCTCCAGTGTGGATAACCATATGTGTCTCTAGGTGTGCCTTTTGAGTAAAAGATTTTTCACAGAGTGTACAGCGATAGTTTTTTTGGCCTGAAAATAAGACATAAAGATTTACATAAGATTTATTTCATCCCATCCCATCCACAGAACAGTAAATATAGATAGAAATTCCAAGCTATCAACATGTTTGATATTACAGTAGGGGCTATACAATAGATTTTAATGCTATAAGTAACTAATGGCATGAATCTTATGTTCTGCTATAGATAACAAACTACACACAACTCTCCAATTTTCCAAAGATTTCCCAAGTTGCTTTTCTAAAATTGCTAAAGATTCTATGCTCTTTGTTAGGTTCTTTTAATTTCATGCTTCTTCAACTGGTTCTCTTTAGCAAAAGGACAAAAGAAAAATAGTTTCCTAGTGATAAACAGTCACTTAAAAATTTGGGAGCTCACATCCAAAATCAAAACCCAATTGGTCTCTAAAATGTTGTATGTCACATATATGCAAATAAATATGCAAATAACAAAGCAACACAATATTCCATTCTAAGAAGGAATAAACTGTGTCTTCACTGTGACAAAACAGTGCAATCGGTTCTAAATATTTGTTTGGAAAAAGAACTTTAAATGTTCTTCCTCACTTACCTGTATGAATTTTAAGATGGGTACGCAGATTGCTGGGATCACTGAAGGCCTTGCTACAGAAATCACACTTGTGTGGCTTCATACCTATATGCCCCATGAAGTGAACATGAAGCTTAGAAGGTGATATAAAAGCTTGAGGGCACATAGAGCATTTCCATTTCCTTTCCTTACTGTGTCCTGATCCAGGGGTACTGCTGTGTCCCTGACTGGGGAAGTGGCTGTGGAGATGACTACTCAGATGGACCTTAAACTCTGCATAGGAGGCACATTCTTTTCCACAGTGACAAGTATGCACATCAGGATGCTCAGGAACACCTTTAAGAGAGGTAATTGTTTATGATGCAGCAGAAAGTATGAAGCCCCAAAATACAGTAGTGGCCACAATTGTGGAAACCTTTTGGGAAAAGTGTATTTTTGAGGTATGATGGCTAATAACACCACTTTTTTGGGGGGGGGGAGTTTCAAGATAATTATATTCCACTGCTGGAATGGCCTGGGAATAGCCCAGACCTTAACCTAATTGAAAATCTATGGAGCCAACTAAAGAAACTTGTTAGTCAGAAGCGACCCAGTAATAAAACCCAGTTAATAGAAACAATCATTCAATCTTCGTTTCACATTATAACAGCTGCAGAACTAAAAGACTTGGTTCACTCCATGGGAAGACGTTGTAAGGCTGTAATTCATGGTAAAGGTTACCCAACTAAGTATTAACTGACGTGGTGATAATTTTTGTATATCTCTTTTTCCATGGTGATAATTTTTGTATATCTCGTTTTTTCTATGTATTTCACTTTTCTTCTTAATACTGTAACTGCTATTCTAATAGCAAACCCTTCATAAAAGTTACTGCATTACATTCTTGATTAAATTATCTTTCCATTGATATATAATTTTATGATACTACTCCAAAAAAACAGTGGTATTATTAGCTAGTTTTAGAAAATACACTTTTCCCAAAAGGTTTCCACAATTTTGGCCTACTACTATAAATAGGAAGGTAACAAAAAGCATTATAAATTTAAAAGGCATAAACTTCAATCTTGTACTTTGTTGAAATATGAAGAAAGGGAATAGCTTACAACTACTGTATTTTTCGGAGTATAAGACGCACCTTTTTACCCCCCAAAAGGGGGTGAAAATTTAGGTGCATCTTATACACCGAATGTAGCCCTGCCCACCCACTGGCCCCCACCCTTTGGCCTGTGCCTCGCAGCAGTTACCTTCTTGCAAGCAAACAGCAAGAAAAAACAGCCCCTTTCAGCTTCAGCATAGGTTAATTAACACAAGTTGTTTAGATCGGCCTCCCGACTCTCAGCTGATTTGCTCTCAGCTGTTTTGTGCAGGGCTCTCCTGCTTGCTGCAAAAAGTGCTGGAGCAGATTGTTTTTCCCTAGCTATGCTGAAAAAACGAAACTGAAAGTAAAGCAGGTTCTTTGCTGCAACGTGACAAAATGAGGCAGAGAGAGATTTCTTTTTCTTTTTTCTCACCAAAAAAGGTAGGTGCAAACCAGGGGTGGGTTCTAAATTTTTTTTATTACCGGTTCTGTGGGCGTGGCTTATTTTGTGGGTGTGGCTTGGTGGTCATGTGACTAGGTGGGCATGGCTAGTTGGTCAGAGTCATTTCTGGAAGGTCCTCGCACTTATGATCAGTCCTCGCACTTATGACCCGACTCATTTGCTTGCTTTTAACACTGATCAGCTGTAGGACAGCCCTTTGAAGCCCCACGGCAAGAGTTTAAACAGTTTTTTTCCCTCTAGTCATCAGCTGGGACTCAGGAGGCAGCAATAGATTGGGGGTGGGACCAAATAAAAGGTAAGAATAACGTGGGGGGGGTGGGAAGGCGGGGGGGCGAACCGGTTCGGTGACATCATATTGCCACCGCTACCGGCTCGGCCAAACCGGACCGAACCGGGAGGAACCCACCACTGGTGCAAACAATAGGAAATTTAGGGCAAAAGAAGAGAGTTCAAGATTTTAAAACACAAAAGAAAAAAAGCTCTATTTAACTAGGGAATTGTAATAATTGAGATACTATTAATTGTATATTGTGTTAAAAGCAGAAATGGTTAAGTTGTGGTTTGGAGGAATATATGGGGGAAATTATTTGGTTTATTATTATTGGTAAATATAATTAATTGATTTGTAAGAAATTGGATTGCATGGAAATAATTGGAATATTCATGTTCATATTGATTAATATACAAAAAAGGTAGTTATATAACTAATTGATTTATATTAAAATGTTGAATTTGTATTAAACTGTAATATTACATAATTAACCAATGTGAGGATGGATATAAAAATAGATGACAATGGGAAGGGGTATAATATAGAATAGAAGGGAAAAACTGATTTTGATTAAGATTAGAGATGTGGATGAAGGGTAATATTGGTTTTTTAAAAAAAATAGATGAGGAATAAATATGGCAAAAAGGAAATATAGAAATTGTAAATTTAATTGAAATGACTAAACACTGTTTAAATTTGTGAACCAGCCAAACACTCTGTTCAAAGAAAATACATTGTATGTTTGTATGTGTGTTTGTCTAAATTTTTTTAAAAAAACTTTAAAAAAAAACCAAAAAAGGTAGGTGCGTCTTATACTCCGGTGCGTTTTATACTCCGAAAAATACGGTAAATCCAATCCGATCAGATAGAGGGATATATAAATCAGAAGTTTCTATTCGTATCAGATTTAAGCTCCCCATTTGGATCATACTTCCAGCAGTAATTTGCAGCATGGTCAATGTTTCAGGCCTGGGAGCTACAGACTAAAACATTTGAAGAATGCCATATTTGGAAAACCTAAATTAACCGCTTACCAATCTGCCGGGCATAGTCACGACTATAGTAAAAAAGGAGCTCCTGGTCTGGAGGAATGTCACGTGAGGTGCAGAAGTAAACCTTTCCATCATGAGGATAGGCTACCAGATTCTGTTCTTCCCGGTTCCTATTTCACAGAGAGGAAAATCTTAAAATGTATCATCTGTATGATTTTTATCACAAATATCCCTAAATCATTTAATATTCTTCACTGAAGCCAATGCTAAAACAATTTGCAGCAACGTCACTGAACAAAACTAAACTGATGCTTTTGTACTGTGGTGCTGGAAAAAACTGCTGAGAACATTTGAACCATAAGAACCAATCAGATGAAGTAAAGCCGTACTGCAGATTGAGAGCAGTAACACTGGAACAAAAATATTCTGGACATGTAATGTGGCAGGAAGAGTCATTGGAGAAGACTCTGAAAAAGAAGCCGAAAGAAGACAAAGTGGCTAGACATTATCCCTGGTTAAACAAGCACAAGGTTGTAAGAATTCACAGCAGTTACTGGAAGAGAATCCGGACATTAGGTCTTTCACGCTGCAAAGAATGAAAAAGGGCTGAACGAATGAACAATGAGGTTCACTGATTTTCTACTTATCGGAAACAATTTATTTTCAACTGAAGGGACCGACTGTTAAAACTATTTTATTGTACTGCAATCCAGGTACAAGAAAGCAATTATCAACTTTCATGGGGTTGAAATGATGAGTATTTTTTTTATTTCTTCCTAGAGACCATCCTTATTTTACCTCTATTATGAACTTGTATTTGATCAGCTACCAGACACGCATTTCCTTTTTTCCTACTTTTTTCTATTTTTGCTAAAGCTCTGATGTTCTGTTCTTAAATTGCTAAAGTACTCTACTGGTTATTTAGTCTTATTGTGTGCACATGATTATATGTGAATATTAAAACTTGTTTCAGAGACTATTACTAAAACAAACAATGCTTTAGTTTTGGTATGCCATACTCTCTTCCTCTGAAGATACTAATCAGCATTCATGCTGCATTAATTGTTTTTATGATTTCAAGGGAAGATGAACAAAATGTTTTCTACTTGAAGTTATCAAATATTCACAAAAATAAAAAAAATCCACCCAATTCTTCTGCTCTTTGAATGAAATATTTAAGTTTCTGAATTTTAAAATCTTAATCTAAAACCCAAAGGCCACGTATATACCATCATAATTGCTGACAATTGTAATTTTAATGTGGCTGAGTGGAAAATATTTTACATGAATGTGGAAAATGACATCAATATATATATAAGTTATTTTACTTTTTTTTCACTAAATCAGATACATTTTTGTCTAACTTCACCCACTTTTTAGAGTGCAGGCCAAAGCATACAATTCAAAGGCTAATCATAGTCTTCAAAAAAAAAAAAGGCCGCACATCCCTGTTCCAGATGAAGTCATTCTGTCTCACAGTATAAATGATCTACCATCTCTTTACAAAGGGCACCTAAAGCATTTCTCAAAATACAGAGTTAAATATAACAATATTTAAAAGATCACTTTAAACAAATTTTTAAAGAGATCTGTAAATTCAAGTTTCGCTTTAAACAGATTTCAAATGTTTTTCCAATCTCAAGTCTTCCAATACTTCAAGGGCTGTCACAAGGAAGAGAATATGCATTTATTCCTTTGGCTCCCAAGGATAGGGTGAAAAACAATGGGTTGAAGCTTTGCACAGATACAAACTCAAAATAAGGATGAATGTCCTGACTCAGGCAGTTATTAAACACTCCCTCCTGCAGTTTTGGAAACTCCATCATAGGAGATTTTCAAGCAAAGGTTGAACAATCATTTGTCTGGGATGGTATGAAGATTCTTGTCCTGGGCAGAGCATTGGAGTAAAAGACCTCCAAGATGTCTTCCAATTCTATAAGTCTATGAGCCAGTCATCTTAGCTGCAAAGAATTATACTGAAATGGCTTCAAGATAAGTTGCTAAATCAAGAAAATATCATGACGATATTAAGATACCTGAAGACTACATAGGAAAATGCATTTTTCTAATTATAATACATTCAATCTACCAAATGATCTAACAAAATAGTAATGCAAATACATGCTGAATCAGTCCCACAAAATATTTGACTGTTAATCCAATCCTGCAATAACAGATTTTGTTGAAATATAGAATGATTTTTCTTAAAACTATTGCAGGGAACTAGTTTGGTGTAGTGGTTAAAGGCATCAGGCTAGGAAGACCATGAATTCTACTCCTACCTTGGGCTTGAAGCCAGCTGGGTCCTCAACCCTAAAAAGCAGGTTGTGGCAAACCACTTCTGAAAATCTTGCCAAGAAAACTGCAGGGACTTGTCCAGGCAGTCACTAGGAGTCAATGCTGACTTGAATGCTGACTTGAATGCAATTAAAACCAAGAAACCTCAACCCTATTTCAAGTCCATACTTTTTTTTTTCTTCTGACGACCCTATAGTCCCTTAATTCGGGGTAAAGTTGGGGCGACTGGATGGAAATGAGTATTTACTGGCCAGATGCCCTTCCTGATGCCTACATGGAGTTTGCAGCAGATATATTTTTTCTGTGCCCTAAGACTGAAACATCTGTCGCTACCTAGGATTGAACTTTCAACGTTCCGAGTGGGAGGCCAGCATGTTCATCACTAGATCACCACACCAGTCATTCCAAATCCAGAATATTGAGGAATAAATATTTAATCTTATTTTTTTTCCAGAAAAAAAGACAGTATTATGTTATACAATATCTAGTGAGATGTAATAGGATTATCATGTAATTACTTAGAAATCTTTGTTGTTGATTTTTGTTGTTGCAGTTTTATCCTTTTCTCACCTGGCCTTCCGCACAAATATCATCCAGTTACATTCATTTTCATCCGTTGTGATGATGTAGAATTCCAGGACATTATTGTGATACATCTGAAAGAAGTTAATCAGAGCCATCTCAGATTGTTAAAAAAATCTTCCTACAAAGTGAAGAGGGCACCTTAGCAGCTGCATGAAATTGTTTTGATTAGTAATCACTTCCTTCAGGCAAATCACATAAGCACAAAACATAAGTAACAGTCTCCACTCACTATCACTTAAAAAATCAGAACAATGCATATAGACGTTTGGATGAACTTCTGTGCCAGGGGATTTATTTTGTAACAAGGTACATTCTCTTCTGCCCTCAATTTCCAAAAGGCATCCTCTGAACCCTGGTACTTGGTAATGAGTTGATGGAGGACACCAGCAGCAAAGACCACAGTGGTAAATCTGATTTTGGACTGCAATGCTTAAGATAACATTCCTATCCCAAGCACTATTTATTTGCGCGGGGGGGGGGGGGGGAGGGGAAGGAGAAGAGAAATAAATGTCTTTGGAAAATATTTTTCTATATAAGAACAGGAGAGTAAATCCATAATCATTTTATTCATAATCATATTTATTAACAAAATACTTTTATCACTTATTGTAATAAATGCACTGTTCCAATTTTGTATGCGAAGAACAGCCTAGTGCAAACAAGTATTTTTTGCTTGGGAATGATTTAAAAACTGACCTTCCAAATGTGATTGGCTGCTTTGTCTGTCCAGTCAGCTACTTCTACTGAGTGACTTTGTTGACCAATGAGTGGTCCAAAGCAGGTACGGACAGGAATAGTTTCCCGAGTCCACACACCTATGAGTAGTTGGAGAAAAATTTTTAGTCCTCTGATTATACTTAATCAAATCCAGTAATAACAAGCAATATAATGTAAGTTTCACTGCTAAACAAAAACAACATGGAAATCACAGAAGTATCATATTTTTGTGAGTAAACCTATAAATGATATTGTATTGATCCACTTTATTCTAATATCAATTCATTTGAAGTGACTTTAAAATGACTTGTGATAGTGAGATTGGGATTTCTTGCACTTATTAAAAGATTTCATGCTGCTTTCGACAAAAACAGAAAAAAAACAGAACTCCATAATATTTTGTTGTAACATTCCCATCTTCAGAAAGTAGATGGGAAACCCAATAAATGACAAATAGTGAGATGGGCAGTGCTTAAAATTAATATATAACTAAACAAAGGTTTCAAGCTTTTTATGAATAGTGCCTCAGTAACAATGTTTGATTAAGCATTAATGGAATCACATTATATTTAAGTTTCATCTAAAAATAGAAACAATGCCAAAAATAACTAAATAAGAGTAGCTAAAAGGGCATTTCTGAAAACCAATCTAGCAAACTAAAATGTAATAGAATATAAATAATATAGAATAAATTATATATATATAATATATATTAAGCATATATAAAACCTCAAGTACAATATTATTTTCTATGAATACCTAAGCCTATTTCCATTCACTGCTAACCCGAGATTCATTACCGAAGAAAAGGTAATAGTCATACCTAAGGAAGGAGTTCCAAGACAAGTTGATAATTGACAATATTGTCCACCTAAAAGAAAACAATAATTCTCTATTACCATCAATTTGCACATATGAAATGTTCCTATTAGATTGGGAAATAAAATAATGTGGTGTTAGAGTTTCAACTTTCTCCTTCAAAGCATATCTTTTTTCAGAAACTGTTAGGCTTTTCAATTTTATTAAAATATTTAATATAGCTGGTATGACTCTAATAACTGTATTCATAAGAATAAATAATTACCTGCAAAGGTTAGACATTCCCATTCAAGCATTATGTTTCAACGAATTCCCAAGTGAACAAAAGCCAACACAACTTCAACATGGTACAGAATTAAGTACAATGTATTTCAGGAAATCGGAATGCATATTTACTATTTATGTATAGTTGCTTACACTTCTAAATAAGAAAACAGTGGATGTAGCAGGTGCAAAACTTTGAATTCTCAGTTAATTCAGTACTATTTTTTATTGTAAAATTATTTGTAAAATCTATGTACCCTATAATTAATCAGAATAAGACAATTCCATATATGAACAACTATAAGTGGGACAGGAAACACTGTGTTGGTAGAAGGAAGAATGCATTCAACTGCACTTCAGCGCATAAAGAAACTAAATAAAGTCAGTGAAGAGTTAGAACTGTAAATAGATTGGATGTTTCAGTAAAGCAATGATTGAAAACCTACCTCCAAACCGATCATAAAGTACATAACAGAGAAGGTACCAGTTCTGGAATAGCCACAATCCTCAAGTTTGAATATTACTGAAAATGTGTATGAACAGCCAAAGCCTGAAGTGCATGCAAAGATACCCAAGAATTATTTCGGAGCTAGGAAACTTGGCTACAGAAAATGTTTGGAAAGTGTTATACAAAGTACTGAATGAAAAAAGTCCAAACATCTGCATCTGCAATATTCACTGTTTTATTTTGAATGTGTAAACAATTGCACACAAATTTATGTGTTTTACCACACAGAGATTGCATTGTACTGTATGCTTAATAATAAACCTCTGTTCAGATTCACATTCTTTTCCCAGTACAATAGTGGCTTTTATTATCCAGCTATTGTATCAAATTGTGTTTCGAGAATATACAATAAGCAATAAAAAAAAAAACGTACCAACTTCAGGTCCCATGACAGCATGGCGGATATTAAGCTGTTTTGGAAGAGAAAGTCTGGCCCTGCTCTCTATTGGAGTGTCAGAAACAAAAGTCACTGGCCCATGATCTGGGCAATCTGATGGGTAAGCCTTGTCGCAGAGTGTGCACCCTGTGAATAAAGAAAAAGGGTACAGAATGAGAGAATTGTTCCTGTCAATTACTATAACACAGGGGCCCCCAACTCCTGGTCCATGGTCCTTTGCCTGGCCACAGCTCATTTGAAACCGGGCCACAGAAATGGTGGATAAGTATTTGTAAAAGCGGCACGCGCATGCACGTGAAACCATCTTCCCCCACCGCCGCCATCATCTCCGCAGGTCCGCCAAGCCAGAAAGGTTGGGAAATGCTGCTATAACATACAGGCAATATGAGGGTACAAAAAAAACTCACACAATAATATTTATTAGACCTATGCTTATAAAATGTTTGATGCCAGTGTCAAATAAAAATTGCCTTGAAGTGATAAAGAAAATTTACAAATGTTAGCTTTTGATGGGGAACAGGGTTATCCGTATATTGATTATGGGAAGAAAATTTGCAAAATTGAGATATGGATTCCTTCATGAGGAAAACAGGTCACGTAATTGCAGGGGAATTTTCTTCCACAAATATATTCTTCTGCACATTCGACTTGCAAGTAAGAAAGAAATAGTTTTATAGGAACATCCACTATGGCAGTCCAGCTATTACAATCATAGTTTTTTCTCATTTACATGCATTACTGACTAATGAAAGGTGTAGACAACTGAAGAGAAAAAGTCATCTTTCTTCCTTCTTTGGAAGAAGTACAAGTAAATAAAGGAAATTGGAGCATGTATTTTGAATAATTATAATTAAACATTGAATGTAAAAGCATTCAAGACATATGAAAAACAGACGCTTATATGCATGCCAATTTCTCTGAACTGAGAGGAGAGAAAGAAGTGAAAGTTGATCTGTTCAACGACTGAAACAATCCGCTGCCTCTTTAGTTTTTGTGTATCTGTATCCATCCTAAATGAAAAAAATTCTTCCTTTGTAGTCAGGAAAGAGAAAGCCTAACTGAGATAAAGACAAACCGCAAAGCAAATAAATATTTATTATACGTAGGAGGAACACACAATTAGTAGTATCTTTCAAATGTTTTGCATTTTAATTGTTACCATTCATTATAATAACTGATGTTTAAGTCTCAGTAAAACCATGCAAAAGGAGCATTGCCTTCCCTTTGCATCCAGAATGGGTTTCCATTGTATACTAAGCCAAATTATAGTTGGTTCATTTTTGGCTTAATGAGTTATACCAATTGTGATGCTTTAACCAGGATTAAATAATGGCTTACAGTCCTGTGTAAATTCAATGATTGCTTAAAAGCTTACTCCCAGTTTTCTGTACCTTCTGTAAACTTTTTCTATAACTCCATTGGATTTTATCGTAAGTACATACATTTAAAAGCAGAATAACTTTTTGAAGTAGCTGGAAAATACTGTTTAAGACATATTGTGACACATACTCACATATTGTAAACAATGTAGCCATATTCTCTTTATTGGAATTGGAATCTTCCATCTGCAATGATGATGGCACAAAAGCAAGATTGTCTGGAGAGACATCCACATGATTTTGTCCCATGGCTACTTCCTGGTTAATGGAGGATACTGTCACAGGCTCCAAGCTGAGACCCACTTCATGTAATGAGACAGATTCCAAGGAAGTGAGATTATGTGAGGTAGAAAGCGCAACACTCACAGAATTGCTGCTCATGGCCACTGTATGAATAGAGTCCCCAAGTGTTCGGTCAGGCATCCCATTGACACGGCCTGAAATGTGATCAGTCTCCATAACAACAGGAAGTTCCAAACTGTTACCATGGATGGGGATGACACCATTATGCCCCACAGTTTCTGAGGCTAAACCACCATCCACTGCTAGAGGCTCATGATTACGGCTGCCATTTGCAATTTGTGAATGATCCCCACCTACATCACTCATCCTAAGCTCTTCAGCCATTCTGTCGCTTGAAATTGGACTGGTAACTCTTGAAACACTTTCTATGGTAATTGTTGTATCCAGAGCTACATCATGGCCATCACTGGGATGCAAACTTTGAGTGTTATGTGCGTTCACTGAACGAGAATCCATGGAGACAATGCCTGCTTCAAGACCCACAGATCCATTGGGCTGGTAAGGATCTAAGTCTGAAGGATTATTGGAGACAGATAAAGCTGAGTTACTATCAACATTGATATTGTTGGGGTGAATACACTGAGGTGGAGGTCTGTCAGCTAAGTAAGATATGAGACCTGAAGAAAAGGAGAAATGAAAGAAAGGCAAACATAAACACATTGTCTCATACTAACAAGTCAAGTTTTAAATTGCTGAACACAAGGAAAATCAATTTGCACTAGTGCAGCCAATAAGCCTAAGCCTCAGTATTTACACCTCTCATGACTTGCAAATAAAGAGTCCATGTAATTTAAAGAATTATTAAGGCACGAGAAAAAGAAATGCACAAATTCACTTAAACAATTCCAGATCATATCTATTGTTGTAATAATTGTCAAATAAATAAAACATAATTATAAATCTGGAAGAGAATGTCAGCACATCCCTATTTACCTGTAAAATGTATATCCTGTTGCCTATTCAATTGAAGCTTTACAGTAAAGTGTTAACCATTGCCCCATATTATTGATCCCAAGATTTAAACAAAGTCTATTGTGTCATGCTACATACCAGGTAGAATGTGTCTAAAGTAGCTGCTTTCTAGATGAGGGTATGGTGGTGGAGGTAGGGTATAATTTCTTTCTGGTATACCACACATCACTCCTCGATCTCCAATGCCCATTGGAAGCATCAGAGACAAAGCAGACGGTAATGAGGGCCCCAAATTTGGAATTGCAACTGGTAATCCTAATAAAAAACAAAATAATTAGTCTACAACTGATCAAACATTTGGGGAGACTGGATGCACCGAGATTAAGACTGAAAAGGTCATTAGAGATTTTGATTTCAACTTAAATGGAGTAAACACGACTTAAATCATACAATCACTTTTGTTCACAGTATTCTTACTGTATCACATTTCTATTGCAAGTTGACACTGACTTTTTTGTAATAATGGAAAGATGCTCAGTTCTTGAAAATTATATCTAAGAGCCAGATTGTGGGCAATAGCAAAACACTGAAGAAAAAGTATTAAAGCAAAAGCGAGTTTCCTATAGCTGGGTTTAGATATGTCACACCATCTCCCAAATTGAAAAGCACAGAAATAAAGACATCAACAAAATGTCTCTTTATCCTAACTTGATATGTTACCTGGTGCTGGTATAGCATTATGGGTGGGTGAGGAGGTCAAAGCTATGTGATTTCCTGCAACAGCCAGGGCATTGCTCACAGAAGCAGCTGCCAGTTGTTCCATCCCCACAGGGCTCAGACTCATTTCATTCATCCTAGACAAAAAAAGGGATATTTAAAATGTACACAATAGTTCAGGCGACATGAGTTTGGCATTTAACAAACATACAGAATACGGTACAAAACAGGTTTCAACCACTCTTGAATGATGGCAAGGGGCTGCACTCTAACATGGAAGGTCAAGGCAAAACCCAAATATATTTAAATAAGTGGTTTCAATATTATTAATAAATATAATCAATTTCATGATTTTAATATCTCTTTATATATTAAAATTAAAATTTTGTGGAAATTTCTGGAGAGGTTTTAGGGAACGCACATCTGGTATAGAAAAATAGATCGTGCTGTTGTGCTTTTCTTCCTCCACTCCCTTTATCTTTTCTATTCCTCCAGCACGTTTAATAAAAGACTCCAAAGAAAGTGAGATGAAACTGGGATAGAGTCAAAGAGCTGAGAAGCAGGGTGGTTCAAGATTGTTTGCCAATGGGAAACCAGACTGCCACACAACTGCTGTAGTATTACAACACCACAAAGAAAAAAAATAGCTGAATTCTGATTTCAAATAAAGTGCAATGGGACAAGAAAAAATTGACTGAGATTTTAAAATATCCTCATACTCTAGAAAAGCAATCTGGAATTCCAAATCAGCTGTGTGTAGAAGTTCCCATAAGTTAAAATCTTTAAGAGTTTGCTAATGTTTTAATTTCTCATGCTTCTGTGTGCTTCCTTAATGGTTACCAAAACTAAACTGTAATAAATTCAATACCAGTAATACCAGTACCAGTAATAAATTCAGTATTAAATATAAATATAAATAATTGATTTAAAGAAAAACCATTTAATGGGTACTGGATGCAATGGACATTTTATTGGGGCATCCCTCAAAAATAATAGACAAGTTCATTAATCCAAACAGTTTAGATCAGATATTTAAATCTACATAATGTACATTGTGACATGGTTTACATAATTCATGTTGTTATATTATCATACAAATACTGTACATCACTGTGATTGACATCTTTCAAGTTAAACGGATATTTGGGAATTAACACTCCACCCCTGAATGATCTGTTAAATCTGTAATTTTCAAAATACTGCACGCATTAATTCACTAAATCACAGCAATTCCAAAAGCTTATAATTCTTACATGTTAACTGCCATCTTTAAAATGTTGCTTGATTATTTAAAAAGCTACTAAGCACAACTAAAAATCACATTCTTTTTAGACTGATTGGAACTATGATTATTTTAGAAAGAAAAGATATTCATGAATTTTATCCTTATTATTGCCACACATTAGAACCCACTGCAAATTAGGTAGTTGTAAGTCAGCAAAACATTTGTAACCCTGATCATTATCTAATCAGAGTTAAGCATACTGAATATGTTTTTTTCTTCCCGTCTTTGTTCATTTAATGAATATTTAACTCATTTAGGCTTTGTAATTGACACTTACTCTGATCAACATTGCCTGGATTCACACAACAGAAACACAAGAACTAGGCTCTGAACCAGTCCCTTTTTTGAGCATACCTCCTATTTGAAAGAAAGCAAATTAACAGCAGTGATTCCCAGAGGCAAAAATGGATGTCTTTCAAAGACAGATAATTCTGCTACAACAAGCATGAATCAGTATTAAAATTTGACCAAATTAAATACAGCAATGTAGATTCATCCAGCCAAAGCTCACAAACAATAAAGCAGTAGAGATGTCACACAATTTTCTGAGAGGCAGGATCCCATTCCCAATGTCCCCGAGATTAACCATTCTCAGGGACAGATTATTTTCTTTCTTTCTTTCTTTCCCCCCCCTTTCTTTTCAGAAAAAGGACTTGTCCTTTCACTGAATACAGATAAGCACAGGCCCCAAGAGGTATAGTTTAGAAAAAGAACCACAGTCCAGGCCTAAGGTGTGCAATGGACATATGTTGCCATCATTTGTGCACCGGATATGAATAAGAGCCCCTTGTGTACCATAATGATAGAGAAATCCCAATTGTCCCAGGCTCTTGCCTACCAGGAACTTGATGGCCATACATCATGTCAAAATTCAGTCAGAGTTTGTAGCAACTATATAACAGTAGTAAAGAGAAATGACAACTAGCACTATCCTGTTCCACCCACACATGAAGGATGTTCTTTGCTGTAAGAAACATAATTGAGGAAAAAATATCAATATATCAACTCACTCTTAGACCTGAGTTTGTGACTAAATCTTCTTTCAACTACAGCTTTCATTTACAAAAGGAATAATGCTTGTAGATGGAATATGAAGATTTTATATTTCCCAATCTCAACGATGTCTTCTTACACCATTTTTAGCATTCTTAGTATGGGGATAGACAGATCACTTACACTGAAATGGAAGAGTTAATACACTGAATAGACTCACTGTTCCAGTCTACACTGTCTTTATCAATATCCTCATGAGGTATTTATACATCAATATCAACAATAAAAAAGGATTAGTCAATCACATTTTGTATGACAGTTCAATAAAACCTGACTGTATTTTTACTGGCTTCAGATCTTTTCAATTTACATATACTTTGGCTTTTATATATCGGTACTTTGACTTGTAATTAAGTAGATGCTAATTAACCAATAATGTTAAGTCCCACAGCCTGAAAGAACATGTCATTTGGGAATCTTCTTTCACTTTAGTAAAATTTAGCAGAAGCGTTTCTGATTTATTCACAAAATAACAGCAGCTGCTTAATCTTTGAAGAAAACTGGTTCATCAAAGCCTATGCCACAAGGACATTACTGATCTTCATTATGTAAGGAAATGGTAATAAAGATATACTGAAATACTAGAATTAGTAGAAACTTGTTATTTGTTTCCTGCAACATACACATACATACATACATACGTTTGTGTGTGTGTTTATATATGTCTTTGTATACCTGCATGCTGTAAATATTTGTTTCCTGTGACACATACATATAGGTATATTGTGCCTTTGAAGTTATAACACGAACATGCCACATTGACTAACTTCCTGGAACAAACATGTTGTTATTGGGGTCTGTTGTAAAGTATCTGGTATTTGTCAAACTAGAGTCTTATCTTTCTCTCTCCTCCACCCACAATGTATCAGATTGGAGATGCTAACACTCAATCTGTGTTGAGTTCCGTTCCCTTCACATCAAGGGGTCAAGTGGTTAATTGTGAGAACAAAGGAAAGAGGTAATGAGGCTCATTAAGAGGCTCTACCCTGTTCCAGGGGGTACACAAATCAAAGATGTCAGAATTAGAGGTTTATGACGTTCCTAAACAATATAAAAGGGATTCACATTCCCTCTCATTTATAGCTCTTACCTGCATATATCTTGTATGTGTTTGGAACAGCTACCCATTTAAGCTTGATCAAGATGAAATGCTATGTTATTCAAGCCTCTGTTTAAGTTTCTTGTTTGGCATTTATGAGCTTAAACATATTATTATTGGACCTTACATCTACCCAATGGTTATCTTTAAAGACTTCTGCTGTTTAGATGCAAATTAGTTTAATTTGCATCTAAAAGATAATAAATTAATCTTCTCATCCTTCCCACCACCCATCTCCTTCCACTTATGACTGTAACTTTGTTGCTTGGATCCTTATATTGATATTGTTTCCTGATTGCTTATTTGTACCCTATGACTATCATTAAGTGTTCTACCTTATGATTCTTGATGAACGTATCTTTTCTTTTATGTACAGAGAGCATATGCACCAAGACAAATTCCTTGTGTGTCCAATCACAGTTGGCCAATAAAATTCTATTCTATTCTATTTATGATCTGCATAAATTCCTGTTTCCCCTCAGAGTGTAAGTCATTCATGACAGAACTCTAGACATGTTCAGAGACACTCACCTAAAAACTCAGGCATCAGAAACAGATGTAGAATCAATTCGACATTTATACGAAGCCATACCCACATGCAATGATCCCACCTGGGATGCATCTGCCGGCGAGGCCGAGCCTACGAGGGCCCCAGTGGCGACGGCCTTCTCCTCCTCCTCCACATCTGGTTCCCCTTTTCCAGCTTTTGTCCTCCAGCACCTTCCACCGCCCAGCTCCAGGCAAGCCAGCATCAGTCTAAGGCGGACCCAGCCACCTCCCGCAGCACCTGAGCCCAGGCCGTGGACATGCCACCGCCCACCGCCGGAACCAGAACCGCCTCATGAAGTACCCGGCGGACCGCGGGGAAAAAAAGGACATGGGGGGGTTGGGGACAGAAAGAATTGGGGCACCAACCGCACAGAGCGCCCCCCTCCGGAAGGGGCGGTTGTGCAGCTGTGGACGGGATCCTCCTCTGAGAGGCAGGGGGCGGGGTCAAAACAGGGTACGGAGATCATTTCCGGTTTGTGCCGTATCATGGAAACGCCCTTCTCGCTACTAGTCCATCCTCCCTTTGCTGTAAACGCAGGCGTGACGTACCGGCCGCCGCTCGCGTAAACTCCGTGTAAATATCTGCCCGGTTGATTTCTGCTGGGTTTTCTCCTCAGATCTTCGTTCCCAACGTGATCGGCGCTGCCTAGAATACGGAAAACGTTTTCTGACGCAATCTGCGCAATGTTGTGCTACGGTTTAAACTCCACTGAAGTTACTGGGATGAGCAGGGTTTTCTCAACCTCGGCAGTTTTAAGATGCGTGGACTTCAACTCCCAGAATTCCTCAGCCAGTTTGGCTGGCTGGGTAATTCTGGGAGTTGAAGTCCACGCAGGTTAAAGTTGCCAAGATTGCGAAACGCTGCTTTAGAGTACAAATCAAAGTTATATGTTGTTTTAAAGACATGAAAGGCTTAGTTATATGATAAATAATGTATAATGTAACTAAAATGGTTTCTATGGTTTTTCTATCACATAAGACACCTTAGCTAAATTTCATTTAGTTTATATACTATGTTAATTGTTATAGCAAAGGCTGATTGCAATTAAAAAGAGTCATTTTTACAATTATGCTGTTGTTTTTGTACATATTCAGTTATAATAATGGCTTCAACTTAAGATGAATTGGATTTTTTTTTAAAAAAATAACATTTTTTGGAATTTTACAAGACATTTAGGCAAATACATTCTTACACATTTCAGAAAAACATTTACATTGGATAGTGTTATGCTATAGTCTTCTGACATAGAACTGGGAAAATCAGGTGCTGAATGTGCTTTTTAGATCCAGAATGCAGCTGTTGGAAGAAACATCCTTCTGGGTTCTGCTCCAAGTGGGGAAAACAGACACTGGAAACATGGAGACTGCTTGGAAAGATGGTTTAATGGTGGACAGGATCACATGGCTTGAGTTCCTGAACAGAAAAGAGGGCTGATACAGTAAAATCCTCGGGTTTTTATGCTCTCTCTGGCTCTGCATTTCTTGGGGCCCTGAAAGAGTATCCTGATTGGTTGTCAGACTCCCAGGGGGTGGGAGCCTTGCTGGCTGATGGTCAGATGTGCTTCCCAGGTCACATGTGGTGAGTTTCTACTGCTATTGTGTAGAGGGCTAATCCTATCTTTCGCAATTCCTACTATGGCTCTGCCTGAAGGAGGTAGATCTTTGTTATGTAGAATAGACTGGCCCAAGCCTTAATGGCCCATTGACAAAGGGTGGGGGGCAGGAAGGTGGGAGCTGCTTTGTCTGTAAAATATGCTTCTCATATTTCTGCCTTTTTCATATTTTCTAAAATATTTCACTCTTCCAGGAAAGGGGTGGGTGCTAACTTCCTACAATACGATAAATGTAATTGTGTTAGATACTAATCTAAGCAAATTGACTCAGTTTCTAGGTAGGTACTTTTTATTCCTTTTTAAAAAGATATCCTTAGCTCTTTACGTTTCCCCCAAGCCAGTCCCATTTCCCTTTTCTCCACATGGAAATGAATATAGAACTGGAAGAATAAAATTTTATTTTCTTGTTTCAATGCTGCCAATGCTTCATTCACAGTTTTTTTAATGGATCACTCTATTTTTTTTCTTTTTTGGTGAAACCCTTGTAGTGTCTTTTTAAAGTGTCTTTTTATGAGTCCAACTGAAATTTCTGCTACTTGGATCTACAGAAGAGACATGGTATCCACAGAAAGGGCAGGACAGAGTAATGGCAAAATTATCAGGAAAACAGGATCTGCATGAAACATCACTATGTATGCCATCATTTTGGTGTCATCATTTTATGCAGATGCTGCTGACTACAAAGTTAATATTACTAAGTATATTTAATGTACTTTGTGCCACCTTCTTCTCCATGTAGAAGATTATGACTTGTCCTTTGGAATGTTTGGGGTACAGCTCTATTTGCCCCAAGAAAACATTTATTTAAAAAGTTCTTTACAGTAGCATTGTGTTTCTCCATTTTATGCACACGGACGGATACCTTTATATTATTTACCCATTTTTCATAGTGTTTAAATATTGTCCTTATAAGAATGAAGTAGTAGAGCTGATCATGTTTGGAATTTGTGAACAAGTCTTAATTTCCTGAACTGTCTGCTGTTCAGCAGTACAGTAAAATAACTTTATTTTTTGCATGTCTACATTGGGCAGTTTACAATAAAGAACTCATGTACCTCAAAAGAAACTGGTCATCTAGGAACGGGGTGGGGGGGGGAAATGAATTTTTAAGATGAATCTCTTTGAAGGGATTGGTACCAGGAGTCAATGCTTGCTGGTCTCTTCCATCTGCATTTTTCTCTGGCATTTGCCTTTGCAACTTCAAGGACAAGGAGGACCAGATTACAACAGGACAAAACCACATTTAGGGAGAAACTGCTGTTTGATTCTGAATGAAATGTGCAGATTTTTTAAATAAAGTGTAGGAAGTTAGCACCCACCCCTTTCCTGGAAGAGTGAAATATTTTAGAAAATATGAAAAAGGCAGAAATATGAGAAGCATATTTTACAGACGAAGCAGCTCCCATCTTCCTGCCCCCCCACCCTTTGTCAATGGGCCATTAAGGCTTGGGCCAGTCTATTCTACATAACAAAGATCTACCTCCTTCAGGCAGAGCCATAGTAGGAATTGCGAAAGATAGGATTAGCCCTCTACACAATAGCAACAGAAACTAACACAATGGGACCCATCTAGACGAGGCTCACCACATGGCACCTGGGAAGATTGCATCAGCCAGCAAGACCCCCACCCCCTGGGAGTCTGACAACCAATCAGGATACTCTTTTGGGGCCCCAAGAAATGCAGAGCCAGAGAGAGCATAAAAACCCGAGGATTTACTGTATCTGCCCTTTTTCTGTTCAGGAACTCAAGCCATGTGATCCTGTCCACCATTAAACCATCTTTCCAAGCAGTCTCCATGTTTCCAGTGTCTGTTTTCCCCACTTGGAGCAGAACCTAGAAGGATGTTTCTTCCAACAGTATTTTCTTATATTACAGTTTGAAGAACAATTCCTATCCCTTTTTCGTAAGCAAAATAGGACATGTGTAATAGGATACTTTATTCTGTGAAATACGTTTCTTTTGAAGTGGAAAATGCTTACATTTCCTTTTGTTTCATGAACAATACCATTCTTAAAGTTACAACATTTTCAAACAGAATTAATTTCTTTTCCTGAAAAGATTGAAACCGTTTTTTAAAAAACCAGGAAAAGTGAATTTTTAAATGTGGGGTAGAACTCTGCCATACGGGATGCATATAAAACAAGGAATAATTATAGTGGAACTAAAATGATCAATTTAGTAGTGACAATGGTGCACATTATTTATATAGTATAATTTGAAGTATAGATGATTGCTCCAAGACTCATTATATCTATAATTCACGAGAGAGAACAAGGGGAAAAGGGTTGGAAATGGTTAAATGGGAGAAGAATAAGATGTCCTTATTACAGTTGCATATATTGAATTTAACAAATACCTTCTTTTGCTGCTGTACACATCTTAAAGAATGCTAGACAATTCCTACCAACCATGTTTGGAAATATGCCTCATCTGTCACACTCTCAACCACAAGGGAGCACTCTTTCCCTTAATAGTCTATATCTCACATTTCTGCACACATTCACACGCACATGGACATACAAATCACACCACAACTTGTCAGATGCAGTTTAAATCTGCAAACATCTATGAACTGACTGATGCCATTATTTTAGAACAGCGGAAGCTGCAAAATCTGCCCTCGTGCTTTGGATTTCAATAAAGGAAGCCCTTGGCTAATTTTTTCATCTGACAGGAGATCCTCGATTCTTGAGGAAAAAGAGGTGGAGCTTTGGCAACTCTTGTCAAATGCCTGCAAACTTTTCAAGTTATCCATCCTTTTGGAGGCAGGTAATATCAAAGAGTACTGCGGATTACAATATGTGAGGAGTGTTTACAGCCTAGAAGATTATTTATGTTTGGTTTTATCTCTATAGTCACACATCCAAGCTTGAAGAAAAGAAACACAGGAACCCTCTCATTATCTTTTGAAATATGAAGATCAGAGAAAAACCTGGGTTTAAAGTGTGGAGTGATGCTCCTAGAAACCTGCTTATAAATTAGAAGGCATCCTGATTCACTAATAACAGACTAAGGAACAGAACTGATACTTGGATAGAAGAGCGGAATTTCACGGTCATTTTTACTGCCATGGACCTTAAGCCAATGCCTACTTCTCTGATCACCACAAATTGTGGAGCAGAACATCTAGCCTATTTGACCTCTCCTTCAATGGATAAATTCCAGAAAGCCTATTCTGGAATTTGACTCTGAATTGCTTCTAAGATGGGAAGTAAGAAAGATGATGGGCTCTTGAACAGGATCTCATGTTCAGGACCAGCATTGCTTGGAAGCAGTCATGTTACCAGTTCTCATGGTTTACCACTCCGAGAACCATTTGGCATCCCTCTTCCTTTTGGACAAACGTACTGGGACCATCAGCCTTACAATGGCTATTCAGGAAGATTCTCTTATGTACCCTTTTCTGGGTATGTGGGAGTTTATGACTACTCATTTGAGCCAGCTTTCATTCGGAAAAGGAATGAGAGGGAAAGACAGAGGGTTCGTTGTGTAAATGAAGGCTATGCACGCCTCAGAGACCATCTTCCCAAAGAACTTGCTGAGAAGCGTCTCAGCAAAGTGGAGACTTTGAGAGCTGCCATCACTTACATCAAACACCTTCAGAATATGCTGGAATATCATCCTTTAGGAACAAATAATAAGACATCCATTCCAGCTACAGATGCACCGGGAGTTTCTGGTTCTAGTTTAAGAAGAGAATGCAACAGTGATGGAGAATCTAAAACTTCATTAGCTTCATCTCCTTACAGTGAATTTGAGGAAGTTTGTGGTTAGGAAAACAGTCTATAGAAACAAACAACCTCAAAACCATCGATCTCTTTCCAAAAAAAAACCGCCAAAGAATTTCCAATTTTTTGTGGATCACCTGGAGGACAAAAAAAAAGTCATCTCTAGCAAAAGGATGGAAAAAGATATTGAGAAAACTGTTTCCAGTATAATTCATTCTTGGCAATCTTCAGGTGTTTATGTAAGAAAAATATAACATAGTTCCTAACATTTCCTTATTTATGTTATTGAATATTTTATGACTGAGCTATCTTTTCTAAAATTGGAAACATTATTGACTTGTAATCTTTGTTTTGTTTTGGTTTGGTTTAGTTAAAGACAACAATACAGTCAGATGTGTTTTTCCTCCTCTCTTGCAATAACGCTCTGCTTATTAAGATACTGTCCAGGTTTAGTGGACACTGGGCAATAATGCTGTAATTAATAATAATAATTATTGGTGGCGCAGCGGACTAAAGTGTTGTTAATTAGCACTTAGCTGCCAGCTGCCTGCAATTACTGCGAGTTCAAATCTTACCAGGCTCAAGGTTGACTCAGCCTTCCATCCTTCCGAGGTAGGTAAAATGAGGACCTGGATTGTGGGGGCAATAAACTGACTTTGTATAAAAAAGAACACCGCTTGGGGGGGGGGCGAAAGCCCTACTATGCAGGTATATACAAAAGTATGAAGGCTATTGCTTAATGCATTGTAAACCGCCCTGAGTCTCCGGAGAAGGGCGGCATATAAATCGAACCAATAAATAAATAAATAAACAAACAAACAAACAAACAAACAGATAAACAGATAAACAAATAAACAAATAAATAATAAATAAATAATTAGCAGAGCATTATCTCTAAATAAAGTGAATTATATTTACACCCCAGGGAATGTTCTGAAACTTGGGATAAAGTCACAATTATCTTGACTTTAACGGGGTTTAAATTAAATTGCTTTGAAATTGTTCAACTGTTTACAATGAGATTACTGTCTTCATATTTTAGGGTTTGCATTTAGGATGTGCTAGATTGAAAAATGTGAACAGAACTTCATGTTTTGTCAATATGTGATTTCAATGTGCCAGATAATGACTAAAATAAATGAAATGTGTTTGGCTGTAATTTCATTTTAGGTAGCTCTAATGTAAGAATGAAACACATTTTTTCTGATGTTCTTGTTTTGCTTATTAATAACCAACTTATATGTGCATATAAACTTAATTACTATGGCATTTGGGTGATATATGTAGGTTTCATGTGTATGCAGACTAATGTGTCAAAATGGAAGGAGCAAAATAAATACAGGCACAATAATGGGTGATCTTCAAAATGCCAAGATGATGAAAAATATGGATAAAGAAGCGATTGAGACATAATTTCAGTGTGATGGGGAAGGGAATAAAATCTATAAAAACAAGATTTGGATGATAAAGTTTGCACTTATCCCCAGATTTGCAAACAGTATGTTTGATTGGATTTAGAGAATAGGCGCAAAACTTAGTTGTACTTATTAAGCAAGAGGAGTCTTAAAAAGGGAGGAGGTGTTGCTCCATGCATTCCCGTTACTGTGAATTAATTATTTTGCAAACCTAGCCAAATGGCATCAGAACAAAGGAAGCTAATTTAAAATAAGCCAGATCATTAGTCTATCAAGCCTATGTATTTATTATGATAACTCCCCCATCCCCATTCATGTCTTACTTTGCATATAGTCATGCACTGATGTGACACTGAAGGAAGAATAGCCCTAATATCATATATTTGGGCAGATCATACTCCACCAAGCTGCTGGTAAAGAACACTTGTGAAAAGATAACATGAGAACAACTGTCTCTTACACACAGATGCCCCAAAGGTGCTTTTTAAAAAAGGCAACTGGACTTTGAAAAAACAAAGTCCAGTTGCCTTTTGAAAAAGCATCTTTGGGACAACCAGGACCTGGATGACTGAGAATCTCCATAGTCACAAATGTAACGTTTGAAACGTTAATCAATTAATTAATTAGACACCAGGGGTATGGTCTAAGGATGGAGCCAAGAGCATGAAACTACAGCTCCTTGTCTACCCATGATTCAAAAGGATGGATTTGCTTTCAGGGAAAATACTCTGATCCAAGAAATTTTAACTCCAATGAAGTGGAATTAAAACTTTGAGAAAAGAGTGCCAAATCACACACTGGTTGGAAAGCAGTGGCATTTACCTTCTACATTTTGTGAAGTGTTTTATAAGTTTATTCTTTGTGCTCAGGTATGCATTCTATGGTATGTGTGGGTTTTCAAATGTTCAGAAGCTGAATTTATATTGATCTTGGGTTTTTGGAAGAGAATGAAATACTTTTACACTCTTGACACATTTTAAGCTGGTTGTGAGATATTATCCAGTGACTAGTTCAGTTCTGGAATAGCCAGGAGACCTGTATCTTTGAAAGAGCTCCATATGGCTGCAAAAATGCTCTTTTATTTTTAGTTAAAAATATAGAAGAGATTTCAGTCACATAATGTTTCGCCTTGGTAGGTGCTTCCTACATCTAGTAGTAGTAGTTTTGAAAACAACTTCAGTCCCGGTCACCTCCACCACAGATTCTTTACAGGTAAGAAAGCTAACTGAATATTATTCCGGATAATATTGCTAATATCCTGCCATAAAACAACTGCAGCAAAACCCCAACTTCATTTTCAGCAAGCTTCATGCTGGAATTATTTTTAATCCTTATAATGCATAGCAAGTGAATAGGATTCTTGTTACAGAAAGCAGATAATGATCAGAAGTTTACACTCTTTGAATTAATGTTTGAATTAAAAACAAGACCAGGCAATTCTTTCCATATGACATGATTACTGTTTGCCATAAAAATACTTCACAGATTCCATTAGATACATGGTCAACAATTTTATCAGTAATTAATTAGCAGCCAAAGAATAAATGTTGATCATTATCCACATGTGTTATATCTCAAAAATGGATTCTAATTTATATTCGTGATTACATAGTTGCTATTAAGAGTAATATGGTCTACACGGCAGAAAGCTTATGTCTTGTAGTATGAGTTGCTTTTTCATTTAAAAGCAGAGTTCAAAAAAGTATTATCTATGAGTAATGTACATTAACACAGAAACACAACATGAGTGCTGTGAAATGAAATTGGTAGTAAAGTACCATGAAGATAAAAAGCTTTAAACAAGTATAATTATAATATATATTACTATTAACAGTAAAAGAAACTAGAGCAAACTGCTAAATATAATGGGATGGATCCAGATTTAGGTAGGTGGAACTGAGCAAGCTAGAGTATATTAGTTTGATCCTTTCCCCTAACATTGTATTTTAGAGATTCTATTAAGAATGGGCTATCGTTTTGGCAGAAAATTGAATTCTAATATATCACAATATTATATCAGAAGTATCATAGTTCCTGCTATCCAGGAATTTCATGAGAGCACATTGCTCCCAACAATATTTTTCCATCAGAAAGATAACAGGTTATAGCTAAGAACATGCAATTTAAAATATATGGCTAATTATAAAAACAAACTACTTCAAATTCCCAGGTATAAAGAAAATGTACATATTTGTGTTTAAAGATTAACAATTAAATCAGAACTCTGGGCAAGAGAACAAGGGAAAGAATAAGTGAATTACCCTAACCAGAACAGATTAATAATATATACATTAATACTTCCCTAGGGGAAAGATTATGGTGTCATATTACTTATATAGAGAACAATCAGTTTTCTAAATATGGTTCCTATGCAGCCAAAACAACCAACAGCCATGGGCAATGGGCAGGTATTACATAGACTATCAAATGCCACAATTTCCAGAAAGTTATGTACTACAAAACATTTAAAACCAACACCCCTTCTTAAAAAATTGTGTATTAAACAAAAACATCACAATGCTCAATAGTATGGTTGGTGGCCATAAAAAGTAAAATATAATTAGAGAACAGAAATTATGTAATTTATTCAATTTAGAATGTAGAATATAAAATAACAAAGTTTGATAGGAACTTGGAAGTCTTTTAGTCTAATCCCCTGTTCAAGCATGAGACTTTATACCATTTTGGACAAATGATTGTCCAATCTTTTCTTGAAAACCACCAATGATGGAGTACTCACAATTTCTGGAGGCAAGCTCCAGAAATTAATTGATTAATTGTTCTCATTGTTAGGAAATTTCCTAAGAAATTTCTCCTTAGTTCTAGGTCGGATCTCATTTAATGGTCTTGCATCCCATTCCTTCTTGTCCTGCCCTCAGGTGCTTTGGATAATAGGTCGGTCCCCTGTTTTATGTGAGAGCCCCTCATGTACTGAAAGACTAGTATCATGTCACCCTTAGTCTTTTTCTTAGACAAACCTAGTTCTCTCAACCATTCATTGTACAACTTAGCCTCCAGACTCCTTATCATCTTTGTTGCGTTTCTCTTTTTAGGGTCTCAGCATCTTTTTTGTATCATGGTGACCAGAACTTCTATTTTAAAGAAATGAAATGAAAACGTTTGCTGAAGTTATATTAAAATTTAGAGAATATATTTATGGTGATATGGAATACATGACCATCAGGAGAGAATATAAGTGTTTTCTTTCATAAGCAAAACAGAATAGCAACAAGAAATCCCTAATTTCATTCAGATATAACCCGGTCCAGCTCTACTTAGACATTATATTATATAATAACATTATTCTCAGGCATTCACATGCTTACGACAAAGTCAAACCAATGTTTAAAAAGTATTTCCAATATAAACTTCAAAAGCAAAGTAGGAACTGCTAGGAACAATGATTGAAGTGAGATAGGTATAACAAGAACACTGGAACATGAGTTTAAATCTTTCTCATTTTGGCCAGATCACATTTATTATTTCTTTCGAAACATGCCTAGAATTATCCCACAAAGTTATTTTTTTTGTATCAGTCTGTTCTTCTCCGTTTACCATGAGCTTCTCCAATACATCTTTCTAGTTGTTTTGAAATATAAATTACATTAATCCTAACTAATAAGGCCAATGGGCAGAAATAATAGGTGTATAGTCTAGTATATATGGGGGAATGAAAGTTTTGAAAGAATGGAATGCTGATTTAGCCAAATTATCAAGGACAAAAAACTAGCTAATTAGCCGGTTATTCGACGTATGCTAAATAATGCATGATGAGATGTGTTACTCTATGAGAATTTCGAGGCAACACCCACAAGAGAAAAATCAAACCCATCTTCTATGGTTTCTCATTGGGAGGGATTTATTCCCTCATGAAAGAGTTGGCAATTCCTCTTAAGACTTGAACTTCATCCAAGTCATAATTACATCCGTTTGAAATTCCATAAACTGGGAACCAGCCTTCAGCTATTCAACAAGTTTCCTGTATACCACGTGCTTTAGCAACATACTTTGGCAACCATCGAGTTTGAGCTGCCCCAAACAGCCAGCCATTCCTCACTGGACACACCATGAAATGTTTGACCTGATTTGGTCAACATGAGCTGAGGATTCAAGGAAAATATCTGCCTTGCATTGGTTGCTGGAAGCATGAAAAAGCAGTGAAAGTTCTACTGCATTTATTGAAAGGGAGGTTTCTCTGGATTTCTTGAAATGGATCACC